AATAATAATAATAATAATAATAATAATAAAATATATTTATTTTATATTATTTTAAATGGAAATATAATGCAAACAAACTTGTAGCACAGTGTATGAAGCTGTGATATGAGAGTTGCGAACGTCAAGGAAATTAAACAAATTAAGTGCGACACTCGGCAGCGTGTTCCCAGCGGCAAAAAAACACACACATACTGTCTCACACATACATATATGCAGATATGTCTATATATATGCTATATCTTATCTATTAAATCGTTTAACATTCATAACCCGTTTGTCCGCTGTGAGTCGAGGCGTCTATCTATGAATGAAAGCGGTTTTTTTCGTGTGTCGTATGTGATGCGACGTAATCATCGAGCTAATCCCAGAGGCAGCTAGACGGACAGACGATGAAAGCGGAGGCAGCTGCTGGACTGGCTTTGGCCAATCTTTTTTCTTCTTCGTTTGCGAGGGGGGCCCATGCTAATCGCCTGGCTTATAATTAATTAATTAGCTACTCTGATGAGCAGGAAGAAGAGAGAAAGAGATGAGGCATAGAGAGAGAGACCGAGAGTGTGTGTGACTACATGCAATAGCAAGTTCGTTGCCTAAGTCTTTTGTTTTTCACTGCAGCTGGCGTCAGAAATTTAATCAAAAAATTTCATAAATGCAGCACGAAAATTGCGCTTTTAATGACAATAATTTGCGTAATGGATTTTCATGTTTTCGTAATTGAATTTATTTTAATTTAAACCAAATTGCGCAGCGGCCACAGCCACAGCACCGTCAGCTCCGATCGGATATAATTTTATGCGCTCACGCCGTCCGCTACGCTAATTGATTATAATTCTGTCAGTCGCCACCGTCGATGGGCAACGGGATGTGGACCCATGGAGCTTCAGCTGTTGCTGTAGTTGTAGCTGTAGCTGGACTCAAGTCCCGGCCAAAGCTTCTGCTCCACATTTCGCGCATTATTTTCGCGCTCGTTAGCCGCCAGGCAGGGGCTGACTGCAGCATCTTTTGAAGATGCATCACTATCGGTGCTTGGCAGGTGTTTTGGCATCGATCGTTCAGCCTGTTAATAAATACTTGTACTCGATTTCCACCAACAGACAGACTGACTAAATAAGTGTGTATGAGACAGAGGGAGAGAGAGAGGGAGAGGGAGAGGTATTGAGGTGTTTGTAAATTGTTGCTGCAGCAGTTAATACACGTGCATTATTATATGAGGCGACGACTTCCTGAGTTGCTGCCGCTGTTGTTGTTGGCAACTGTTGGCAACCACAGCTGCCCCTTGGCCATGTTTTTGGCGCTCCTGTTGCCACAATTTACTTTTTATGAATGTCAATGGCTTTTTAATTAATTGCATGCAATTGCATTTAATGTTATTTAAGCGTATGCCCTGCAGCCAAGTTGACGTACTCTGATATTGCTGTTAAGTCTATAAAATACGCCAATTAGAACTGGTTACAACTTTGTATAAATTGAATGCAATCACGTTCTGCTCTTATAATACTATATGACATATAATAGAATTTATAGATTGCTTTAATTTAACTTAAATTAAAAGCTGACGTTTTGAAAGCACGTTAAAGTTGTAAGCATACGAAATATAGAAATGCTGTCAAATGTTGCACAAAAGTATAATAAAGATTTGAATCTTATATGAAACTTTAATTTTATAAAAAGCAAAAGCTTATTTCATAATCCAAAAGTACATAAAAGCTCACGCTAGTGTAACGTACAAGTTAACTATGTTTTTTGAAAGCCTTAAAGTTTAATGTAATCAAAAGCTTTCGACATTAATACATAAAGCTTACATAAAGCAACAACAAATGTGGCATACAAAGAATCAAGAACACTTTCAATAATAAAAGTTACACGTAAAAGCTACTGAAAACTTGAAGCACATTGTATTGTGTGCAGATACGAGCAAAGCTCTCTGAGGGCTTAACTTGCAAGCGATGAACTTTAAGCTAGTTTAAGCTTTTAAAATAAATAAAATCGGAAAAAATAAATAAAATAATTAAAGAAACTTTCAAAATATATTTAAATTTATATTAAGAGCTATGTACTGAAAAGCCAATTACAGAGTATTTTTAAGCACTTCTTTAGCCATCTAACTTATTTCTTATTTTTTTTTTTTGATAGAACATTTTTTATGTGAATTTTATGATAGTTGATTTTGTGCTGCTTAAAGCGTTCCACATAAATCCGCAATTAATTATGCTCAATTAATAAAAATGCGCAACGCTCGTTAAATTCAAGCTTTTTATGCGCCAATAAATGCGAAGCCCAAATAATTTGAAATTTCAATTCGGAATCTTTTCAATTTTGATTATTTTCTCTGTGTGTAAACGTTGTTATAGTTTTTTTTTGTATTTTATTTTGTTTTTTTTTTCATGCTACCCGCAGTTCATTAAAGGCGCTTAAATTGTATTTCATTGTGGGCTGTGGGCGTGGTCGGCTGCGCCAGAAGCGCACAAATCCAATTTAAATGCAGCTGAAGACGCAGATCGGCGGCCCGAAAAGCGCAGAGCAGACCAGATCCAAGTCAAGCCGAACCGAGCCAAGTCGAGCTGTGAGCGACCCCCTGCGCGTCTCATTGTCGTAAATCACACATTAAAATATTTATTTGTATTTTTACTTGTTTAAAAATTAGTTAAAAGCCCGCGGCGAGACTCGAACTGAGTTGGAGATCGGACTTAAAGTTGGGGACGGGACAAGAGGCCTCTCATAAGTGGAGTCCCAAGCATCGCTTCGCCTTTGTTGTGTGAGTGAATTTTAATTTCCTTTTTATGATATTTTAATTTATTTCAGCGTAAATCAAAACCAAAACGAGCTGCGCTCCACAGTCCGCCGCCACCCGCCAACCGCCCCCCTCCCCCAGAGGCTGCACTTTTAATAAATTAGATTACCTTGCTGCGCATAACGGAGGCGGCAGCAACAGGGACAGCGGCGCTTCCTTCGCGCTAACTGCATAAATCTTGAACATCCAGAGCCTAGAGTAGGACGAATCTCTAATAAAGAAGCAGCTGATGTGACACGAGCACGCACAAAAGGAACACGACTGAAGACCAAAGAAGAGAAGTTAGGAGAGGCACCCAGAGAAAAGCACGACTTAAAACAAAATGAGCTCAAAGAACGAAAAACAAAAACTATTTATAAATTAATAATTTTAAAATTAAGTCTTAATATTAAAAATAATTTTATTTTTAAAACTTGAATTAAATTATATTCATAACAATATATAATATTGTTAGAAAAAAAAAATAAATATCTCTATTAGATTAGGAAATTCCCAAATACACATATATTTCAGATTTGATAATATAAATATAAAATGAAATAGATTACAAATATAGGAAATTTTTTAAAATTTTTTTGATACTACTACTTAAGAAAATTGAAAAAGAATAATGAAAATATATTAAAATTACTTCGATATTATTAAATAACTTAAAGTATATTTATTTACATCCCTAATCATTTATGATGATTTCCAAGCTATTAACTTAATATTCTTTAGAGCTGCACAATCGTGCCTGTTCTTCTAATTCATATTAAATATCAACACGCACACATCTCTAGCTGCTTCTGGCGCACTTCCAAGCTGGCCTGGAAATGACGCGCAGACAAAGATTACTTTTTCACAGCTTGTGGTACGTCCGGCTGTTTATTAATTTGACGTTTCCAGTTGCAGTCACTGCGCGAGTTGCGCGCCGTCTGCAACAATTTGTATACATTTTTAGCCGGCAGCAGCCGAGCCCAATCTTTTGGGGGGCGTGTCGCACAACACCCACAGAAATTAAAGGCACTTAACATAAAGCTTTGCGCTGGCTGTGCTGGTCGCAACTTTAAATGCATTCATACTTCGTCTCGTTAACCGCACTGCCTCGTTGACGGCTAACGGCAGACTAAAAGCAAGCAATGCAAAAGATTTCGAAATTGGAAAAGAGCTTTGGACGAAAAGCTCAGCAGCCTGGATGTAGTATAGCTAATTGTTAGCAGATGGCGCTGCACTCTTATACGCTGTAAAGTATGCAATGAAACCTGTTGCAGCTCGAGCTGTTAATCCTGCGCAACATGTTGGCTCACACAAGTTGCATGTTGCATCTGGAAGTGTTCATTTTGCAAAAGAAGGGGCAATGTAACAGAGCTGTAATGTTAAGGAGCTAACAGCGACTGGTATCAGTGAACATTTTACAGCCGAATAAATGCAACAGAGCAGCGATGTTGAGCTAACAGTCAATGTTATGCGTGACAGGTGCTAGGAAGGGGGTGCATGGTTGGCTGCTGATGTTAGAGACATTTTCCGGATAAGTTAATGTAGAAACTCTGTTCGTCTTTTGAAAGCATATGAAACTGTGTTTTCTTTACGCCTGACTACTTTCCACTGCAACTGAGCCCACCCCCTACCCCAATTTGCATTATATTCGAGGGCATTTGCATGGAGACGCAGCAGTAGAAGAAGCTGCGCTAACTAGTCGCACTTTTTGCCTGCATATGCAAAAGGATAATGCGACACGTAAATCTATCTGCGAAATTCTTGTCATGCATGCGAATCTAATAACTGGAATCTTAGCGAACCTCCCGCACCGCCCACATTCCATACGAACTTAAGTGAAATACTTTTGCGCCACTTCTTCTACGTCTTTATAGCCAATATCGTTATTTATAGCCGGCGATTAGCTGTCTTGACTTTCTTCGCGCATAACTTCCGCTGCAGCTGCTTTTTGTTCAACTACTCGAGGCGTTGTGTGGTGAAAAAGGGTGCAAGAGTTTCGATTCCATTTTCTAACATTTTGTCAATTTTTTCCAAAAGGTTACAAGCAACCCTCGTTATAGTACAAACTTTTACATATTTTATTTTAAGTCAAAAAAAAACGCCCAGAGTGTACAATTGAAATCATATAAAACACAAACGTATATATATATATATGTCTATATATATATCTGAAAATATATATATCTGAATATATATATTCATATTCATATACATAGTAATTATAGTAATCGGGCTGAGCAGTTAATCTTGCGAGTTTCGTAGTTTATATTTAAATTCTAATGAACATTTTTGCATATAATAGTTATAAGGAGTCCAATCTGATTCCATTGCTGCTAGATGGAATCGTCGAAAGTCTTGAGTTTGCAGCTGGCTTTCTGGCTTCTACTGCTGTGGCTGCTGCATTTCCAAATTTGCAGTTTCAACCAGCTGCGCTTCCGTCTGTGTCTCCGTCTGCTGCTCCTCTCCCAGCTCCTCCTGCTTCTCCAGCTCGTCAGCACCTTGTAGCTGCTCCAGCTTCTCACCATCGTTCTCCACTGCCGCGCTGGGACCCGCTGTGGGATAAGGCAAAGAGCGCAATCGCAGAACCATGTCCTCCAGTGTCTCTGCCTTCGCCTCAGTCACGACCTCAACTTTATCCTCCTTGCTGCGCTTCTTGTGGGCATCCTCATGCCTTGCGGCGGCGCAGAGCTGCGCCTGTGGCTGACTCCTGGCCGGCGTCTTGGGTATTGCGCCTGTAGATTGACGCAGGGCCAACTGACTGGCTGTTGCTGTGACCGTCGCACAGCAAGCGGCGCCACTGGCCTCATCCACGATGCTGGTGCTGCTGCTGGTAACCTGCTCCCCAACGGGCAGTGTCTGCTCGAGCAGCTCTGCCTCCTGTCGTCGGCTCGCCTCTCGCTGTGCTATGCGATTGATCATGGCGGTTCCTCGCTCGGATGTGTTGCTCAGACGTGCTATCAGCTCGTCGCCCTGCTGTTCGAGGCGACGCAAACGCTCCGCTCGATTTGCCGAGACACGCTCGATGTCTTCCAGGCGTTGCTCCACAGTCAGTGAAAGGCTGGCCGCAGTCTGAGCTTGAGCCTGCGCCTGAGCTTGATCCTGACCATCGTAACGTTCATGCAGCGTGTCCAGTCGATTAGCCAGACCCTCGCCCCGTTCCGTGTTGCGAGCGAGCTGAGAGATCAGTTGTTGACTCTCATGTTCCAGGCGCTGCAGACGGGCGGCACGACGCGAAGTATACTCCTGCTCCTCGGCAGTTAAGGGCGACTCGGTCGGTTCAGCGGTCTCTTCCTTGGGCTCCTCCTCGGTGTTGCTCTCGAAGCTGGCCTCGCGACTGGGCGCACGTCGAATACGATCCAGCGATTTCTTCAAATAGTGTCCACGATCTGTGGTGCGCTTGATGCGTGACAGCAGCTGACGTGATTCCTCCTCCAGTCGACCCAGGCGCTCAGAGCGTTTGCGCGTGTACTCCTCCTCACGAGGCGTTAGGCTGCCTCCGCCCGTGACCGGTGCAGAGCTGGCTCGAGTCATGCGCTCCAAGCGCTTCCGATTGATGAACTCGTCCAGCGGCACAGCATGCTGCACGGGCGCAATCTCGTCCTGGAAGCGACACAGCTGCACCTCAAGGCGCTCCCGATTGCCAGAGGTCTCCAGCACCTGTTGTATCAGCGATTGGCATTGCTGTTCCAGTTTCTGTATGCGACTGGCTGTGCCCGCATCTGTGGGTGACGAGTGTGGGGAGTTGCCTGTGGTTGCTTGCAACTTGCCACGCTGCCTGCTGCGTGAGCTGTGTGCGGTTCTGGCCACTGCACCGCGTGATGTGCCAGCCACATCTTGTTGCTGCTGTTCCTGTTCCTCCTCTTCCTCATCCGCCTCCGCCTCCGTTTCGCGCCAGCCACAAGTGGGCGGTGCACTATTCCAGCGCAGCACAATCTCCTCATCCTCCGCCGCCAGTCCGGCTGCAGCTGCCGCCTGACGACCCGGCGATGTGCTCTGCATGCGCTTTATTTTGCGTGTATGTTCAAACTGATCCCTCAAGTGCTTGCGACGGGGCGCAGCATCTGCAGCCACTGCCACAGCCGCAGCCGCAGCTGACGCTTCATCAGCTACAGCTGCGACTGCCCCTGCTGCTGCGGCAGTGTCCTCATCCGACTGGGGTCCAGAGTCGCTGTAACCACTTTCCGCCGAGTGATTGGCATCCTCCAGTTTGCGTCGCGCAAATTCGCGTCGCCAATCATTGCACTGTTCCTGGCTCTCATCGTTCTTGGCCCGTGCCGCCGCCCATTTGCGTCGACAGTACTCCAGCTCATCCTTCAGCTCGCTGAGCAGACGCCGTTTCTGCTGCAGCTGATAGCGCAGTATTTGCTCCTGTGTGTGCAGCTGGCGATGCTGACGCTGCATTTTGCCAACCAGATGCCAAGTCTTCGTCAGCTCCAAGCTGACCGCACTCAAACGCTTTTCCTGCTCGTTCAGCCTGTTGTCCAAATGACAGTTGAGAGTCTTCAGACGATTCGTTTCCTTAACCAGAGATTTCTTTTCCATAATCAGATCCTAGAAAGGGCATATTATAGCATAACTATGTGGCATCTATATATACATCGAAGCGTATTTGTGTCTATCGTAACCCGAGGAGCTCTCTACTTTGCTCTCTTCAAGCGAGTGCATATTTTTTTTTTTATAATTAAAACTTCCTATGGAGCAGTGCCAGCGCACCTCACCTCCAGTATTATTTACCATAAGTCCATAATGCCATCTATGTAGCTATCTAGATCCCTACAAGCTTGCTTAAGCCAACTTTCAATGGGGTATACGTTTAGTTTGTAACTTTGTGTTGGGGCGAGCTTTAAAAGTTCTCACAAACCCCCAAATGGAGTGCCGAAATGCTTGCTCACTGGCTTCGATTTGTTGTTGGCTTTTCGTTTTGCTAATCCACAAGCAGGCAACCCGGCTCCCGGCTACCGCCTCCCGACGCCCAACACCCCACCCTCGTCTACTCTGGCCAAAGAGTGTGCAACATGTTTTGTGCTCAACCGATAAATTCAATTATGTGCACAACAACTGGCGCCCACTTTGCTGACTCGAAAAAGCCAGCCAGGGGCCCCCGCCCGGACGTCAGCAATAATGAAGCTACGCCTGCTTGGCCTGCACTTTACTAAATAAAGCGCTTAAGTGAATAATGCAAAACTTTGCAACGGCCCAGGACAAGTAGCAGAACCAGCACGAGCACGAGACTGCGAGCGACGACGACGACGACGACGACGACGACTAGAAGCCACACCAGATCCTAGACCGACACAGACACGGACATAGCCAGGCTGGGGACTTGCACTTGCTGCACTTCATCAGCAAACCGGATACGACAGCTAACAAGCCCGATTGTCCGCAGCACTTGAGCGGCGGCAGCGGCAGCAGCATTCGCTTCATACTCACCTTTAGCTTGATGTAGGTCTTGCTGACACTCAGCTCTGGAGCTTTGCCTGTTGCAGCTGCAGTTGCAGTTGTTGTTGCGCCTCCTGCTGATGCTGCTGCTGCTGCTGCTGATGTTGTTGTTCCTGCTGTTGTAGCTGCTGCTGCTGTTGGCGCTGCCTTGTGGGCATCCTCGGCAGCTGCTGGCTGCTCTTCAAACTGCACGCGCTCGATTTTGTGGTGACTCAAGAGCTCCATCAACACTTTCCAAACTTTTGGCAAGTTACCAATGATTTCTTGGGCCGTGGCAACTTTTCCCATAATTTCGGGCTCATGGCTTTTTAACGAAGCCGCAGTAGCGGTCACTCCTCCGGCACTGCGCCTGCGATGCCTTCTGACGCTCGGCTCTGGCTTGACAGAGTCCGTGATATCTTCGCCCATAGCTTTGACCTCACTTTCCGAGTTTGGCGTGGGCGTTGCACTGCGACTTTTGTCACTTTCTGCCTCAACGTCGTCCGATTTGGCCGCCTGCTCGACCAGCTCGAAGAGCAGCTTGGGCAGCGTTGCGCCATCGCTGCAGCTGCCCTCCGCCTGTGTCATCTCGTTCAACAGGTCGCGATTCTCCTCCAGCATTTGTGTCAAGCGATCAATATCCAGATTATTCTTGCCATTGAAGCCCATTACAAGTTGGCTAAAGAGCTGTCGTCAAATAAAGATGAATGTGTATGAATGGGTATGCATTAAGAATTTCACTCTATTCACACTTTGACTCTGCGGATATTTCTAGTGATGTCAACCATGTTTAAGAAGGTATCCCTGCTTTAAGCTATTCTCTTTGATTGTTCGCATCTGCAAAGCCTTTCTGATTTATTGAAAATATTATCTTTCTATTGCTCTCTTAACATTCAGTAAGTAGAAGTGATTGTAGCCTCTCATCTAGGCTTTGATAATTTGGTCACTTTGAAACATCTATTCTAGAAGGACAACTAACTCTTCTGCCAACTATTCCTGCTTTTTTACCAGTGGAAATTTGAAAGCCAATATTTTCTACTGCTTAATAAAGAACTCAAGTATTTCGCCTGGGCAATTTGTAACAGGGAAAATAGCCAACGATTTGTGGGCAAAGGAATAGGAAAGCGTATCTCCTTATTATATTTCCTTGCCTAACAGTTACTAAGCTGCTTCCTTTGTTGCTAAAGATAAGATATTACATAATTTCATAACTCTGATCTATATATATATATAACTCAGCGCGGATGTCTGCTTGAAAATGTTGCTGATGCCTACCAAATTAACTGCGCCCACTTGCTCCTTGAGGGCACGTTTCTCGTACTTGTGCTCGGCGCACTCCTCGCGCACCTTGGCCAGCTCATCGTTGGCTGTTTCCAGCTCCTTGAGCAGCAATTGATTTCGTTCCTCGCAGCTCTTTGTTCTGCGAAGAGGAAATTGAAAGTGATGCACACTGACAGCCAGCAGACTCCCCCGCCCACTCCGCACTTACTTCTCTTGCTCGGCGATTAGCTCATCCTTCTTAATCGAGATGAGACGCTGCAGATTCTCATATTCGGCAGCGGCCACGCGCTGACGCTCTTCGTACAATTGCCGCAACTGTCGTATGTTGACCAGCTGACGTTCGTATTCCTGACGCAAGTTGTTGGACATGATCTTCATTTCCCGCTCACTGAACGAGTTCTCGATCTCCTGCAGCTTCATCTTCAGCTGAGGGCGAGCAAAAGAAAGCTAGTGTTATTTTCGAATGGCAAGCTTCCTGTGTGGGCTGCTCTAACCTGTGCACATTGCTCCTCCTTGACACTGAGCATCTGCTTGCAACAGCAAATGACCTCCTTAAGGGTGCCCACTTGTCGTTGAACAACATCCTGTTCGCTGCGTAATGAGAGATTTTCGGCATTGGCCAATTGCAGGGCCAACTGTGCGTTGGCCAACTCAATGTTGGCATGCCGACTGCGACTACTGGGATTATCATCATCCGGATCAGGCTGCGACTCCTCAGCCAGCGGCGCTTCTACGTGCTGCGACTGTGTTTGTCGTCTTAGACGTTGATTTTCCGCCTTCTCCTGTGCCAGTTGCTCACGCAATTTGCTCAGCTCCTCACGCATATCCTGCACGGCTGTTTGGCGTGCCAAACGCTTGGTGGCCAACTGCTCCCGGAACTCCTCCAGCGTGGAGCCATCGGCCTCTGGCTTGGGCTCTGCTTCTGCTGCTTCTGCTGCACCAGTTGGTTCCGTGTCCATAGCGTGCGCCGGCTGCAGCTGCTCCTGAACTTGTTGCAGTATTAAGTTTTCGTGTTCTATTTGCTGCCACCAGGGCTCATCGAGCGTGTCTGTGGACGTTGCGGATGGCACTGATTCATGTGCCGACTGACTCGTTGACTCTGCATTTCCCATTCTTGCGTTGCTTTTTTATGCTGCAGGCCCAAGAACAAAGAAACGATCCGCTTGCTGCGCTGTTTCTGGTATGCCAAATGCACTCGATTTATTGCTGTTGTTGTTATAGTCAGCTACTGCGTCTGTTTACTTTTTGTGGCACCCGTTGAGATTTACGTTAATGCGACTTTTCTTTTACGCTTCTTCTAGAGTCAAGTCAAAGAGCCAGAGAACACAAAGAGCCGACCGCCCAGCCAGCTGCGCCTTCTCCCACAATTTCGATCAGGCGAACTGTTTCAACAAAAAAGCCAACAAAAACTTGGCACACACACTTCTATCTCTCTATCTATCTATCTATATATATATATATTTAGATATATATTGCTATCGCACGCGCGATTTCGCAATTTTTTATTGACTTTCACTTTTCTCAAGAATCACAATTCTAAGAAGTTATACTAGTTGATTTAGCTACATATACTATATATATATATAATGCCAACTCATATACTTCTTTGTTTAGAAACTAATAAATAGGTGCACGAAAAACTTTAAAGTAATTCTCTAGTATACATATGCTCAGAGCATACGCGTGTTCGTATGGAAAATTTTCGATTTTCGGTTTTCCGTCGCGAGGCACTTTGCGCTTGGCCAGCTCGTGAAAAACTGAGTGAACAGTTTCTAATGGGTTGCTATTTTTAAAAAAACCGAAGAAAAAAACCAAGAAAACTCAGAAGTTCTCTTGCTCTGTGCGCTCTATGCTTGGCTCTCGGTCAGGGCTGCCTGCCCAAACGCTTTGTTGCATAGTCAAATAGGCAGAAAAAAAGAAAGCAGCGAAGACGATTCCACTCTGTGGTTCGAGACAGGATTTTCCCCGAATTCCTTGATTTATATGTTTATATTCGAGTGCATTTCATATCAAATCTGTCACATGAATAGATTTAAATTTAGCTGCGACACGTCAAGTGCGATTATGACTAAGAGACAAATAAAACAGTTGCCACATTTGATCAACAACAAAATAAGTAGCGAGCCATTGCCTTGGCACTGAAACATCTACACACAACAACTTGCATAAATATTTAGAAACACAAGTTAGTTTATATTAAATGGAAGATTAAATACCCTAGATGCTATATAAAACCATTTATAGATGTGATTAACTGCACTTTCAATGCTAAATCCTATTCAAATTAAACTTAAAATTAAATAAATTCGATAAAGGAAATTTAATCATCATAGGCATATGCTGTGGTACCCCATCAGAAACAAATTATTATCTTTAGTCAGTTTCGAACAGTTATCCTAAAAGATATAGTTTTTAGAAGCATTATCAAATTCGAATGTAAGTTTAAGATATCTAAAGAAATAAAACATTTTGTCATAAAAGTGCCCAATTTTCGAGCCAGTTAAGTCATATGGTGTGACGATTCAAATAAATACAATATATATATATACAAAATATAATACAAATAAACAACTGAATCAAATTTTATACAAACCGCTTTGCAGACAGCTCAGTTCACATAGGTGCATAGACAGTTCAAAGTCGACTGAGCTGCCTTATATGAGCGTAAATATGTGCTTTCGAAATATACAATAAGAGTGCGCCCAGTCGGGAGTATCCGACTAGAAATTGCCCTGAAAACTGCTTAGAAACCCACACCAAATTATCGTTAACTTGCACGGACAGACGAACATGGCTAGATCGACTCAGACTCGATATCCTGAGCAAGATTATATAGATTTCACGGGTCTGCCACGCTTCCGTTTACGTGTGCCACACTTTTTTAAAATAATTTTGCCCTCAATTCCCATTTTCATTTGCCTCAGAATTATAATATTCTTTACTAACCTTATGCCCTCATACTATTTACTAATCATTACAAAGCAAACTTTCTATTATATGTGCGTTAGCTGTGGGTCTTAACCTAACTCTAATGAGACTTGCAAACAATCTGGCATATTACCTATTAGGAAGGCAAACAAATGCAAGTATTTTAAATCAGAGCAAAAATATCTGGTATACACTTTCTATATGGCGTAGCATTTGTGCAGATGCTATAGTGTTTGCATTGTTTTTTCAGATGCACTCCCACCAAAAAGTTTTTGGCAAAAGTTTCAAATGAAAATGCATTTTGCAACAGATTTTTCCACTGGCAACGCCAATTTTCCTGCTACTGTTTTTTTTTTTCGGCTAACTTGCCCATTGTCGACGGCATTTGAAAAAGTGGGAAACACGCAGCAATGACTTTGAATGAGCACAACGTGCAGGCAAGGCGCGGGTGGCGGCTGGTGTAGGGCACACACATTTGGTAGGGTTTCCTGCTGCTGCTAAGTGTCGCCCTACGTCAGAGCAGCGGGAGTAAAGCGACACACTCGCAGAGACACTGAGTAGCGAGCAGCGAGCAACTCAGGCTTGAAAATGAAAATCAACAATGCAATTTGCCATGTTGCCTCTTTGTTAGCCTGGCCAGAAAGGAGGAAAAAAAGTGAAAATAATATAAAATGTAAGCGACTAAAACTTGAAGCGCGTTTGCCAAAGTTGGCAAAACCGAGCCATGTCCCGCCCCCAATACCGGCGGATGCCTTGATCAACTTTGGTCGAGATTGCGCCAGGCAAATGTGCAAGCGGCAAGGACAGTGCCAGCAAAAAGTTGACGCTAAGGCAAGCGAGAGTGACCGAGATGGAGATAGAGGGAGAGAGCGAGGGGCATTGCGCGTATGAACGAGATAGCGTGCTTGAGAAAGCGTGCATTGTGTTCATTATAATGGCATAATAAACCGAAGCGCCTGTGTTGCAGCTCTTCGTGTTGTTGTTGTTTTTGTTGCTGTTATTATTATTGTTGTCGCTTGGCTTCTCGTGTTTTCTCAAGTTTCAGCAGTTATTCTTTGACTGGCTGAAGTTAATAATAACTAATGAAACTTTTGCAGCTTCATTATGCCAAAAACGGGCTCATATAGAACAGGCTGTCATATAGTATGGTATATGCCCTTGTGGCTAATTAACGTAACTTAGACCAATATACACGTTAGCCGAAACCTTAACTTAATCTAGAATGTTGAGACCCAGATGCAAGCCTTAAAGCTGTACATTTGTAAGCAGCAGACACTCGCATAACTAATGCAACAAACTTGTGCATATTTTGCGGCGGAGGATGCCAAGCAACAACAAGAACAACAACAACAACAGCATCAGTAGCAGTAATAGCAGAATCATAACAAGGCAAGTAGCCAACTTCATTAAGCAGCAACACGTTGACACTTCCGACTTACGCTTCATTTCCGTAGTCATGCATTTATACATACAAATTGTTGCAGAACTTACGTGCTTATGTGTCCTTGCAATAGCAATTGCGTCAACATTATCTAATCTCTGCACTTGCAGCACACTTGTAAGCCACATCACATATTTAAATAACTAACAATTTTGGCGCAAAACTTTACATCAGCTGAGCACATTATGCAAAATGAAGATTACGCACATGTGCATGGTTTCCATTTTAAGCGTAACGTCACAAAAATCGAGTATGCAATATTCACCATCCAATTAGAATCAGGTAAACGTGACGTAACGAAACTCTCAACAAGCTACCTTCATAAATTCAACATTCTTGGCCTGCAACAGGTTGGCAGCGCCATCGATAGACACAAGCAACCTATCGATTACTTTGACAGCACGTGCAACGGGAAGAGCCGTTTGATTTTGTTTACGTTTTATTCGTGCAAGAATTCCTGAATAATGAACAACATGAAAGAATATCCAGTGCTGACAAATTCACGGCCTGAGTTCAAACAAATACCGAAAACATTGAATAAGGTAAATTCATGAGCACTGTTAAATACAGCTTTTCATAAAACTTCTCTTGCAGCATCTTGCAAATTTAGGTGCACCGCATGTGGACTCTTTCGATGAAATGATAGGTGTCGGCCTGGAGCAAGTGGCTAAATATATGGTGCCACAGCAATTTCAAACACCTGCCGGCGAGCGTATTAGCATAAATGTTGACAGCATTTGGATATCCAAACCGCAAGTGCCAATGGACGTGATTGATGTGCGCACACGTGAAGTATATCCAACAGATGCGCGACAATTACACGCTTCCTATTCGGGCGTGTGCTCCGTGAGGCTTGGTTGGACTGTGAATGACCTAGAAAAGTCCTCCATCAATATGGATCTAGGCGAAGTGCCAGTCATGCTGCGCTCACGTGCATGCAATCTGGGCAACGCATCGCCCGCGGAGATGGTAAAGCATGGCGAACACGATAGCGAATGGGGCGGCATTTTTGTGATACGCGGCAATGAGAAAATCGTGCGCATGCTCATCATGACGCGACGCAATTACCCGATCTGTGTAAAGCGCTCCTCGTGGAAGGATCGAGGTCACAATTTCAGCGAACTTGGCGTCATGGTGCAAACTGTGCGAGACGATGAGATGTCCTTGACTAATGTTCTGCATTATCTCAACAATGGGACCGCTCGTTTTATGTTCTCGCACGTCAAGCGTCTTTCCTATGTGCCCGTCTGCCTCATACTTAAGTGTCTCATGGACTATACAGACGAGCAGATATATAATTGTTTGATTCAGGGTTACGAGTCGGATCAATACTATTCAACCTGTGTGCAGAGCATGTTGCGCGATGTGCAGAACGAGGGTGTCTATACATCTGCTCAATGCCGTTCATTTATAGGAACACTGTTTCGTTCCCGTTTCCCCGAGGTGCCAGACTGGATGCCAGATGAGGCTGTAACGGAGTTTATCATGCGCGAACGCATTATGGTCCATTTAAACACAAATGAGGAGAAGTTCCAGCTGATTGTATTCATGGTGCAAAAGTTATTCCAATGCGCTCAGGGCAAGTACAAGGTTGAGAATGTCGACTCAGCCATGATGCAGGAAGTTTTGCTGCCCGGACATCTCTACCAAAAGTACTTGGGCGAACGTATTGAGATGTGGCTACTGCAGCTGCGAAAATGTCTGCTGAAGAAGCTTAATACACCGGATTCTCTGGTGAGCAGCAGCATCATGTCACAGTGCATGCGACAAGCGGGCGGCGTTGGCAGAGCTATGGAATCCTTCCTGGCCACGGGCAATGTGGCCTCGCGCACAGGTCTAGGTCTGATGCAGAACTCCGGCCTTGTAATTATGGCCGAGAATATCAATCGCATGCGGTACATGTCCCATTTTCGTGCTATTCATCGTGGCTCCTATTTTACTACTATGCGAACCACAGAGGCGCGTCAGCTATTGCCCGATGCCTGGGGTTTTATTTGTCCAGTGCATACGCCTGATGGTACACCCTGTGGTCTGCTTAACCATTTGACCCTGACTTGTGAGATATCCAAGCGCCCGGATCCCAAGCTGCTGCAGGTGAGTAGTCTACTAAACATTTATATCGACTATAGTTATTAAACATTCTTATTTATAGACAATTCCCGCTATGCTATTAGAAATGGGCATGATTTCATTATCACAGCAAGGCCAGCCGAATGCCAAGCTGTATGTGGTATTCCTAGATGGCAAGCACTTAGGCTACATATTTCAGAGTGATGCTACCAAAATGGTGGAAGATCTGCGTTATGCTAAAATCACGGGTCAAGTTCCCGAAATGATGGAAATTGGTTTCATTCCCTATAAGAAAAATGGTCAGTTCCCTGGACTGTTTCTTTTTACAGGCCCCACTCGCATGATGCGTCCCGTATGGAATCTGAAATGGCAACGAGTCGAATATATTGGCACTATGGAACAACTGTATATGGAAATAGCCATAGACGAGAAGGAAATTTATCCAGATTTTACCACACATCTTGAATTGTCGAAAACTCACTTCATGAGCAATTTGGCCAACTTGATACCCATGCCTGACTACAATCAATCACCACGTAACATGTATCAGTGTCAGATGGGCAAGCAGACAATGGGGACACCCTGTCTCAACTGGCCCAAACAAGCAGCCAATAAGCTTTACCGCTTACAGACACCAGCGACGCCGCTGTTCCGCCCGGTGCACTATGATAACATACAACTTGATGACTTTGCCATGGGCACAAATGCAATTGTGGCTGTCATTTCATATACCGGCTACGACATGGAGGACGCCATGATCATCAATAAGTCCGCCTATGAGCGGGGATTTGCCTACGGCAGTATCTACAAATCCAAGTTTGTACAGCTGTCCAAAAAGCAGAGCTATTTTGCGCGTCATCCGCATATGCCAGAACTGGTCAAGTATTTGGATACGGATGGACTGCCGCATCCAGGCACCAAGCTAAGCTATGGCTCACCTTTATACTGCTACTTTGATGGCGAGATCTCCACATTCAAAGTAGTCAAAATGGACGAGAAAGAGGATTGCATTGTGGACAGCGTGCGTCAGTTGGGTAGCTTTGAGTTAATGCCTCGAAAGACTGTGTGCATAACGTTGCGTGTGGCACGTCCTGCAACGATTGGCGATAAGTTCGCCTCGCGTGCTGGACAAAAGGGTATCTGTTCGCAGAAGTATCCGGCTGAGGATTTGCCATTTACCGAATCCGGACTCATACCGGACATTGTGTTCAATCCCCACGGTTTCCCCTCTCGTATGACAATCGCCATGATGATCGAGACCATGGCAGGCAAAAGTGCTGCCCTTCATGGCGGCGTGTACGATGCGACACCGTTTCGCTTCTCCGAGGATAACACAGCTATCGATTACTTTGGAAAAATGTTGGAGGCAGGAGGCTACAATTATTACGGCACAGAGCGTCTATATTCCGGCGTTGATGGACGCGAAATGACAGCGGATATATTCTTTGGCGTGGTGCATTATCAGCGATTGCGTCACATGGTGTTCGATAAGTGGCAAGTGCGATCGACGGGCGCAGTCGAGGCACGCACCAATCAGCCGATCAAGGGACGCAAACGTGGCGGTGGTGTTCGGTTTGGTGAGATGGAACGTGATGCCTTGATCTCGCATGGTGCCGCATTCCTACTGCAGGATCGACTCTTTCACAATTCGGACAAAACACACACGTTGGTGTGCCACAAATGCGGCAGCATTTTGGCGCCTCTGCAACAAATTATCAAGCGCAACGAGACGGGTGGCTTATCCTCCATGCCGGAAACGTGTCGACTCTGCGGCGAAAGCAGCAGCGTTTCCATGATCGAAATACCCTTCTCGTTCAAGTTTCTGGTCACTGAGCTGAGCTCGGTCAATATAAATGCCAGATTCAAGCTTAATCAGATTTAAACTTAGTAATTCAATTGTTGACATACTTATTGCATATTATAACTTTAACTGACTATTCAATATTTGTAATAAAGTTACTTGCTATAAAAATGTCGACTTATGGATACCTGTTATATCATATTCCCTTTATAAAGTTGTTCTCCCAGTGAAACATCAAAATCGTTGATTTTCGAGTTACATTTTTCAAATTTCCATAGATTTTTATTTATTTTAAATACATATTTCATTTTGTTTACAGTTAAATTCCTGCATTTGCTATCTGTAGTTTGTTTTTTGCTTTTTGCCTTCGTAGTTTTTGCTGGTATCTTTAAATGGGGAATTCGTTTAACAATTTAACTATCGCAGCGTTTAGAAAATAAATTTCTAAATTGCATGCAAATAAAAGCTTAAAAAATGTGTGTATATTTTTTTATATATGTATATTCATTTATTATTCAAATGTATTGTTTATTTATTTTTATTTGTATTTGTTCTTGTGTTTCCTGCTTGCAACATTTTATGGCGCTTCAGATGCACATCGGGGGAATTGTTAATACTTTGCTGATTGATATTTAATGTACTTATTATGCTTATGCCAAACAAAACTTCGACTCCATTTTGAATTTCGAACAATTTCTATATAGTTTATATTTTGTTTTTTGTTTTTTTTTTTTACAATCATATCTATGGTACATATACGAAATAATACATAGTACATGCTCATCAGGATCAATCGAGAATTTTTGCTATATGTATAATAATAAATTGTTGTAATGCTTGTCCTTTAATATATATGTACTTGTAGTAGTATTTGTAGTATACTTTATTATATTAGTTTGTTCAATTTCAACAATGTTTTACGTAATGTTTTGTATATGTGTCTGTGTTTTGTGTTTGTGTGTAATCGAAAAATTTGTATGTGATTTTCACCATCTAATTATTTGTCTATCATTTAATGAGATTTACCGCGTGCATGGCTTCCTCCCAGCCTCTTACCACCATTAACGCCTACTTTTTCCTGAAGAAACTACGCACTCTTGTCTCACAATCAAAAAACACTAAACATTGAATTTTTCTTTTTTTTTACTTTTGCTTTTATGCGTAATAATTTGTTGTTAAATAACATAACGATTTGTGTATTTATATCATTCCATTTATAAATTGTTTATAATTTTAGCTTTTGTTGCTTTATTACAACAATGTTTATATATATATATACATATATATATAAATATGTTTATATATATATATATATATATACATATATTTATATATATACTAGGTATATGTATGTATGCTTGTATGAATCTTGTTTTTTTTTTAAATATATATTTATATATATAAATGTATATATATATATACATATATATATATATATTTAAATATATATATATGTATATATATATGTAGTAATATCCAACTGCTAATGCTTGTCATACAACATAATCTAATTATGTTTTACTAATGAACTTTTTGAGCTTAACATTTACAAAGAATTCTCTCTCGTTAGCAATTACAAAAAATAATAATAATAATAATGGTAAATATATTGAAAATGGAAAATCAGACGCATTTTAACAACTAGCGCGATAAGAAATATATAAAACATGTGGAAAATTGCAGGCGCCGAAAATGGTAGAAATAAAACTCGCTGCAAATTGCTGAGTAGTATAGTAGGTGTAAGTGTACGTGTGTAGGCGTTTAGGCATATGTCTGTGCTAGTGTTGGAGGTAAACATGTGTAGAGGTGTGGTCGTAGCATACAAATACGTAGCACAATTAACGGCTTAAACATAGGTCGCATATAGATTTGAGGAAACATGTCATTATATACTTTGTTTTTGATATCATTCTTTAGGTGATTAGGATTGTGCATTGTAAATGTGGTTCGCTGCAGTAGCTCCCTCCTAGACATATCCCCAATTACATGCGTAGAGAAGTAGCTGCTGCTCGAGTCAGCCTGGCTTAAAACTGATCCGCCAACAGATCGCAGATCACGCGTGTCACTGTCTCCTTGCTGGCGCGTATGGTTAATCGGAACATCTAAAAGAGAAGCATACAATTAATATTGAACACATGCACATAAATTTAAGTCATGTTTGCTTACCTGCGCCTGCTTGTTGGGCTCCAGTCGCAGCAGGCAGCCCACCTGTTGTGATTGCGTGTGAATAATGCCCGCACAGACCATATTGTCTGGATTGGGATCAACCTGATCGAGCAGCTGCATGCCAAAGCCCATTAGCTTATTGCGTGCACCTGGCAAGTCCAGCGGCTGTGAGGCTTTGAATACCTTTTGCGCGCGCTGCTGTTCGCTGTGAGCGTGTGGCAAAGTAAAAAGCACATTAGCTACAAGTTTAAGCTTTGCCAAATGTTTCCTACTCACCCGCTGAGATTCTTCCATCGCGCGAAAAAGGACTCGGCATTCATTTCGGTTGGCTCGAAGAACTTATTCACGCTCAGTGGTAATTTGATGCTAAACTTTTGCTGTGTTCCATTGTAACGGAAGCTGATCTCAATGGTGGGTGCGTCGGCGTAGTCCTCAATACATTCGGCGGTTAGCAACTGTTGGATTTGTGCACCCGCCTCCAGAGTTGGCTCCACGGCCTTCATTTGGACATTCAACTTGAGCGCCTCCTCGGCAGACCACTGCAGTACGGGATTGAAGTTCTAAACGGCAAAGGATATTCGATTATATAAATACTAAAGATGCAACTACAACTAGCTCACCGTTAGCGGCACTTGCGTCTTGTTGCCGTAGAATAGTCCCAAGCGGCCTAGATTCTGTCTAAATTCGGACTTGACGCCAATCTGGAGCATCTCGTTCTCAAAGAGCACACCATTATTTTTGAACAGAAACTTCTTGGTGTTATAGACGGCGGCATTGTTGTTCCCATAGATATCGCCCAGCACATCAAGCAACGCCGAGTTGTTGCTATTGCTCAAATTGTTAATATTGTTCGCGGGCGGCGTGCTGAGGCCCAGCAGATCGGCATTGGCATTGGCATTGCTATTCAGTTTATTGTTGTGATTGACATGCGTATTGTTCTGTGTGATGGATGTCGGCGCTGGGCTCTTCGATTCTCGTATCTCATTCTCGGGCACACGACCTGGTTTCTTTTTCTTGAGCACGGCCAGAATGGAACTCTCACGCTCCGGGAATGAGGGCATCTCCTCCAGCACCGTGGCCAGCACATCTGTTGACGCCACAATGCTTAGCTGCAAATATTCGCTTGCGCGCTGCTGCAGTTCTGCATCAGCGGAACGCAAATTGCTGTGCTGTCTGAACACCTCCTGGATATTGGTGCGTATCTCGGGAAACAGATTGATGAACTTAATGTACGTGGAGAGCAACAAAGCGCGCGTCATGGGCGAGCACAAATGATACTTGGAATGAAGCAGCTTGAACTGCACGAGTGGCGCCGAACGAGAATCACCCGCAATCAGATTACCAAACTCGCCCAATATGTACCCGCCCACCTTAACCATGTTCTCATGGCAGGCGGGCGCCTGCAGCGCCTCGAAGACGGTTTTGGCAGCATACCCCTGAACCTCCTCTCGATTGATGACAATCTGTATGACACGATACCAGACCTCCTCCGACACATAATCACCAGCTATGCGTATTAGATTGAGTATAACGTCCACGTACCTGTGAGTAAATAAGTGGTATCAATAGTAAAGGCTTCTTATTTAGCAAAATACCACTTACCAGGTGTAGTCCGTAGCATATTTCTCAGCCAGAATGGCCACCTTGAGTACCATCTCCTCACGAATGGAATAATCGGCCGTCTCCAGATAGTTAAGCATCTCCTGAACAATCTCTTCGGCATTGCCGCGATCGCACATGGCATACAGCAAATCGACAGCCATTTGGCGCACCGAAACATCCTTTTCCATTTTCATAGAAAGTATGACAACTTCCTGATGCTTCTTGACCTCTTCATGCGAGAACTCCGACGTCGCCAGATGACACATTGATTCCAGCGCCAGATAGCGCAAATTCGTCTCTCGATTGCTGAGGAACTGGCCCAACTGGTTGCAGGCGCGCACCAAGAGATTCGGTTCGCTGTCGCTGTGTATAATCAGATTGATGGCTTCGAATAGCACAGCATTCTTGGCATTCGAATGCTGCACCTTCTTGCTCTTAGGCGGCTCCTGCGCCTTATTCAGTATGGTTTCCAGCGTTTCGTTTAGGCGTGCCCGCACGCCGGCTTCCTCAGTCACCGGATTATAGTTCTGCAACAGACGCAATAGCTTCACCGATAGCCACGGTGCCGGCACAAAGTAATAAGTGTAATCCTGCAGATCCGTGTAGCTGGCAGTAACAATGCGTGATAGTCTCGACACAGCCAAATTAACGCAGCCCTTATATTCGTCCGGATTGCGTTTGACCAACGCATCAATCAGCGACGTGGCTGCCGTAACCACGCCCATATGCTGATCATTGAGCAAGTGTATAATGCGTGAAGTCCACTCGCCACCAGGTATTATATCTGGCGAAGAGCGAAACAGACGCAGCAGGCACAATGCCGCAGACTGCTTGACCACATCCATAGTATCACCCGAGACCAACAGCTTGGGTATTTCATGCGAAAAGGACTCGGCCATGTCACGGCTACCAATATTAGCAATGCATTGAAGAGCAAGATTCACATGCACCGGATTGCGCGACTGCAAATCATTCTTGATCGACTGAATGATCAAGCGGATCAGATCACTGTTCGTATTCACCAGCACCGAAATGAACAGATAACCCTGAAAGAAGGAAACATTATTTGAGTATACTTTAGTAATTGGGTTGCATTATAAATCACTTACGATTTGCTTCTCTGAGTATTTGTTGGAGGACAACAGATTGACGGCCTCCATGTGCCCAAAGTCAATGTCATGCCCAAGCAGAAAAATAAAGAGCAGCTTACACACATATTTCTTCTTCTGATAGCCGTCGAGCGTTTTATCGCCTTTAAATTTGCTACGAATATTAGCCAATTCTTTGTTTATGCGCTTCACCTCCGCTTCTTTGCTTTTACCTGTATGAGTGAAAGAAAGTAAATGATAATTTGTTTGTGCTAGACAAAAATTTAGAATTTCGCTTGTGTTGGCAAAAGATCAACGACTTCATAATTTCTTCACAAGTTGAAGATGTCTCGCCCGGCTCGAGACCTATCCTACCTATGTGACCTATGCTCTCAATGAAAATATCTAGCTTAAGACAATGAACTATATACAGGAATTTAGGATTTTTTCAACATATCTTATTCAAAATTTTGCAGACCGGAGATATTAACTCCACTGCAATTTTAAAGATCGAGAAAATAGATCGACTATGTTTCACCGGAAACTAAAACTCTCTGGAATTATACTCTCTGTGGCAATCAGGCACCATTTAGTACCAGTCACCGATTTGAGCGATCGAGAGAGCCTTCACGTATTAGATATGCTGGTGAGTTAACTAGCAATGGGCCTTTATGTATTTATTTGTATGATAAATGAATGAAAGAGCATCGAGCGTGAGCGCTGAATGAAGCGACAAGTTAAGGCTACACGAGTACAAACAATTTGCGGACACACACATACACATACACGCTCACTCACATATGAATGCCGCCCCGCTTTGCTACAGTGGTTCTTCTCGTAATTGAACAAGAAACGTAGACATTGACGCCCCTATGAGAGTTATGAATATATATATATATATATGGATAAGAAAAGCCATGATAAATTGAATACAAAATTAAAATTAAAATTAAAAATAATATAAAATTCACCAATAACACTTTAAGAGAATTCATTTTGCCGACTTAAAAAATACCCTTTTCACTGTAATCAATTAACCTAACATTCAATTATAAGAGAAACTAAATAATAAATTGAAATATTGATTCATTTTATAAACCTACATGTGCTTATATAACTGTAGAACTTATCTCCGACACGGACATTACACCCACCTGCTAATCTAGCATACCCTTGTTCCTTACTTTAAATACAGTGTATAATTTGCGTCTGTTACAGAGTTACGTATGCAATAAAATTACATTTATACCAATGTATATTTTTTTGAAGCATTTACTTACAATTTCTTATATCCGATATAAACACGGCCAGGCCTCTCATGCCATCCCCCCTCACCGGCGCCATTGTAGTTAGCTTGTTAATTTTCGCTGGTTTTATGCAAACTCGGGGCGAAGAAAAATCTGTTCGAGCGCTCGAGTCGATGCGGCGCTCTTATCGCTTAAGCTCAACGACTACAATAACAACGACAGCAGCACCAACAACAACAAATGGCGGGCGTAAGTATTAGCGGCGACAACTGTGCGACGTTTCCACTTGCTGCAGTCCAATGCTGAGACTGATGAATGACAAATTTTGATTTGGTTGCGAGAAACAAAATAATGTTCCGTTGCTCTCTCACATTCACTCACAATATCGCTCTCTCGGCAGCAGAAGACCTGTTGGAAATAATATATTTGTTTAGCAATCAATTGATATCGATAACAATTTTGTTATTGCTTTAAAGGCATATTTGGCGCAATTTGAACTTTTGACATTTGGCAAGCGAGCATACGCCCCCTCCAATGCTCCGCAACCCACCCACTCGCTTTTACTTGGCAAGCGCGTTGGCAGTACTTCCAATGCCTCTATATACACATATAAATATATGTATATGTAAACATATATAATATATATATATTTATATATTTAAATATATTTTAAAGAGCAACAACAATTGCAGTCCTGATAACGGTTTGATTCTGATGACCTTAAGGAAACGTTTTTATCACAGTTTGCACTTGTTTAAGTAAATAAATAAATGATTAGAGCAAGATCAGTGCCACCGGCTGAAGCCCTTTGTTGTTGGCCAGTAATTATTTCGCTTTCATGTCACGTCTCACAGTCGCAGTCGTAGTCGACGTCACTTTTTCTCTTCATATGAACCACACAACCAACGGCCGCAAGATGACGAAGTCGTTTTATTTGCACAGACCGCAAAAACAGCACTACGAAACGTTCCGAAATTTCATTTTTTATATTTTATGGCATAACACACAAATGGTTTCAAGTCGCGAAATTATTTAGGTAGTCACTACTGTTACTGTTGCTGCTTACTTTTTGAAACGATGCAGCCAAATTGTTTTTGCAGAGAGTTTGCTGGAATTTGTGTCGTTTCGTTTGGCTTTCTCACGGCTGCGGCTGGGGCTGCTGCTTTTTGGGTTTTCTTTTGGGTGTTGGCCGAGGAATGTGTGCGTGCGTGTATGTGTGGTAGATGCAGCACTTTATGTAACCCGTGTGTGAATTTCAATTGTGTTCGATTGCTGTTATTAATTGTAAACTAACGCAAAACAAGCAGAGCAGCCAGGCATTTCACGAACTGAAAATTTCTATTGATTTTTCCTCGACTCTCCTCTCCATGCAACAGCCATCTAGCGGACACAGTGCTGTTAAACGGCCGTTCACAAGCGTTTATCAGCCCAGTGCTACATAGTGTTTCAATCGGACTGTATTCACATTTCCAACACTACAACTTTACAACTCCGCCATTTTTCGCTACAGCGTTGCATATGCGAGTGGTCGTCCGACTATTTGTAGTAATCTACGCTTTTTTTTTGACATCAAGCAGATAAATATAATGCTCTTACATTTTAAAGTGCATTAAGCGAACCGCGGAGAGTCCAACAACTGCAAACAATATAACGTAACTGTTTACAAGCGATTACGCATGTGTTACGTACTGCCAGCGCCGTCTTTTCATCAGAATCAACGCAGCCGTCATAAAACTGGCTACCGAATTGCAAGTTTTTAGCAAATCAATACGAAACAGCATCCAGAGCCGCAGTGGAGGTAGTCGGCGTGTTTGCCAAAACGTTCCAACATGAGTTTTTCCAGCGACGAGGTAAACTTTCTAGTTTTCCGATATCTGCAGGAGTCAGGTGAGTCTGAAGAGAACTTTTAAAAGACGCCGATTGAACATAACCCCCGATACCCTTACTATCAGGCTTTCTGCATTCAGCGTATGTGTTTGGCATCGAGTCTCACATCTCACAAAGTAACCTTAATGGAGCCATAGTGCCTCCAGCTGGCCTGCTTACCATACTGCAGAAGGGTCTGCTCTACGCAGAGGTGGAGTGGAGTGTGGGTGAAGATGGTGAGGTGGCGAGACCCATTGAAGGACTTAGTTTGATAGATGCCGCCATGCCAGAACTGAAGCCGCTCAAGCCAATAGTCAAAACAGAGCCGTGCAAACCGGGTGCAGTAGATAACAATACGCCAGCCAACGCAAATGCAAACAGCAATGCAAAAACTGAGATTAAAATTGAGCCGGGCACAGGTAATACGGCTGCAAATACCACTGGCAAGGGAGCCAATGCCAGCACGGGCACCAGCACACCTACCGGCAGCAGCGCCGACACCAGTGAGGTGGACTCCAGTGGCAATACCACATCTAACAGCAATGCCACCACTAGTGGCAATAATAATGCAAGCGGAACATCTGCCGGCACTGCAGCAAACTCGGCGACAACTGCGGCCAGCGCGAACGCTGAAAGTGCCGCCGGAGCTCCTGGCGCTAACAAAAAGACGGGCGTCAATGAATCGGGAGCAGCCAGCAATACGGCCTATCCAAATACAACGAGCACAGATGATGCTGCGTCATCCACGTCCACAAATGGCAACAGTAGTAATTCCAGCAGCGTGGAACAGCCAGCGACAGGTGTTACGCCCGCTGCTCCCGCAGCCTCCAATGCGGAAACCGGTGCAACAGCTGCAGGCGCTTCAGCAACGGGTGCCAAGGCACCTAGTGGTGCAGGAGGTGCAGCGACAGCACGAGTGGGCGCTCAGGGAAATAATGTGCAGACCACCTGCCCAACGACCGCTCAAACTGCAGTACCCAGTAGTACGACATCAGGTAGCGGAGGAGGTGGCGGCGGCGGTAGTGGTGGTGCCGGTGGCGGCGGTGGCGGTAGCACTGGCACACCTGGCAGCACCGTTGTGGAAGCGATGGACATTGATCAGAACATTGAGATACCTGAATCGAAGGCGCGTGTGCTGCGTGGCCACGAGAGTGAAGTGTTCATCTGCGCCTGGAATCCCAGCCGAGATCTGTTAGCCAGTGGCTCTGGCGACAGCACTGCACGCATTTGGGACATGTCCGATGCGAATGCCAACTCAAGTCAGTTGGTGTTGCGACATTGCATACAGAAAGGTGGCGCTGAGGTGCCCAGCAATAAAGATGTAACTTCGTTGGACTGGAATGTAAGTAGTCAATTGGATAGTCTAATGATATCGATAGCCGATCAGAAAGTCGCTTGGCTATCGAGAAATTATCATTAACATTCGTTCGACTTGCAACACTGACATTACCATATATCAAATTTAATTATTTTGTGTAGTGCGACGGCTCTCTTCTGGCCACGGGAAGTTACGATGGCTATGCACGCATTTGGAAGACGGATGGCCGATTGGCATCCACATTGGGCCAACACAAGGGACCCATCTTCGCACTTAAATGGAACAAATGCGGAAATTACATTTTGTCTGCAGGCGTCGATAAAACAACAATTATCTGGGACGCATCCACGGGCCAGTGCACACAACAGTTTGCGTTCCATAGTGCCCCTGCACTGGACGTTGATTGGCAATCGAACCAATCGTTTGCATCGTGCAGCACAGATCAGCGAATACACGTATGCCGGCTGGGTATGAACGAGCCCATAAAAACGTTCCGCGGCCACACGAACGAGGTGAATGCAATCAAATGGTGTCCGCAGGGTCAGCTATTGGCTTCCTGCTCTGACGACATGACACTTAAGATCTGGAGTATGACGCGTGATCGTTGCTGTCATGATCTGCAAGCGCATTCCAAGGAGATATACACGATAAAATGGTCACCCACCGGGCCCGGTACCAACAATCCCAACACGAATCTTATTCTCGCGTCGGCTTCGTTCGATTCGACGGTTCGTCTGTGGGACGTTGAGCGTGGCAGCTGCATACACACGCTAACGAAGCATACAGAACCCGTCTATTCGGTGGCCTTCAGTCCGGATGGCAAGCATCTGGCCTCGGGCAGCTTTGATAAGTGTGTGCACATCTGGAGCACTCAGACCGGACAGTTGGTGCACAGCTATAAGGGAACTGGTGGCATTTTCGAAGTGTGCTGGAACTCCAAGGGCACTAAAGTGGGCGCCAGTGCATCCGATGGCAGCGTTTTTGTCCTCGATCTGAGAAAGTTCTGATCCACAGCAATCACATTTGATACAGCCTCCAGCAGCTCTCAGCACCATTTAAGTTATGTATATTGAAGCTTAAATTCTAATGTGTTTCTTGCTTCTGTTTCGAATGTCTACTTTAATGTTCTATCCGCGATCCCTCAATGAGTTTCCCTCGACCTCCAATTTCAAGTCAATATCGTTTCTGTGTTCTGGAATTATCGCTCGTGGGCGTCGTAAACAGAGTTTGCGCCACATTCGCAACCAGCTGCAGGAAATGCGCTTTTAATTTAGCCGTAAGCTCCATATGTTTCTAAGTTTTTATACAGAAAGAACCCCGTTTAGTATAACACGATGCATTTTGTTATTTTCTATACATCAGCGCAGTATAATGGTCCAGTCCCAATTAAGTCTTAATTGAATAACCTTTTATCCTTAGACCTAAGCATATAAAATGCATGCAAACAAATGTTTAGTTAGTTGCCGGTAAACGGAAACGGATCCAAGTTTAAATGGATGACAACCCGATTTACGCTTACATTCGAACAGTGTAACTGGATCCCAACGTAGTGTGTAAACGATTATAATTATAAAGAATGGCGTTAACAGCAGCTATAATTAATTAAAGCTCCAAAACTAAGGAAATCGAGAATTTATTTTAATGAGAAAATAGGGCTCATGCAGTGCTATCAATTACAGTCAATTGCTGCTGGCCGGACTGTCTGTCTTAAGGAAAACGTGCTGCCTATTTCAAGGAATGTGGTTAATCAAAGATAAATATGGCAAATAGATTTTGTCTCTCTTAATCCTATGTTTATTGAGCATATTGTTTAATTATAAATAACTTGTGATAAATAATTTAAAAATCCGTGACATTGTCTAAATGACACTGTTTGAAGAAGCGGCATTCCTCGCGCTTTACTTCGCCTGTTTTGGTGGTACCCTTGAAGAACTTAGTCAGCTTTGCGCCCGCATACTTGGGTTTTTCCGTATCAGGCTCATCGAACTCCATTTCGTAGGCCTTATCGGCCAGCGCATTCTCTGCCGTTGACCAACTGAACCTCACCAGACGCGGAAAGCCGAATACCAAATCAATGTTCTCAGTGAGGAAACGTTTGGTGACCGGATCGCCGGGATAGCCACTGCCAAACGCATTGTCCTTAATGACCAATCCCTCGGGAAACTGCCAAACCTTTAGAGCATGATCACGGGTTACCTTGGCGCAAATACTGGCCGCCGAGACAATCGGATAAGTGGAGTCGGCCTTTTTGGCAACAGTTATTTTAAAGTTTGGAAACCGTTTGAGCAGCTTCTCTTGATACTTCTCCGGTGGACCCACAGTGTCCACGTAGACCTCAGCTATGTTGACACCCGCATCGATTGCATGTTGTATAAGGCCCATGGCAGAATCCATGGATACCTCGTTTAGCGAGCACTTGCTGCGTCGGTACATGCTGTTGCTGATAACATTTGGCGAAATGATTTCCACAGCCCAGCCAATGCAGCTGTTGGCATACTCCAGAGTGTTGATATCGTTAAATATGATATCGCGTTTTTCCTCTGTTAATTGTTTGGAGTCCGCGCAGCCCAAATCAACCAAAGCATTTTTACTATCCAGCGGACAGTAGGCAATTCCGTATACCATGGGCCCCAGCACAGGACCGCGGCCCGCCTCGTCGACGCCCAACATGCAGGGCTGATCCTTGCATATTGTTGGAACATCACTTAAATAAACTGTATTTTTACTATTTTCGCGGGCAGCAATAAACGGTCCAAGTTCCTGTAACGAGCTAATGCTATCAATGCACACAGACTCTTCCTTCTGTACTATTTTTGGCTTTTCATCTATTATAGATTCATTTTCTCGTTTAATATCTATATCTTCCATTTTTAGCGCGTTTTTTGTTTACCGGTTAATCGATAGGTATATTGTTTACATTTTATAGTAGTGTTGGTAAGTGAAAACATTACCATTCACAGCGAACCTATACAAAACACTTTAAGGCGCGACCAACTTAACACCAATCGTTCTTTCCGGTTTAGGATTCTGTTCCGTGTGCTTGTTCTCTTGCGAGCTAAGGCCGATTATTATAAAAACATTAATTTTTGGCAACTTGCACCAATTATTAATTAAGCAAACAGTTTAACAATGTCGACAAAAGCTGAGCTCGCATGCGTCTACGCTTCCCTCATCCTGGTTGATGATGATGTCGCCGTCACTGTAAGTTGTTGAAAATTGAGATCAAAACAAATCTGCAAAATCAGCGACAATCCCAACTTTTAATCTGCAGATATATGCATGCAGCTTCATATATATATATTTTAGAGTGATTGCTAATTGTATTTCTCATTTGGCATTATTTGTAGGGCGAGAAAATCTCTACCATTTTGAAGGCCGCCAATGTTGAGGTGGAACCCTACTGGCCCGGTCTGTTTGCCAAGGCGTTGGAGGGCATCAATGTCAAGGACTTGATCACCAACATTGGCTCCGGTGTTGGAGCTGCACCAGCTGGCGGTGCTGCTGCACCTGCCGCTGCCGCCGCACCCGCTGCTGAGTCCAAGAAGGAGGAGAAGAAGAAGGAAGAGGAGTCTGATGTCTCCGACGACGACATGGGCTTCGGTCTGTTCGATTAAACTGCAGCAGCAGCAGCAGCACGAACTACTGCAACAAATAACGTACAGGAGCAACAACATCCGCCGTGTATGTGAAGTAAGGTTTTTACTCTCCCCACTTTCGTACACGTTTTAATGTACAAACGCGAGGAAATACAAATGTTTACTTTAAAGTGATTTCAAGATTTTTTGTAATTTTTATTGGGTTTAAACGGTATCCAGTGCAGCGCTTAAAATATGCCATTTTCCAACACCTTGGCTATGGCTCTTAGATCCTCTGACTCGACTTTCTTTAGGCCCAATGCGATGATCAGCTCTGTGGGACACTTGTTGATCGCCGTCTTGTTGACTAGAAACTGTATACCGCCGCGTATCTCATCGGAGTCGACGCCCATAAGGCAGGTCATTGTCACTGGCACCGAGACGTGAAATTGCGGGTCGTCCACTGGGCCGTGCGCATAGGGCAACACTCTGTGGTCACGCTTGACATCGAATGCTACGTTGTAAAACGCCGGCAACTTGCCCAGCTGCGTGATCAGCAGCATCCATTTGTTTTCGAACTCGTGAAATACGAATTCTGTGTTATTACCATTTATGTCCAACGCAAACTGTTTCTGGAATCCACATTTATTGTTTTTTGTTTCAAATATGCTCATTTCGCGGCAGTCAAATAAAATTCTTTATTTTTCTTAAGCTGTTTTTCTTGTTTCGAAAAACATATGTTTATAGAGTCAACTGTTGAAGAATAGTTGCTCAACGGTTGAGTTGCGTTTACTGGCTAGCGTAAAGTTAAGTTAAAAATATTGTATTATTGAAATTGTTTAAACTTTTCACAATTTTTATACATTTACAAAATAAAAATTAGCACAAAAATGTACAAATTTGAATTTTAGACAGCTATACGTTAACCGAGTGAGTCGGCGTTTATTAACTAAAACGCGCTGTTCAACACTGAAACTATCGCAGCTAAGACACTTAAAATTTGTATTTTTGTACTGCACTGAAACTATCGAAATTAAAATGCAGGGAATATACAGTATACTATGCAAGACAACAGATGGCGATGCAGTAAAATATAACGCTTTTTTTTAAAACAGTTGCCAGGCTAATTTAGTTGTTGAATCGATAAATGAAATCAATTAATCAAAAATATAGTAGACCTGATGTCTTGCATTTGCCTTGGACCAAAGCGTGCAGGAAAAACGCATCTGCTCAAGGCCCTCCAGGAGCCAGACTCTATAGATGAGACGAGCTATTCGATGCCAACAATTGGTACAGGCATCTTTCGCATTTATTTTCCTGAAAAGTCAGCAAATGCCGACAGACACAAACCACCGCCGCCAACAACAGATGCCGTAGCCACGTCGCGTGGCAGCAAACACCTGCCTAAGTTCATACAGGTGCTAGAAATTGGAGGCAGCATGGCGCCTTTGTGGCGTCAAAGCCAATACTTTGAAGATGTTAAAAAGCTCGTCTATGTGGTGGATGCCTCTAACCTGTGTCAGATCTCAGCTGCGGGTGCGTAGAACAAACAAGACCAAATACCCATTCACAATAGATTTAATTACAGGCGTACTCTTCTATTCGATTCTCACGGAACCACGTCTGCAAAAGGTTAAAATACTCCTCGTGCTGACGAAAATGGACTATTCCTATCGCCAGATGCGCAACGAGGCTTTGCTCATGCTGCAAATGTCCAAGCTACAGAAACAGATACGGCAACAGGTGACCATTGTAGAGGCCAGTGCGGTGACCAAGGTGGGTCTCAGCACCATCTATGAGTGGCTTCAAAGGCCCTGATTGGGTTTCTGTTAATAGATTTATTTCTGTGCAAAATAAACTCAAATCTAAAGCTTGTAGTTGAGATCCATGTACTGCAGATTGGCGGTCACTTCGCCCGCATCGGGCAGCACATCCTTGGCCGCATTCAAATAAGACTTGGCACCCATAATGTCCCCGCCATGAGCAGCCAGCACAGCCAAATTGTTCAGAGCAGATCCGTCGCGAGCGTCGGAAGTGAGGCACAATTGCAGGCAGCGTTTGGCCAGGTTGAAGTCGCCAGATGTCTACAAAAATATATAAGAGATTAGTAATGAGAACATAGACAGCTCTAGTCGATATTGATCAACTAGTTAACAACTACAAGAAATTGAATTCACTTGGAACATCTCATATGTCATTAGTGTGGGGACTTAATATCGATAAATATCGATTTGGATAAAACGTGAGAAAATCTCATACAAAATAATACAATTTAACTTTTGCCTATCCTGTCTATGTGAAAAAGCTGGTTCAAAGCAATAGTTATCGATTTCTGGGACAAGAAAATGTTATCGATTCTATGTCGTAAGCCCAATCCTGCTATAAATGTGATTTTTTATATCTTATTATATGCAAAGTATGCACAAGGAACGTGAACGATATTTATCGATAACATAGAAATTGGCGAAAAATGATCGTTTCTTCAAAATACTTTCCTGCTCTATATGAACTCCCTTCACCCTCTTCACTTTATCCCTCTGTTTATCCATTTGCTATAAATAAAGGGTATTTGGTTGTTTATCATACTGACCAACGCCACAAAGCTGAGATTGTACCAAATGTCTGCCTTCTGCTCCGGCTGCGTGGCCATCAGCAAAGCGCGCTGAAAGCAAGGCAGCACCAGATCAATCTGACCGCCATATAGACAGCAGAGAGCTATATTGCAGTACAGCTCCGAGGTGTGGACGCCTAGGGACAGGATGCGTCTATAGTACATCAGCGACATCTCCGGATTGTTGTCGTAGAAATAGCCGACGGCGATGCTGGCCAACGCCTCCACATTGATGGGCTGCAGTCGGGCGGCCAGGCGATACAGCTGCAGTGCATCCTCCTGCTGTGACATGGCTGCGTGAACGCGTGCCTGCTCCAGCCTGTAGGTTACATCGAATGGTTGTCGCTCCACTGCCTGGCCAATGAGCACCAGCGATCGCTCCGGCTGACGCAGCCTCTGATACAGTCGTGAAAGCAGGAGATACGTATCTGGATGCGGAAATGCGGCCAGCGATTGCTGCAGATGGCTCTCGGCACGACGTGGATAGTGCAGAGCCAGCAGACAGCGGCCCAGCTGCTGCTGCCACCACCAATCCGTACGGGCGGCATCCGCAGGCGTGGCTAGGGCTGTCAGTCCTGGTCGCTGCCGCTGCACATCGAGCACCGCCTCGCAGAGCGAATGCGCTTTCTGCACATCAGCCTCGTGGTAGTAAAGGAACTGGAATAGCGCCTTCACAATCGCCTCTCTTTCCGCATAGATAGTGGGATTTAGCCGTGAAGCCTGATACAGCGCGGCCGTCGCATCGCCCACATTGAAGGCTGCCGCTGAGGTGGCGCGCACCCGCGACGCTGTGCCACATCTCGAGGCGGGACGTGCGCCCAGCGAGGAACCCGGTCGACTGATAGCCGTGCCCGGACGCGTCACTCCCGAGCCGGGACGTGTGCTGCCGCTGGAATGGCTCAGAGCCGTTGCACGTCGCTGACTGGTGCTGGGACGCGGCTGAAAGGCCGTCTTGATGCTGGTGCCGGGTCGCGCTGCCGTTGCAATGCGCTCAAACTCCACCTCCTCATTGACTGGGCGTTGGAAGAGACGAGAGCGTTAGAGCTAATTAAAATAGATATTTGACAAAAAGGAAGTCTTCTGCTTGACATGCTACGCCATGTGCAGGTAACTGAGTCGAGTCATGGAAATTCTAGATCCTAGTCTAAGTCAACTAAGGCAACTTTTGTTAGCCTCCATATTATATAGGGTATGTGAAAATGATAGAGAGCGGCGCGCTTGCTCAATTGTTCCGTTATTCACTTGTTAAAAAACTTATGATCAATAGCGGAACAGCTTGTATAACTCAAGGGACTACACCATCATATGTTGGATATAGGAAATATCAGCCAAAGGGTAAAACACAAGTAATAAAATTAAAAACAGAATTTCTGTTTACTATGATATATACTACTAAATCGACACTCCCTTAAAAAATCGGTTGATAAGTGTTATGTATGGAGATCTTTCTTGTTAGTAAATATATATTAAATTTAAAACTAAGTTTGACGTATTAGAGGATCTCCTCTAATATAAGCAAAACTATATCATAGTGGATGCCTTCAATGCTATTCATGCTATTCAGTATATAGTAGAATAAATAGTAGTATATATAGTAGTATATAGTAGTATATATAGTAGTATATATAGTAGTATATATAGTAGTATATATAGTAGTATAAATAGTAGCATAAATAGTAGTATATAGTATTATATAGTAGTATATAGTAGTATATATAGTAGTATATATAGTAATATATAAAGTACAAAATTCCAATACACAAATCCTATAGTTAGCAAAGCTTTGATCCACTACTCCGCCTTCTCCACAAGACTGTGTTTTCTTTAACAGTTTCTTTGTGCTTATATATTGCAACGTGCCACTCGTTTCGCTTACCCCCATCGTCCGCATCATCCACCTCGAGATCATCCAAGTAGACGCGCTGCGTCAGAGCGCGCATCTTTAGCTGCCAGACGCCTTCCATCAGCCAAGTGGGCATTATGGATGCCACGGGCTGGCCTGTGCCGCCATCCTTTGCCGCTTCGCCGCGTCTTCGCCGCGGGCCAATTCGCTGCAAATGGCTACCGTATTTATAGCTCTGGCTCGACTCGTGCTCCGTCTGCTGCTGCTCTTGCTGCGCCTCTTCCTGCTGCTGCTGTTGCTCATGTTTGGCAAAGATTTGGACATTGTTGTCGTGGCCCGCTTGGAGCAGCGCGTTGCACACCTCGGCGCATTGCTCGTAGCTGCGCCGACGATAGAGCGAGACGGCACGAAAATATTGCAGCTCCAATGTGGCCAGCGTCGCTGCCGACGTCGCAGCTGGCGTCATTTGGCGGGGACACCCAACCAAAAAGGCCTTGTTTTGCTCTGCTCTTAATTTCAAGTGTTTGAATTCCTTTGGGCAGCTGCCCTCCTGCTTCTCGCTGCTTGGCTGCTCTGCTTCGTCTTCTTCAACTTGTGCTCGGTTGGGCTGGAATTTTAAAACCGGATGCGTGTCATTCCTTGACCGCCACGCCCCGCTGCCATCTCCTACTGCTGCTGTTGCTTCTGCTCTTTGCTGCCTGCTAATGTTTTTTAGTGGTTCCTTCTGCTGCTGCTATATTTTTTTTATTTCGTCTGCAGCTCTTCTAATTTTTCTATTCCCATAATTTGTACCTACCTTGATTTATTTTTATTTCGATTTCTTTTGCCTTTATTTCGTTGATGAGTTTTAATTTGAGAAATCCTTTCGCTTTGTTGTGGCCTGCGTCTAGGGCTCAATTTTGGTTACGCTCTGCCTTCCGGTCGCTGGGTCGCCGGGTCTTGGGTACTGGGAATTGCGGTTGCCATGACAGCTATTTAATAAGCCACAACAAATGTGGCTCTGACTCAGCGTTGGCTAGAAAGAAAGACCTTAAGCTTAATTAAATAAACATTAGAATTATTTTCCGTTTTTTTTTCTATTTTTAAAAGCCTATTTTATATCAAGTTTACCTTTCATAAACATGTTCTCTTTAGCTTCTTAATCTGTGGCAATAATTTAAAAACAACTCAAAAGATTGCGAGCAGCAAAATGTCATCATCCAGTTGTCCGAGCTAAAGTGAAGAAAATAAGCAGAGAGCAAAGAGACTTAGCTGAATTATAAACAAATATATCAGTACATATGTATGTTTATTTATCAAAATAAATATATATATTTATTAAAAATTTCCAGTCTCTAGCAAGTCTCTGGTGTATGAGTGCTGAACTCAGATTCTCTTGCTTCTTGATCAGGATCAGCTCAGCATATTAATCTATAGCTAACATTTTGAAATTGGAATTTAAATCTTTCTAAGCTCATCACCTGTGTGGCACCTGCCACACCTACCTCAATGCCGTCACAAGCTTAACCCTTTCTCGCAATTGGCAAACTAAGCGAAATAAAAAGCTAAAGTCAAGCAAATGTTATGCAAAATTTGGCATAGAATCAAATTTGAGCAAGCAGCGATGCTGGCAGGGCGTGGCAAGCTGGCTGCATGACAGGTGTTCAAGGCAAATCTGCTGATGAACCTCAGCATCTGCCGCCAGAGCGGAGAGCAGGCGTAGGAGACTTGCAGCTGCTCGGACGCCGTCTTGAGCGCTGCTGTTTGACTCGAACAAATGATAAGCGCCAAATATTTGTTGATAAATGTTTGGAAATTAAATGAGCGGCAACAACAAGCGACAACAACAACAACTAATAACCAACAAACGACAGCAACAACAAGCATTCACGTTGACGTTGAACTCATCGCGCTGGCATGCAAAAGCCAAATATTTATCAGCCTAGCTGGGCCTTTGCGTGCATGTGCCCCGACCCCCTCGCACACACTCACACACGCACACACTCATTTATAAATAACAAGATTCTAAATGTAGCTGTATTTATAATTTAAAGTTTAGCTTTGGCTCCCACGGCCCAAACAGCGGCTCGCTAATTTAAATTTGAATAATTTTCAATAGATATTTCCGAAATACATTTCGCTAGCTCTTTCGAATGATACGGAATGCCAGATATGAGAATACGTTTGTGAATACAAATGTGAATGCTGATGTCTGTTGATTTGGCAAAACAAAAAAAACTTATAGCTCATTATCTGCCGACAAGCTACACATGTAGCGCGTATCTTGTATCTCATATCTGGGCTTGTATCTTGACTTGACTTTTGTGCGAGATATCCTCCCACTGTGCCGCATAGGCAGATCCCTCGCTTAAGGCAGTAGTCAGCTAGCTAATACCCTGTAAATAAAGTATAGATTTGGTATATATCGCTGGCCTGGCACTGCGTAGTACAACAATTTACAGGGTATACGGCATACAAATACAAGTCAACTGAAGATTTACATTTGGTATTTATGCGTTAATATATTTACGTTACATACCTTGCTAAGGAAATAATAAGGGTATGCTTAATCACTTGATACGCTTATAGTAAGAGATCCTAACTCAGCTTGACTCAAACTTCATAAGGTTACATATCTAAGCACAAGCACAGCATGTCTCCTCTTCAACTGTTTATAGGGCATAGAAGATGTCGACAAGAGATTTGCCATTGCATAAATTCGAACTTCACATAATTTTAAATTTTCCTAGCACATCATGCCTCACGGCCCGCTTGTTTACAGAGTATAGCAAATTTTTGGTGCTGCATTTGCTTTGCTTATCAGTTGGCCATAATGCGTCAGCATTGCCAACTTAGCTTTTATCACAGTCCACACACGCACACACACATACAGAGCTTTTTTTTGCTCATTTTTGACATGTTTGGCATTAATCATACGCCCCGTGAACGTCGCAACAAAGCGAATCTCCCGCACTGTTCCACGTAATCCGAGTCTCATTTTCATCAGCTGGCCCAGCTGTCAGCTGGACATTTGTTTTCTTTACCTCATATATGTGATATATATACATAGATATATATATATATATATATATATATATATATATATATGTAGATATGTTATTATTTGGCCGAACCGCAGCTGGCGCTAGTCTAGCAATAAAAGTGCACTAGTTTTTTTTTGTACCCGTAAAAAATTCCGTGCACAAATATTTGAGCGGACACTGTGTGGGACACATGTGTGCGAAAGTTCGAGAATTAAGCAATCGGCCGGGCTAAGAACTAAGCTGGAAGCACTAAATGACATTTTGTTGTAGTTTGTTGATACTGAAGAAGTCCATGAAAGCACAATGATTGAGCAGATAAAGACGCCAGCAAAGGAGTAGCTGAACAAGTTAACAGAATATGAAATTTCTTTGGTTATATAATATCTGAAGGGGATTAGTTTGAAGCGCACAAAATAGATTTGAACGAACAAATTTTTATAAATGTTGTTGTATATTGTTGTTGTTGTTGTTGTTGTTAGTTAACAACTAGCGCACAACAACAACAACAACAAGTCATGAGAATCTTAACTATTATTCACGCATTGATTATTTATTCAAGTGTTTGCGGTTTGCCTTTTTTTTATTATCAAAACTATTCAATGTTTCGATGTGAAAGAAAATTATGGAATTAATATATAGTTAGCTACGGGGCCAGCCGCAAGAAGCACAGGCAGAAGAAGAAGAAGCAGCAGAAGAATAAGACTTGGCCGCAGCAGCAAAATGCCCATAGACTGAGCTGCCAATGCAGCGGCTGCCTGTGCAATATAAACGCTCATTAAAAGCATAAAAAAAAAAAAACAAAAACTAAAAAAAATAAAAAAAAACATCAGCTACTGTACAGCAATTGGTTGATTTTTTCGATTTTTGCAAGGCCTACGGCAGCGAGAGCGAGATGGCGCGAGGCAGAGCGGCAGCGAGGCAGCGAGAATGTGGAAAAGAGAGACTAAAGCAGAGCAAGAGCAAATGCGCAAGAAAGCTGCAGCTGAGGTTTACAGCCTGCAGCCTGCAGCCTGCAAACAGGTAAGCAAGAAATTGCCAAAACAACAACAGCAACAACACTGGCCCAGACATCCGCTGAGACAGCGCACGCGCGACGCTGACGTCGCTGCCGCAGCCAACGCGCTTTTGGGCCTTTGGGGCTAGCTGCTGCCTGCGTCGCAGTCAAGTCTCGTGCCGCATTGTTGTTGCTTCCGCTGCTGCTGCTGCCGCCGCCGCTAAAGATTGCAATCGCGCTGCGCAGCGCAGCACAGCGCAGAATTTGTATCGGCGAGTGAGTTACTTGTACATCTGCGGCCCCGAGCCCGATTAGCGCTGGCCGCGTGACACAGGCGTACGCACGAAACAGCACGAAAGCGCAGGAATGCAGAATGCAACAAAAATAATAATTTATATATAAGTAAAGTGATATAAAACAAGTTTTACTACATCTGCTAGATGGTTCTTTGTTATCAGATATTCCAAATCGTATGTCTATTCGAAATTCCTTTAAATTCACATGAACATTGCGCGCAGCTGCTAAGCATAGATAAATTCCACTGGAAAAAGTGTGTGAAAAAGCCTGACAGAAATAGCCAATAAAATCACACAGCTTTAATAGCCTGCACAAATAAGAGACAGAAGAAGCCCTGGAAAAGAGGAAACGTTTTGCTTGTCTTAGGAGCACGTCACTCGCTCATCTCTAAGCGCAACTTCGATTCTTTCATTTCATTGGAATTTATTTAGAACACATTTTAAAAGCAGCATTGTTGTTATTATTGTTATACGTTAAGCAGCAGCATCAGCATCAGCAGTAACAACAATAACAGCAACAGCAGCAGCAGACACGCGGCATTCCAATGCCCAAAAAGGCAAATCCCCCAACGCAGTAGCAACAACAGCAGCAGCAGCAACAACAACAACAACAGTCGAAATTTCATTGCAGTTTAGTAAGCAGCCCCCTCCCTTCTCTCCACCCACTGGCAACTACAAATACAACGGCGCCACTTTGCAGCTCCATTGAAGCAGCATTCGATGTTGTCTTTGTTGTTGCTACTGGCATGCGGCTAGAGAAAAGTTTGGCTCGAATAAATTGAATTGAGCGAGATGCCGATGACTGGAATTGGAGTGAAAGTAGGGTAGGCAGATTAGACACCGACTGACTCTCAGCCAGTGGACATTGCACACACACACACACACACACACACACACAATGACGGAGACACCACATTCCACAATCGCAGCGATTGGCCAAAAAGTTCAGAATTTTGTCAATTCGAACTCCATTTTTAATGCTCTTCCACTTCACTTAAGGAGACAATGATGAGACGTATTCCCTATTGCAATTGTGGGAGTTCGCTTGTGGGAGCTTTCACTGTAGTAATTTCGAGCTCGTGGCCAGGGTAGATAACTTCCAAAGAATCAAATCATGAAGCAAATTATTACCTGGAAACGTCGTTCATTCATGCAAAGAATTTGAAGTGCGTTGGAAAGAGGCGAGAGGGGTGAAAGGGTGAAGCATACGGAGAACCAAATGCGATTTGTTATTTACATTCAAATTAAAGAGCAAAAGCGACCACAAAAAACTGCGAATGCGAAGTAAGTTAGTGTAACAAAAGTAATAAAAATACTTTAAGCACTCAGAGAGGGACAGGCGATTGGCGCGGGCAGACACAGAGAGCGAGAGAGTCAAAGAGAGGAATGTCCATATCCATTAACATTATCATTTGAGCAGTTGTCCGGAGAGAAGGAAGGGGAGGGGGTTCGGCATGACTGGTCAATAATATTCGGTCATAATAAAAACAAAATATGCGACAACAACAACGCCAATAAAGCGTAACGCAAGCGAAGCTACACGCATGCACACACATACATACACACATACATATATATATATATATATATATATATATATATATTAAGACCAACCAACAATTACAGAAGGTACATTACTGTTGCTATTCTTATGCTATCCGAATTCCTATTAGTGGCGAATTCTCGCAATAAAGAGAAGTTAGCCCAGCATTGGAATTTCTCATATGCTAAGCACAGGCTGCAGTCAACAAAATGAAAAAAAAAAACGTTACCAATGGCTAAGCCTGCGCCCTGTCAAATTGCGCGCCAATTCTGCCAGAGATTCGGTCAAGATTCGATTCAAGATTCAGCTTCCAAAACAAAATGCGAAAAAGGCGTGTGCTCGTGCACGGATCACCGAATAGTAGATACGCTGTGTTCTTCACCTTAAAGGTAACATGGAATATATACTATACTATATAGGCTAAGAGCTTTATCGTTTTGTGTTCCACAAATCATTGTAGGACAGCAGAATATACTCTTCCCTCTTAGCCATTGTCGATGGATGCAGGGTATCTAAAAAGCCAACTCGCATTCAAGGAATTGCATAAAATATTTTTGTTTTGAAGACAAGGCCTCAGAACAGGCACAGGCTCCAGCATCCCCACACATAAACTCACTCAGTCCGACAAGCAGACATACACACACACACTCACTTAAACTATGTTGACCAAGAACGTAGCAGCAACAACAACCGGTCTTAGAACCAAAGAAACAACAACGGCGCATAGCAGATACACTGGAAGAAATCGAAGAGCTTGCGCCAGGTTCCCAGTGCTGCTTTCCCGTCGCGCGGCCAACAAGTTATGGCCATGGCGACCCCCGACCCCAAACCCCCGACCTGTCAAGAACATGGCTCCGGCGTCGTGTCCAACTCCACATATAAAAATATATATTTATATATACAAATATATATATATATATAAATATATATATAAATGTATGTGTGTGTGTACGGCATATTTGAGAAAACTTAAAAATCGGAAGGCAGAAAAAAACGGCAACAAAATAATTTCGAGTGTGCGTGCGTGTGAGCGAGACAAGGGCTCTGGAATAGATGGGCCTGCAGCGGCAGTGCGAGCGACAACGCAAGAGGCAAAAAGAATCCAGCAAATCAAGCTCACATTATGCTGAGGAATGCGCCCAAGTGACGATATCGTAGCAGCAGAGAACGGCGACCGCGCAATCCGCTCTTACAAATGGACAGCGGGCAGCGCAACGGAACGCAACGCTCTCCCTTTTCACCCCGCTTCAAGCCCCTTTGCAGTAAGCGAGTAACCAAGGTTTGTCTGTGTACGTGTGAATGTGTATGTGTGTGTATCTATGTAAGTGTATAAGAGTGTGTATGTGTTGCTATTTCTTTTGCGCGTTCTTCGTTGCTGAAGTCGCCGTCGCCGTCGCCGTCGTCTCAGCCTCTGCCGCGGCCTTGCGTCGCGCTTTTCTCCTTTGCTTTGCGCACACTGCGATTGTAAAGCGAGCATATCAGCTATGTCACATATTTCATTTTCAAATTGAACGCGAAGAAAGTGTTATTATTTATAAAAATGTTAATTGGTTGTACATGCTTATAAATATAGGCAAATTAAACTTGCAGTGACCGTTCCAACATTGCAATTTGAAGCTAGCGTTGCTAAATTTAATACGCATGAAATAACGCCCTGCAGTTTAAAGTTTTGTTATTGTCTAAAAATTTGCGGTGCACATTGAAAATAAAAAATATTGACAGTAGGCATGCGTAATTGGTAATGCAGATAAGGGCATCTCTTAACCGTTGTTTATTCCATGCTTGTTCTTGTTCTTATTCGTTGTTTTCGTGTCGGGCTCCAAATAGTTGTTGTTCTTGCGGCTGGTGCTGCCAAGATAAAACATTGGAATTTCACTTACACACTGACATTTCAGTTAGCTACTGGGATTCTCCTTTGAAGTTTTTATTTATTTTGCTCACTATTTACCTTTCAGTCGTATTGTTGTTTTTGGTTGCTTTGGTTTTTTGACTGCGGCTTTATGTTCGCATCTTAGTTGGAAGATTTGCAAATGCTTCATCAGTATTAGGACGGGTGCAAGAGAAAAAGGTGCTTCCAGCGAATATGTGTGAGTGAGAGTGTGTTTGTCAGAGAATGGTGTGTTGTTCTATTGTATTCTCCAGTCTGTGCTGCTTATAAGCCCAGGCAGAACATACCAGCGCTGACGGCGACAGCAGCGCGAGCAGCGTTTGCCGTCGCAGCCAAATTCTTTGCCATCAATTTCAACCTGGTCGCTGAGCCACCGCCGCCGTCGCCGTTGCTGCTGTCGCTGCTGCTCGCACTACACTACAAAAACGATCGGCTCTCTTTCTCTCTGTCTCTCTTGTATACACAAACACATAGACGCATATACTGAGTGCTATCATGTACACGGCGCATTCCAATCTTAAATCTCAGTGGGAGATACTCATACACACACACGTGAACACTCTACACTCTCCACTCTGTAATACAGTTGCGCTCTCATAACGAAACTCTCTCGGCTCGGACTTCAGTTTGATTTTTGTAGCTGGACGAAGCAGTTGAACTGGCAGCAGGTTGCGCGTGGTGTTGAAAAAAGACATAAACACACCGTCTCACGAACGCTGAGACCGTTCTCTCACAAACACACACGCACGCCCAGTCGCAGTGCCAGCTCAGTCGCGATCGCAATAGCAACGACTGCGCGGCCCCATTGGAGCTCTGGCGATTGTAGCTGTCGCAGTCGCAGTCGAAGTCGCAATCGCAGTGTGCGCGTTTCGTTAAGCGTTTTTCGCCTCGCTTCGGTTTCATTACGTTACGTTTCGATTTTGGGTTTTTGAGATTCGGATTTAGTTTCGGATTCGGATTCGAATTCAGATTCAAAGTGTAGCGTTGAATTACAAGCGCAAGTGCTCAATTCCATTGTGTTTTTTTGTGTGTGCTGTGTTTTTTCTTGCATTTTGGGCAGCGACAAAAATTCTCAGCAACGACTCCCAACAAGTTGCTGCTGGTCAAAACAAATAGCCACACAGAAAGTTGCGACCCAGCAACAACAGCAACTACAACTACAACGGCAACAACGACAACCAAGCAAACGGCATTCTTTCGCGCAACAACAAAAAGCAGTTGCCAAAGAGAGGACAGCACCAATACAAACACAAGCAATATAAACGCCAGAGCGCTCTCTCCCGTTCAGTCGCGCTTGTACTCTTTTTGTATGTTTGTGTGTCCTATCTGTGTGTGTGGAGCTGCAGCGACCGTTTGATTAAATCGTACTATCCCCAAACTCCGCGGTGTCTCTCTATTGTTGACTGATCGCGTCGAGCGCCCACACAAACGCCAGTGAGAGAGCGCGTGAGACGCGAGCCGTCCATTGGAATGCGGCCCGCCGTTGCCGTCTTCGTTGACTGCGCAGTCGCAGCGCTTTGTTAGTGTTTGACGAAGAGGTCAGCTAAAGCTTTCGGGAAGCAGCCGCAGCAGAATCAACAATAACAAAAAACAACGATAATTCAAAAACAACAATACAATTTACTGTTATTTTGACATCGCGCAGTAAACGGCGTTAATCGATTCTCAGTGCAAAAAGAAAAACAAAGAAAGTTCGCTGTTTATAAAAAGTTGTGAATAGAAAATATCCAGCGACACTCAATTTTTGGATTACGCGCTTAAAGCGCCCCACTTTTCCCCACCACTGACAACAACAAACACGAAAACAAAATGCCGTCAACTGCAGCGGCGAACGACGGCAGTGCATAAGGTAAGCTGAAGAAACAAAAATCCCTAAATTGAGGGACGTTTTTTTGTTTTTTTTGTTTTGAGTATTTTTGTTGGAGTATTTCCGATTGGGGAATTTCATTGGAATTTTAATTGCTCCAGTCGACAGGGCAGCAACAACAAAAATAATGCAAAATGTCTTATCTGTACCATAAAACTCTTTCCGATGGTTCGCAAAATTTTTCAAAGTTCACACGTCCGCGCGCTCGTTGTGTAATTAACCATCGCACCAAATCCGAGGGGAGTGGCAATAAACGGGGTATATAGCAGGTGTCGTAAATAGCTACAGACACAAACACATACATACATATACATATGAACATGAATATCTCTTTATGCGGGTACCGGGAATACCAATGCCAAAAACAACAACATGGGAGAGAGGCAATTATAAAATGGCGACCACTGAAATCGAGCAGCTGATTTGCCCACAACAATTAAATGGAAATGGGAGCTGCAGGCACAAGCAGGCGACTAATTGAGCGTACGCTGCCACGGGCTAAGCTCAAGTGTGTTGACAGTGTTGCCACATTTTAAAAAAGCCAAAACAAAGTAGCAAGCTAAAAGCGGAAGTTTTTAATATTTGGTTTTGAGAAGAACAACTTGGTATGGGAAAAACATACTTGATTTCAACTATTTCACTTGAAAATACTAAAATATTAATCATAATTGCTATATTGGTTAGCATTATTTGACTGGAAAAAAGCGGCACACGACAGCACTGTATGGAGTGGGGGGCGCTAGTCATAACTGATACTTGCGGTGTTGTATTGCGGCACAAGTTGCATTGATAAACAAATGAGCAGCAACACACGTTAAACGCTTAAAAGAAAAGAAAACGGTAATCGTTAAACGTTAAACGATTTGCCACCGCAGAGATTCGATATCGATACACAGTTGTTTATCGGTGTACCTATCTGTTTGTGTTGTGTTTTGTTTTGTTGTCGTAGTTGGTTTTGATGTTTACTATGTTTTTTCACTCTCTAGTTTTATTTATTTTGCGGTTACGCCAATTGAAAGCCGCCCACTGTGGCTGACAAATGAAGCGCTGAGGGGCAGAGCGGATAGGAGATGGTTATAAGCATGCTTGACCTTAGATAACAACAAAAAACAATAGCAATTGACAATTCCAAAATACCGAAAACAAATTCCTGCACGCGTGCACATTGAATACAAAAAAATTAAAATAAAAAATATGCTTTAAAGCAATTAAAATGTACAGCAAATTAAATATTGAATGACACAGCTGAAAATAAGAGGAGGAAGCAGCAGCGGCAGATATGATCGCTTACCCTGAAGCCGGGCTTAGTTATTTGGCAGGCAGCCACTCTAACAGCGCAACCAGCAGCATAATTTATGTACACACATACACACACACAAACACATACGTAGCAACGTAAGACACAAATTGTTTCGCACGCCTTTTAATTTAGCATGCGTCGCACGTTGCTGCCGCTGTCGACGTTGACGTTGACGTTGGCCGACCGCTTGTTCTCATTATAGAGCAACCTCGCCTAGGTGTAACTGTGATTATGCTCACGCCTATGCCTCTGCATTTGTTTGCGTCTGTTAATGGTGCTCCTTGGACATATTTTCTAACGCTCTTATGTATGCTCTCATCTCTCTCTCTCTCTCTCTTTCGCTCTGACTATGCACATTACAAGAAACGGTTTAGGGATATTTTAAAATACCTCCTGTCAGTCTGTGCTCTCAGTCTTCGAATATAAGAAGGGATATTAAAAGGGAAATCATTACTTTGTAAGTAGATAGGAAGCTTGTTGGAAAGTTCTCCAATGATTCCAGTAACCAGTTTTTGAGGGTATTTGACTGAAAATAATGTTATTTAACTAAAACTGACATTGATAGCGTATATGTATTGTTGTATTGCCTTAAATCAATTAAGGATTAATTTTCACAAGCTCGCTATTTCCATTTGTTAGTTTTCTGTGAAATTAAATAGCTGAAGAGCTCGTTTTATGTTTGATTGCCTTTAGCTGCAATCAACAGCATTCCACATCGATAAATAAACTAGCCTTAGGGTGTGCCAATATAAGGCCATGTGGCATGCGTATGTGCGGGCACGTCTGATTTCTTTAGTTCTCTTTAATTTCTGTTTTGATTAGCGCAGGGACATTTCGCGCATGCGCATATCGAACACATCAAAAATTTGTTTGGCATAACTGTCATGGCCAACAACAACAGCAGCAGCAGCAGCAAAAACAATTGAATCAACAGCTCAGCAAATTTGCCGCATTGTTATTTGTTTGGTTTTCTGCCCACATTCGATTTTGTATTTGCTAAGAAAACGCCAAGTTATTTATTTGACAGCAACTGGCTTCATAATCGGCATAATAATTTGAGAAATGTGCCTCGCCCGTTGCTCGGTCAATCAGAGCCACCTCTCCACTCCCCCTCTCCCATTTGGCCTCCCAATTAGCATTAAATGATACGAATTCGGCTTACGTATAGGCTAGGCCACGCCCCGTTTTATAGCGCACTTGCCATGACGCGCATCCGCTGGCCAAACATATATATAGCACACACATATATGTATAATCATATGTACATATGTATTGTATGTGCTTAACAACTGTTCCGATTGAGCGTGTGAAAATGCCATCGCTCTAAACTATTTCCTCCATTGACGCCAACTGTCGAACGTCGGCGATCGGCGATCAGCGAATGCCAATTTGCCGTTTGTCGTAATTAAAAAAAAAAATAGAAAAAAGCCAGACACACGTTTTTAGACGCGTCAATGCGAGCTGCCGCGCAGCCAACTCATGAGCTAAAAATTCCACGTCAAACGTCGTCATTCATTAGCTGGGCTCCAGCTTCAGCTTCAGCTCTAGCTCCAGCTCCAGCTTTGGCTCAAGTTCGCTGGCGAGCAACACTTTCAATAGAATCAACACGAATCCAGTTTTAACAGCCGCTCGGCATCGAAAATCGCACCACTCTTAGAATAACTCTAGCTGTAAGTGTGTTTGTTAGATTTACGAGTGTATGTGTGTGTACTTATACGCTAAGCCATAGGCAAAGTGTATTAGCTATGCTAACAGCAATGTTGATTAAATAAACTTTGAGTTATATATATATATATATATAAATCTGTATACATATAAAAATAAATGTATATATGCATCAGATTTCTATATACAGATCAGGCGCTTTTCTATATAAACTTATGATATATTTAGAAAAATCGGAGATATTTTGTTACTGGGTTCACACCGTAACCCAAATGCGAAGAGATCTAGATTCGTATATATCAATATTTTATGGCAATTATAATTAATAATTTTTGGAATTATCATTAATTTAGAGCTGGTTTAACGATTTCTGTTTCTGTCGATCAAACGTTTTACTTCTGTCAAATGAAAATCAAGCAACAAAGCTTGGCACAGCTTCTTTGTTTGATATGCATCCTTTTTTATTTATATACCGGTTTATGTAACAGTCGAATACTCTTTTGTAGTGTATATATGCATCGCTTAGTCCATGTCACTTTTTTTTCACCACATTTGAGGCTTTTGATATTTCAAATGTTTATTGAGCATTGTGCGCACTCGAAGGCACTTGTGCATTCCAATGCCAATTCCAAAATGAAATCCATACAGATAGCTGCATACATTTATATTGATATATACATATATATCTTTCTATATATGTGTGTATGTTTATTTATATTTTCTGATTCGTTAAGCGTTGCCAACAAACGGTTTGCACATGAGGCTTAAGCATTTATCAAAGTGTTACCCCAACCCGCTACAAAATCGCCAACTCGATTGACAAACACACACACTCACGCCCCGAATGAGCTCACTGCAATGGCATGCAGTTGACACAGCCCCGGATTGGAGCTGGGTGCCAAGCAACAGCCGCAGCAGCAGCAGCAGCAGCTGTGGCAGGGTATTCAGTTCAACGGCTGTCGCTGCAAAACGTGGCGTATGCGCAACATTTCGTTTTGTTTTACTCTTTTCGTTTGCATTGTTTTTTCCGCTCCGCCAGCAGAATGTGGCGCCATTTAAGTGCACCCCCCTCTCACTCCATCTCTCTACACCAACCCTTAACTACGCTATCTAAGCCTCTTTAAATATGTATACATTTTTAATATTTATTACCTTTGCCTAATTGTTGTTTAGCGTGCCGCTCTTAGTCTCTTTTAAATGACCTGCCACGCCCAGCAGTCTTGCTGTTGACTTTTATAATTAACGTTTCTTCATCTTCTTCTTAGTTGTTGTTGTTCTTGATGTCTTTTGCCTGCTCTCATTATAGCCTGGAATGCGGATAATTTGCTATGATTGAAATTCTTAAATGCTTTTCATTTGTTTGCATTTTAAATTAAGAAAACACATTCTACCACTTAGCTTGGCTATATCTAAAGCTCTGTCTCCCTCTCTCTCCTTCTCTCGTTCCCGCTGTCGTGAGTCATTCACAGAGACTTCAACCTGCTCGCCTACTGCCTTACTTAATGCTAACAATGATAATTGCGGTTGCTATCATTATATAATGCCCACACACGTATAGATTTTATTATTTATATATGTATCTGTACTAAAAGGGGCCCGGACTTATGCATATCTTAGATCTTAAATATGCTGTAGTTAATATTAATTAAATAACTAGCAATCCGGCTTGGCTGCTTAGTGGAAAGCTTGATGGTAAGGGAAAAGAAATTAGAAAATATGATCCAAATAGAATTTATTTTTATTGTTATTATTATTGAATAAGTGTCTTTTGGCTGTAGATTCAAAAATTATAGTCTTAAATATTTTACGAATATAAATTTTTAATTTAATTGATTTAGTTTAATTTTATACGAGATTCATTTCTATTGTAGATCTCAAATGCAATTTCTTATTTAAAATTATTTCAATAGAATTTAGAATTTAGCTAATCCACACTTACTTTTTTCAATATATATAACGAAAAAAATTCCAAAAAATGTAATATCTTCTGGAGCTCCCTTTGCTCTCTGCTAGTTGTTAAGCAATTTCAGCTTTCTGTTTCTTGTATTTTGGCTTCGGTCCGGTTTCTGTGTCTATTTTTGTATCACTCACGTTGCATGAAAATCGGCTTAGATATAATTGATTTTCAAAAGCATTTTTTGTCTGTGTGCGCGTGTGTGTGTTTGTTACTTATTTTTTTTTTTTGTTTTTATTCATTTTGTGGAATATATATGGATGTCTAGAGTGGACTCATATACATATTCTTGGTTTCTAATTTATGTCAAATGCGAGCTTTGATTGATGATCAGCAGCAGCGGCGGCGGCGGCGGCGGCGGCAACAGCAGCAGCGTCCATTTTGGAATGGTCTGGACATTGGGGCAACTGGAAATGCTAAAGAGGGGGGAGGCCAACAAAAGGGGAGACTCGATCATAATAATAAGTCAGGGCGGTTCCGCATGAATTGTGGCCAACAGCAGCAGACGCAGTCACAGTCACAGCCTGTGCCTGGATTTGTATATACATGCATAGATATATGTACGTATATAGATATATAGATATAGTCTCGCTTAAAACTCTCTCAACTTGACTCTGAATAAATTTATGGAACGTTGAAATTTATTAGACGGCTGCGGCGCGCACAGAAATGCGCCAATATTGAAATTTATGCGGCCACGGCGAGACGCTACCAAAGACCATCTAATACATATAAGCAAATATGTATGTATACACACAGATATATATATATATATATATGTATATATATATATATATATATGTATATATACATACAGACATTTGGAGGCTAGTCCATAAGTTGATTTGATTCGATTTGATTTTAATTTATGCATAAAATGCTTTTCTTTCATCACGAGGCAAGCTTGAGTATGCCTGTGTGTATGTGTGTGTGTTTGTGTTTGTGTGAGTGCTTGGAACTTTCTTTAACTGAATTTTAATAATTTTATGCGCAACGCATGCACGCACCGCCGCCTAATCAAGTTTGTCGCCTAAGTCTTTCGTTATTGATTGGTGAAATTGTTACCAGCTAAAAAATAAACAACAACAACAAATAGTCTGACCCCTCGGCCGCCCCAACTTCAGTTGTCTAAAACTCGGCGCCATCTTTCTAAATTCCATCGCTTCATCTTCAAGCTGCTAGCAGTCAACAAAAGCCTTGAGATATTTTAAAAAGTACACAAAAAGAAACATGTAAATAGGGGATTTTTATTTGATTGAATTTAAGTGAAATGAACAAATTTAAGAATATGTTTTTGATCGAATCCATTAAGTTAAATATTAATATTATTATTAGTAATTTTTTGATTGCGTTAGATAGCCTACACAATTGAGAGAATAGCTTAGGAGTTGATCATTAATCACGCCTTAATAACTTGTTGGTTTTTCACTTCTTATCGTGCTCACTCATTAGGGAATAATTTTAAGCTCTGCTTTCTTGTGTCTTCCCTAAAGATTCACTTTGAGCTGCTCAAAAATAGTTCTGCAAAATAAAAGCTGAACAGATCCTAATTTGAGTGACATCAATAATAATTCCTCTACTTTTCTTTCTGCTCTCTTTGCAGCAGCAACGTATTTCGAACGCGCGCGCTGTATACGGAAAATGATGCAGCATGCGAGCATTTTGCACCGTCAGCGCGCCCCTGGAAGTATGCGCGTCCTCAGCCGAGCAACTGTCACCCGGCTCCCGATTTTTGGCACTGAGGTGAGTTGATAACTATATATATATATATATATATATATCTGTATAACGGTCTAACATATATATTTCACTTTTGTTTCCTGTGCAGACTTCTCGGCCAACAGCAGCCGAAAACCCTTTACTTCCTAGTCGATGCAAAGAGTCGCGTCCGAGAGGTTTATACGCAGACATGTCTGCACTTTGCCACGCAGGGCATGCAGGACACCGAGCTGTTCGGTCTGGCCGTGCTCATAGGTGAGTCAAGTGTGGGCGATATGGGGAGGAGTCGCTGGCCTCCGCTGCTGCGTATGCAGCATAACGAATTGGGTCTGTGGAACGCCCTAAAACATTTAACTCTTGCCACTTGGCAACAGAGTTTTGAGTCTGGACAGCAGCTGCTGCTGCTACTGCCGCATAGTCGTGGCATGCGATAAGGCATGAAAAATACAACTAATAAACATAAACCAGTCTTTTTAAAAGCTGCTCATCATCATCAGCAGCGGCAAAGGCAGCAACAGCAAAAGTAACAGCAGTGGCAGCCTCTTTGCCTTGCCACAACCTCTATACCCCTTATAAACGATAATAAAAGGGTATCGTTAGCTTGTGTGAAAGTATGTAATGGATAAGACATAATATTATTTCATGCCACAAGTGTTACACAATGCGTATGGGATTTAGACTTACATCGATCTATATCGAATTGTCAATAATACTTGAGTCTGAAGCAGATGCTCTTTACAGAGTATCAACTCGTCGTTCAGTGTGCGACCTGGTTACTCTTGCTTACTTTTTTTCTGCTGCAGCTATGCCGAAACACATAAAAATACTAACAGCAAAATAACAACAACAGCAACAGCAAAATGGCACATAAAACGAACAAAAAACGCTGCAAAAACAAAAACGAGATGGAAAAGAAGGATGAGGAGGAAAAAGGGGAGTAAAGCAGGAGGAGGAGGGCAGCCAGGAACGCGTCGCCGTCGATGGCGAACAAACAATTTCAGGCAACGACCAACAGAAGACACAAGACACAAGACGCGTGTTCAGTAATTCAGGTAGCCGTCGCGCGTTGCATTAACACAAACGAATCGACGACGAAGATGCGGCCCCAGCGGAGCCAACACACGGGCTATTCAAGCAACAACAACAACACCGGGACGCAGGAACAGCCAGCCAAGAGGCAACAACATCCAAGCCTGGTTGGTAGGCGAGTAGTGGCTTTGGCAGCAGCAAGAAACGTCTTTGGCATTGGCCTCAGATATATATATATATATATATATATATATATAAATATATATATGTATACATATATGCGTCCACATGGAGCACACACAATCTTGTCATGAAAAACTTAAACTTTGAATGCGCTTACAGCATTTTAGAATTTGGGAAAACGTTAGACTATGAATGATCAATAGTTTCTTCAAGATATTTTATATATATCAAAAATACCATGAGTTAAAAGTGCCTCTAAAATTTTGCAAATTATCTGATAATACTTCTCTGCCTTATACAAGTCCCATCAAATGCTGCCATTGAAATGTAGAGTCATTCGAAATATAATTCAAACAACTTTAATTAGCAAATCTTTCCCTTGCAACGGTTAGAGTATATGAAAAAAAAGTAAAGAAAAAAATGAGAAGAGCAGAAGACGTAAATTTCGTATCTGGTCGCCAGCAGTTGGGCATCACTTTCAAGGAGGCGGCTGAGGCAGAGGCAGTGGCAGCCCAAGAGGCGCGGGGCAAGGCGAAGAACTTGCCACAACATCTTCAGCGAAAAAGAATTTGGTATGCAGTTGGGGGCATGCCAACAGCAACAGCAACAACAACAAGAATAAAAACAACGTACGCGTCGTCAGACGCTGCCACATGGGCTGATGCTGCAACAAGGGAAAAAGAGAAGACAGGCAATAAGAATGAGAAGAGCAGAGAGCAGCGGCTAAAGAATCTTCAGTTCGGCCTTAGCTTTAGCTTCAGCTATGAAATTGGCAGTTTGCATTTTGCGTTACCTCGCAAGGATTTTTGCCAATATCAGTCAGCATTTTGACCGCGTGTGTGTGTGTGTGTGTGTGAGCATGACTGGCATGCGGCTGTAGCTGTTGTTGTTCCTGTTGTTGCTGCGTTTGCGTCCATTGCCGTCGCATACTTTCGAGCATTTCACGCCGCGCTCTTTCACTGCACCGAAATTGCCTTTAGAGGCAGTAGTTGTTGTAGCTGCTGCCTTGACTTTGTTGTTGTTGTTGCTGTTGTTTTATAGATAGTATTTGCCAGTTTAGCTTTTGGGCAAAACTGCGTTGCACACAAAAAGTTCAAACACCGCTAAAAATGTGGCTCACTATTTGTTGGCCGGGTTCGTTGCTTAAGTCTTTCGTATTAGAGGACACACAGCGGATGCTGCCAGCCTGCGACAGCAACAGTTGCTGCTGCTGCTTGTGCTGTAGTTGTGGCCCTTTTTGGGCGCTGCCCATTCAGTGTCTGCTGCTGCTGATGCTGCTGTCGCCAATGAATTTAAATTTTATGGCCACGCAGCCGTCAATAAATTTCATCTTTATGCAAATTTTTTCGCTGCTCAGATGCACACACTTAAAGGTGCATCTTGTCCCCTAGCCAGCTATCCAGAGTGCGCTGCGCTGGGCTGGCTGGCAATTTGGCAACATTGTCACAGACAGTTGCAGCTGCAGCAGCAACAGTTGCTGGCCGTGGCCGTCTGCTGCTGCTGCTGCTGTTGTTAAGTGGCCAACACAATGGGCGTTGATTTTTTTCGGCCTTCTGCTGCTGCCGTTTTTGCTGCAGCTTCCACTTTTACGCCTGCTGCTGTTGTTGCTGCTTTCCAATGCTGGTCAGCTTGCTCCTTCAGATGCTGTTGCTGTTGCTTTTAATGCTAAATATGTAGACGTTGCCTTTCCTTAGAGCAATCAACGCCTTTTCTTTATTTTAGTTCTAGTCTAGCTGTAGCTGCATCTTCTGCTGTTACTATCGCTAGTTGTAGTTCCTTCTGCTCTGCCACCTGTTTGCTCCCTGCGCTTCTTCTTTTTGCTGATCTATTGTACCAGCTTCGGCTATTTCTACTCTTTCTTCTTCTTCGACTACTCCTGCTCCAGCTGCTTATGTTCCTTTCTACTTTTCATCAGTTTGCTAACTTTACACCTTTAGCTTTCGCATCGCTGTCTTCTCTTGCAGCAGCTGCTCTATATTTGTCTAGTTTAACTATTGCTACTCTTAAAGCTGCTCCTACTTTGGCTTGTAAATTTTCCCTTGCCTTGGCAACTTCGGTTTTTCCTACAGCTCCTGTTGCTCCTACGCTGCTGCAACTCCTTCAGTTGTAGCTGCTGCTGCTGGTGTTATTTTTAGCTGTCGCATTGCTTGGATTCCAGTGCCGCATTCCTTTGACTGCTGCATGTTGTTGTTGTCGTTGTTCCCGCTGATGCTGGTGCTGTTGCTGCTGCTGCTGCTGCTGCTGCTGCTGTAATCTGTAGACCAGCATTTTCTTTTCCATTTAATGTTAATGGCTCATAATCATTATTATATGGCGTTGGCTTGTTCATCTTCGTCTTCGTCTTCGCGGGTTCTGCGGCCCCTGTCACGCCCCCTTAGCCGCTGATGCTGTGACGACCGGCCTTGCAGCCACATGCTGCCTGCCCCAGCCGCTGCCTCAACCCAAGCTGCGTGCATCTGATAACATCGGAAATTAAAATTCTTTTGGTTTTATGTTGTTTCGTTCTCTTTATTTTTTTCTTCCTCTCAGCCTGTTTCCATACACACACACACACACAAGCACACACACAGATAGCCTGTTGTTTTTTTTGGGTTATTTTGTTGCTTGTTGGGTTATTATGGCTATGGTTGGCTATGGCGTGCCTACTCAAAACCTTTGGCATATAAATCTGAAGAATGCCTTGGCGACGGCTGTTGCAGCTGTCTCTTTGCTCTGGACAACGGTCTCTGAGGCTCAGCCACTGTCCAGCCCAAGAGTCGTTCTCGAATTGTGCTCGTGTTCTTATAAACACCCTTACCCACAGAGTATGCTTATTTTATCATGAATAATGTAACGCAGATCTTTACCGCTAAAGAAACTATATTAATATTTCTTCAAATTTTGTGATTTTGAATTCATATCGTATCATATCTTGCATAGCTTGACCATCTATTCTGAGCTGAAAACTTTACTTTTGTTCTTTAAAACAAGACTTTAATATCTACATGTATATATATATATATATATATATATTTATGTATTTTATGCAGCTTTATATCAAAGTTTTATATGAGGTATATACATATATATTTCTATAGATACTTCCTATCGACAAGAGTAAATAGTCTTCGGTTAACTGCATATAACTGTTTTGGCTTGTTGTTGTAAAATTCCTGAATCTCTCTAGCTCGCTCACTCCCTCTCTCTCTGTCTGTCTTTGGGCCACTTGATGAGTGTTGCCTGTTGCCTGCCTTGCTGCCGGAATCCCAACGCATTCGAGTCTGTAATTTGTGTTGCATGTGTTTCAAATTGAAGATTTATTTAGCCTCCCCCAACCCCGCTTACCCCTACTCACTGAGTGTGTGTGTGTGTGAATGAGATTGTGTGCGTGCGTGTTAATTGTAAGCGCTGTGGAATGCGTTGGAAAATATGTTAATTATTAGGCTTTTTGCCGCTGGCCCAAAATGCCCAACGTCAGGCTTGCAACAGCGGGTTGCACGTTGCGTGCCATGGGCTGCTTTGTGGCCAGCTTTGAAGGCTTCACACCTGCTCACGCTTAGAAGAAGCAGCAGCAGCAGCAGCATCAGTTGAGAGCACATCCATCCATCAGCTCCTGATCTGCAACTGTTGAGGTGAAATTTGAATGCGTTGCGTTTGCGTTTGAGTTCAGTTTTTTTTGGTTTCGTGAAGAAAAGAAATCGCTGAAGACTTTGACTTTGAGTTGGTCTTGGTTTTTTTTTTTCATTTTATTTTATTTTATTTTATTTTTTTTTTTGACTTGGGTTTCAGCTGCCGCAACGCAACATTGCGCCGCGCTCTTACCTGTCCGCTCTGTCCGTTCGTCTCGCTCAGCCCGTTTCTACCTGTTTTTTCTTTTTCTTTATTTTTTTATTTCGAGCTGCGTTTTGGGCTTGGGTCTCTTTGGTATGCGACTCGCTGCGACTTTAACTTGGTCTGCGTCTTTGACTTGGAGTTGGACTCCGTTGGGGCCTCATCGTCGTCGTCGTCGTCGTCATTGATAGGCACTTATTCGGACGCTGATGATTATTATGATATTGTTGCTGCTGCTGCTGCTGCTTGTGTGCCCACATATTTCCATTCCATCTTTTTTCATCTTATTCTTTATACATACCCTAGACAACTGTGAAAATTCCAGCAATGGGTAGAACATATCCAGCTATTCATAATTTTATAAACTTATTTCAATGTTTTTATAATTGAATGTGTTTTTTAACAGTTATAGATAGCTAAAGCTCTGATTTAAATGCACTACAAATCGTTTCAAAACTGAAAAATGGGCATAAAAAACTTGTTTAATTTTGTTAATAAAAATAATTGACATTAGCAAAATAACAGGGTATCGCTTAGCCAGTCTTTATTGAGTGCAGCACTCCTATATTTTTTATGTGGCTGCTCATAATTATTATTTTTCATCTTCTGCTGTTGCTGCTGCGGCTGCTGCTTCATTTCGTATGCAGGAATTCCAATTTTTCGTTCGATGATGAAGTGTGTGTTGATTTTGTTTTTCAAGCATGCAACCGACATTCGACAACTACAACAAGAACAACAACAATAACAGCAACATCAGCAGCAGCAGCAGCAGCAGCAGCAACAGCAACTACAGCAGGCACATCGATTCTCGAGCACGCGGCATGCCCTTGGGCCAAGTTTCCGAGTCGAGTCCCCGAACTCGAATTCGGACTTGTGCACTGAAAACGCTGGACGACAACAGGCTGACAACCTGACGTGGACGTGGACGTGGACGTGAACGTGTCGTCATCGGCCCTGTTGACGTCAGTGGGTCGCTTGTTTGCTGCCTGACAAAAAACTGACAAGACCTGGGAGCAAGGGACTTGCTGGCGGGGTCGCTTAGTTCTTGTCGGGCCAAAGAATTTGTGCTGGCAGCGCAGAAAGTTCATTTAAAATTTTGATTAGTCTGAATGAATGCGACCTTGGCGTCAGGACTTCCGACTAAACTAACAAATGTATAATTCTAGCTGGGCTTAGGGATAATTCGGTAATGATTTTGAGAGTTTTCTGGCTCGTTCTTACTTCGTAGCTGGAATTATCTTTGATTTTCAGAGCTGATCAATAGAAATGATTTTTGCAGTCACTTATAAAGCATTCTATGAGACTCTCTCGATTAAGACTTCCTACGAGCCAAAAATCTAACATCAATACTTGAAGTGCTTTTCTATTTCTTACCGCTGTGCCTCTCTTCCTCTTTCTTGCAGATGGCGAGTACATGTTTGCAGATCCCGAGAGCAAGCTCTCCAAATACGGCCCGAAAAGCTGGCGTTCCTCGCACACGCACGTAAGTACACAAGACTAAACAAGGCTAGGCAAATCTGTAATCGAATCTGTATTGCTTGTAGGGCCTGGATGCCAATGGACGTCCTCTCCTCGAGCTACACTTTCGCGTGCAGTTCTACATCGAGAGCCCGTTCATGCTGAAAGACGAGACGTCCAGGCACAACTATTATCTACAGCTGCGCCACAATGTGCTGCAGCGTGAGCTGCCGCGCGACCATGCCGATCAGGCTTTGGTCGTGCTCGCTGGCTACGCGCTGCAGGCGGATCTGGGCGATGCCCCCACAATAGCAGCGGCTGTAGAAGCTAACACAACAACATTATCAACAACAACAACAAAAGCCCCAACTACAATCCATCAAAGCAAGGAGGAAATGCACGAGGAGCAGGCGACAATGGCTGGCACATCTCGCAATGGTAGATCTACGGGAATGACCACAACGCTGCCCAAGATCCGAAAGCGTCTGAGCAGCTACAATGAGCGAATGCTGCGCCTGTCTACCTATGTGACCTCCACCAGTCAGGCGGCTGCCAAGCGTGAAGCCGCTCCCACCTGCCCAGTGCCCTGCAGCAGCTCCACGGATTACTTTCGCATGGAAGACTATTTGCCAGCAACACTACACACGGCCTGGGCGAAGAGCGAGTTGCACGCCTGCCATCGGGAGCATCAGGGTCTACCCTCTGCCGAGGCGGAACTGTTCTACATACAGCAGGCATGCAGTCTGTACGAGACCATCAATGCACACACGTTCCGTATGCGGCTGGCGAAGAGCGAGGCGGGAGTGGGCAGTGCTTGGTTTGTCATCTATGCGAAAGGCATCAAGATACTGGGCAGTGGTACAGGAACCGAGCCAGCTACCTTTCTGTGGCCGCACATAACTAAACTCTCCTTCGAGCGCAAGAAGTTCGAGATACGCTCCGGGGAAAGTCGCATTACGCTCTACGCTGCCTCCGATGAGAAGAACAAGCTATTGCTGACGCTCTGCAAGGATACACATCAGTGGAGCATGAAGCTGGCCGCCCGCCTCAAGGAGGTGGGCAAACGCGAGGAGGAAGAAGCGGAATCGCAATGCCTGCACGCAAGCTACGCCTGCTCGCGCAGTCTGCTGTTGCCATACAAGAGCAAGAACGAGCAGCGCATCTCTGTCATCTCGAGCACCAGTTCCAATACCACCTCGGGCATTGTCAGCGATCGCGTGCACTCCGAGGATGAGCTGGAGATTATGATAAACACGCCGCCAGCACCAATTGCTGCGCCCTCCACAGAGAGTCTTGCCTTGGCGCATCTGCTGGACAGACCCAGCGTGAGTCGGCAAACGTCGTCGGTGGGTCAGATGTCGCTGAAGGACTTGGAGGAGCAGCTGGCTGCGCTGAGCGTAAGCGTGCGACCCACTGAAGTTCTGGCCAGCAACAATACTGGGAGTCAACGGACAACCACGACTAGCAACAACATCAGCATCAACACCGCCAACGACTCGTCCACAACGACCACAGATTCGCCCAATTCGCAGCATAATATTGGCTCGCAGTGCTCTTCAACGTGCAGCACGGTGGTGGTAACGACACCACCGGCACCACCAGCTGCCGTCCACTCCACATCGTCCAGCCTCGAGTTGGGCTTTAGTCACACGGCACAGAACTCCGCCTTAAGCGAGTCCAATCCCGACGATTTCCTGGCACCATCCGTGCGTGATGACAGTGAGAGTGTCTCGGGCGTATCTGGTGTGTACACATTGGCCCATGGCATGGCACCACCCACGGAGACATCTGGAGTTTACACCATGCACAGCAGCGAGCTCACTGGCCAATTCTCCGAATTGGCCGAGTCTGAGAAGAGCTCACACTATGGCATATTCCAGCCAGCTAAGAGCGATGGTAGCCATGCGCCCAGCGACTCGGTGGATGGTGGCGCTGGAGCCGGCATAGGTGTCGGTGGTGGTGTTTCAGCCAAGAAGTGCAACGAGTTCCGTTTACGTTCCGACTCCAATATCAGCACAAGCAGCTCCTTTCGCGGCGATGGCAGTGATCCCACGGACAACAAGCATACGCTGCTCTCTGCTGAAGAACTAACCAATCTGATTGTTGGTCGTGGCACCTATCCCAGCCGCAAGACTGTGTCCAGCACCTTGCACTCAGACTGCGATTATGTGACGCTGCCGCTGGCGGACGGCGAGCCCAACGACGCACAGGTGCAGCCGCCTGCACCACCGCCATATAGTGCAAGGCACGAGAAGACGGGTCTGTGTGGACCACCTGTGGTGCCACCGCCACCTGTGCCACCTATGCCCAAGCCAGTCAGCATGCCTATGCCGAATCCGGAGCCACCAGCTGCGCCTGCTTTACCACCACCAACAGCAACAGCCGTTGTCGCAACAGCTTTGTCAGTTGCTACACCGCCACCGCCACCACCGGCTGCTGCGCTGCGTCGACGTGATCCGCCGCCCTATCCCACATCAATGAAACCACGGCCCACATCGCTAATCTCGATGACTTCCTCAGCGGCACCGGCACCGAGTGCCGCGGGCTCAATGAGCTCCCTGAAATCGGAGGAGATAACGGCGCGCTTTATAACCACCCGGCCACAAATAAGCATCCTCAAGGCGCACACAAGCCTGCTCCCAGATGGTGCAAAGCCCAGCTATGCCGCACCCACGCACTATTCCTCGGCTGCCTCGTCGAGTGGATCTGTGTGCAGCCATCAGCTGTCGCAGCAATCATTGCACAATTCCAATTATGCTGGCGGCTCGCAGGCATCGCTGCATCACCAACACCACACGCACCATCAGCACCACCAACACCATCAACACCACCAGCACCAGCACCAGCACCACCACCATCAGCAGCAACAGCAGCAGCCGCTCGCGCATCATCGCCATTCGGGCTCGGCTGCGATTGGCATACCTATAGTTCCTTACGGGCTGCATCATAAGAGCACCGCCTCGCTGCACCACCAGCAGGCGCCGCCACAGCAGGCGTGCGTGCTGTTGCCAGTGATAAAGCCGCGACAGTTTCTGCCGCCACCGCCGCCCAGTTTGCCGCGCCAACCTCCACCGCCTCCACCGCCCACACATCCCCATCATCTGGCCGGGCTCTACAGCAGCCAACTGGCAGCGCGCAATCAGCTGGAGCTGTACCAGCAACAGATGTACAGTGATGTCGACTACGTCATTTATCCCATACAGGATCCGGCCGTTAGCCAGCAGGAATATCTGGATGCCAAGCAGAGTTCGCTGCTGGCCGCCATGGCGCAGGCGCCGGCACCGCCGCATCATCCGCCCTATCTGGCCTACTCAGCCGGCTGGGACACCTGTAAGGGTCATGCCATCTACCGGAGTACGCCGTATTTGCCGCTGGCGCTATCCACGCACTCGCGCTACGCTTCCACGCAGAATCTGTCGGACACGTATGTGCAGTTGCCCGGCGCCGGCTACTCGCCGCTCTACTCCCCATCCATGGCCAGCATGTGCAGTTCATATGAGCCGCCGCCGCCGCCACCGTTGCATCCGGCAGCGATTGCAGCGGCCGCAGCGGCAAACGCTAACAGCCTCTTTGCACGATCACGATCAGATGATAATATTCTGAACTCGCTCGACTCGATGCCGATGCCCAAAGTGAAGCGTTTGCCGCCGCCGCCGCCGCCACCGTACGTTAATCGGCACAAGAAACCGCCGATGCCGGCGCCCAGTGAACAACCGCCGCCAAGTAAGTCTATCAAATATCAGTCGCCAATCAATCAATCAATCATAACCAATTGCATTTCTGTCACTTTTGCAGTTCCTTCAAAGCCAAATCCGAATCACAGCTTGAGCATGCTGCCGCCACGCAAGCCGCTTACGCTCAATCCGCACCAGTCCAATAGTCCGCTGATCAAGACATCCAGCGGCGCCCAGTGGGCTGGTGAGCGTCCGCGACCCGATCTAAGTCTGGGCTTGAATCGTGGCAATAGCAACAGCATATTGGCGCAGCTGCAGGCCTCGATGGCCGCCAGCAGCCAGTCCCAGTCGGCCAATGCCCAGACCAATCCGCTGGATATAGCGTTGCTTCGCGAGAAGAGCAAACATCTGGATTTGCCGCTCATCTCGGCGCTGTGCAACGATCGCTCGCTGCTCAAGCAGACCAAGGTCATAGTCAATCCGAAGAACGCCAAGCAAACGACGAGTGTTGCAACGGGCAACAATGTCGTCACCGCTGCAGCCACTGCGGCACCCGCTGCAACCACCTCGACTGGTTGTGGTGTGGGTCATCACAGCGCCAGCAAATCCCTGGCTCAGCCACCGGCCATGAATGGTAACACGGCCACGCCCACAACAGGCACACTGAGCAAAGGACGAAAGAGCGCTACGATCAGTCATCGACATCCGCAGGACAAGCTGCCGCCACTGCCAGTCCAGCTGGCGGAGGCCAACAACTATGTCATGGATCCAGCGGTGGTTATGAAACACCACAAAAGCTACAACTCGCAGTCACAAACGCAAACGCAATCGCAGACCTAAGCACCAAACAAGAACACAAATAGGCAGAGCAGCCCACTCAATTCTCTAGTTACGAATGTGAATGTGGTTGTTGGTATTGGTGGTGGTTGATGGTTAATGGTTGATGGTGATCGTGTTGGTGGGTCAGCGAAGTCCAGCTCAGAATTTGCATAGTACGCGAATTGGTTGATCACAGTGTGTTGGCGGCTGGAAAGTAGGTTTGAACACCAGGTTTCAACAGGCCCGCTTCCACAGGACAACGATCGTGAGACGTTTCAAAGAATACAAACAGCCAGTACAACAGTTAAGGACAAAGTAACAAAAGCAAGAGACAAACAAACAAAACGAACCTCAAATACGCATTCAAATAGCACACACAGAACCCAGTCTAGTCAATTTAGGTATGGGAAAACTGAGAGAAACTCAACTATGTAGAATGACAAAACTAGAAACACAAAACAGGAATTTTAAAAGACAAGAAACAAACGTGAGAAATGGAAGCAACAATACTCAAGTATAAAATACGAACTACTTAATTTACTAAAACTAAACAAAAAACAAAAAAAAAAAACAACTTTATAAAATACTTAGACTAGATTAGCTAGGTAGTGGCCGACTCTCAGTATCTGAGGGTCGCTTAAGAACTTGAATAGGCCCAGATGCGATTACTTAAAATAAAACGCTGAAAGAACTAACTACTTCCGCCCAAAACAACTGTGATTGATATTATTTTTTATTAATTTAACTTTACAAAAAAAAAAAAACTAAAAGACCAATTACAAATAGTCAACAAAGAAAAGAAAAACGCACAAAAACTATGCAAATTTTTAGTATGTAGACAACAACTCGCATTTAAAGAGAGCGCCCCAATACACACACACACAAACAGAAACTCACACAACCCACTTATACTTGACACACACACATACACATTTATGCATACCCACGTATCGAAGCACAGGCGAGCCAATGAGCGAGGCAGACGAAAGAGCGCAGGCAGCGCAGAGAGCAAAAGTTTTACTCTCCCCTGAGAGTAAAGATAAGAATCTTACGCTCTTGTGAGCAGCAGCAATCTTACTCTCTCGTGAGTACAATAAGTTATCTTCCTATGCCACGCTCATTGACTTTGCCTGTTTCGCAGAACTAAAGAATTTGTTTTTGATTTTTCTCAAATCGAGTGCGCGCCCTCGGAATGCCATTTATAAAATAATTGCCTAGGCCTTGCCCCACCGTTTGTTTTATTATTTTAATATTTGAATTTTGAATTTAGCGAGTGAGCGTTGACGCTTCTGTTTTAATTATTATTTTGATTATGATTTTGAATTTTAAGTTGATGATTTTGATGCATATTCATATTCATTTTATGTTTATATTAACCCGTGTGCATGTGTGTGAGTGTGACAGGTGTGCTAGTGTGTGTGTGTGATAGTGTATATTGGCTGTCGTCACAAATATTTGCGTAGGTTTTTCTCGTCTAAAAGCCTATGGCTAAATGATCAAGTGACACAGTTAAAGGCAACACACACACATACACGACACACATGCGCACACGCACACATAAGCACCTTTGCAGCTATATGTTATCAAAATCGGCCATATAGTATAGAGCTATAGCAAAACGCTGCGATTCCAATTAAGTTTTTCTTACGGAATCTAGCAATATATCCTGGCAACTGCTTGTATGTATATATTTATTTATATATATGCAGCAGTCGGTGCCAAAATAGTAATAACTATCTATACGTGTATGTGTACTATATATATATATATGAGTAATAAAAATCATGATTTAAAATGTTTGTTTCTTATCGTAATTGTAAGTTGTACACAAATGTTTATTATTTGTTTTAGTTTAGTAAATTTACAAATTGAAGCTTCAAACAGTCAGAGGAATGTTAAAGCAAATACATAACATCTCGGTTGGTAGATCGTAAAGTTAATACATACAAAATTCATGTATATTGCACTTAAAATTAGAGTGTGTATATCACAAATGCTGCATATAGCACATATAAACATCGGCGTATATTAGGAGCCGTGTCAACTATTAAAATGACGAACGACGCAATAAACAACAAAACTTAGGCAAATGATGAACTAGCAAAGTTAACGAGTGTCCGTCTGTGTATGTGTGAATGTGTTTCCTGGCACAATTTGGCTAGAGTTTGGTAAGTTATTCAGCTACTTTCAATTGGTCAATAAGTCCTCATCGTCGACGGGTCGACGCACCCAACGCTTGGTTATTGTGAGTGTTATGCCAGTGATCAAAAAGATGCTACCAAAAACAATGCAGGCAATGCCGAAGTACAAGCCATAGTCCGATAAGTTAATGGCCAGCTAAAAGCAAAGAAATTCGATTATGAACTCATACGAGGTGCATCAGCAAGCACACTCACCTTGGCCTTGGATGCCAGCTCGGGACTAAGCTCGGCGTACTGATCGAACCAAAACATGGGCATCAACACCTTCTGAATGCCGCGGTAAATGCTACAAAAATAGAAATCATGGTATTATATATATGTTATAATATAGTATTCAGGTGAGCGTTTTATACTCTGATAAAGCCTAATCTAGTTGATCATTTGTACTGTGGTTTTGTAACCACAAAGAAATTATTTTCAGTTATGAGCTAAGTATAATAATTTTAGACATACTCGTAATCATCATCCGGCTCCAGCATCATGTTGATCTGAATGCGACCATGCACCTGAACTGGCACGCCCGTGGTTGGCTCCACGGCCATTACGAATTCGTGCTTGGACTTCTCAGGATTTAGACCACTGACTGCATTCAAATACGACTTGTCCGCCAAATAGAAATGCGGGAATGATGAGTAAATTGGCGCTTTGTCGCGACATTCCTTGCACTCGACTACGCCTGTTTTGGGGCATTCCTGCAAGCGTGGATCGCAGAAGCAGGCCTGATTTGGATAGTTCTCGCCGGAATCGAGAGTCTCCTCGGTGCCTACCCAACGTGTTGCCGTAAGGCCATGCTTCTCTAGGGTTCCCTCAGGTCGAAGATTCATGAATCGGCAAGCATCGGTGGCAAATATAGTAATCTCATCTTGAATGTTCATTTTAGGTGGAAACAGATCGCCTGTGGTACCGTTGACAATGCCGCAAGGCAACTTATAGAATCCTGTCTCGTTTTTCTTATTCCAGTGGGTCAAGCGTCCCAAATTTGAGATGTCATCGGTGCCCGTGTGTATTGTAAAAAGACCATCGTATTCCAGTGAGCCGTTGCGATCCGCAAGCCAGCCGAAACGTTTATACGGAATATCAATTTTGGAAGTGTTAAACAGATTAAGAAAATCCGTGAGATCATCCTGATAGCCATCGAATATCCATTCGTGCACGGGCTTTGTGGTATACAAAGTGCCGCCTTCAGTGTTCATCATAAAGTTAACAATCTTTTTAATAAACTTTTTCGAGTGACGCATCTCATCGGCTACGGTGGCCGTTATGGCGTGTGCCGCCGTAATCATGTCAAGCAACGTGCCATTGGACTGCTGCTCATCAAAGAACCAAGTGCGGCGCTCATAATACGCTACAGTCGCATTTTCGAAGAAGGTGAAGTTCTCCTTTTTGTGCTTCTCGAGGAAGACATACGGGCCCATTTCGGTGAAGTGCGGTTTGATGTTTGGATTGCGTATGTCCTGGGGATTAGTCCAGTTAAACATATAGAATTTCAGGTATATGGGTATAGGGGCCTCCAGCCAGCTGTCGTAGGTATCGGTGCCCGGTTCGAGTTTTAAGCCCTTCAATTAAAAATTTCTAAAGATGGTGCGAATATGGCATATTAATCAACTTACATTCTCAACCAGTTTATCCGCCAAATTGGGCCAGATGATAACCAAGACTATGCCCAGAACGGCAAACAAGGAGCCAATGCCAAAGACCCAGCTTTTACGCTGCGTTTCGCCGCAGCACTCACAGCACATGATGAAGAGAAGTATTGAAAACCTTAGCTACTTTCAGAGTTAGAGCAAATAGAAGGAAACTCAATTGAAATCGTTGTATAATCATCAGGTAAATAAAACTAATCGTGAAGATCTTAATCGCAATGGTTTAATACACTTTTTATGGGCCCAACTGCCCAGCTGCCCCCTGCTGAGTGCCATTGGTCTAATAATACACGTAAATACGTTCGACACTTGTTGGCTTATCGTTTGGGACTCAAGTTCTCGATACGCAGTATGCTATTTAAATAGCAAATATGTTATCTGCTAATGGACATATCCGTCCTGCAGATTAACCGAGTGCAAGTTTTCTTGTCTTTGATAGTTCTCGAGTGCCCACGCACCCCGCTTTCTAGTATTTGTAGGGCTTCTGTGATTGCGTGCTAAACTTAAATGGTTTTGCAGCCACTTACGTAGTACCCGATCCGTCAATTCGAGTCCACACGCGCACGCTTCCAAAGGCAAGCAACGACTGTGGGTCGATTACTTGATGTTTGCGTATTTGAATGTACCAATTCTTTGTTTAATCAGCGACTAATCCTTATCTGAAGAGCATGAGCTACTTAGGAATGCAATTGATAGTGCCTTGTGGAACAGTCCAATGATATAATATATGACTGAAAAACAAATTTGGTTCGACCTTAGCTTTTCGATAAAACGCTGTATAGAAATTTATTTATTTATCAGGCAATATATAGGTTAATCTTGCCTGAATTATAGAAGAACGAGGACTATATATATATATACTATATATATCCCGCTGCTGAAAAGGGCGTGTTTCATAGGATGTTTAGGTCTAGTTTACCCAATAGTAAGGCTTATTATTTGTAACCATGATAAGATAGTCTATATAAAACGTGTTGATTAGTACTTAGGATAGGGGCATTAACTATATATATTTTTAGATATAGATATAGATATAGATAAGATAACAGCGCGTATATATAGATAACTTAACAGCTTATCCCAAATCAATTTTATGTACTTTAACATAAACAATTTACAGTGCAATTTATTGTGACCGTACATGATTCAGATATTGGACTGAGAAAGCCTTAAAAATAAAAATAAAACAAAAGATAAGAAATTAAAATATTTGTTTAGCAGAACCTCAAGATTATTGCTGATAAAGCTAAAACCCAAAGGGAAAGAAAAGTCCATTATTAAAGCATTATCTGCGTGTTCACTATAATGCATCGAATGACACAATCTCTACATATAAGCAATAAATGTCGTTTACACTCCTTTGTTTGCTATTATCTATATTACTTGTTCTTTGTTGATAATGAAATGTATGAAAAACTAAAGAAAACATTTTCGATAAGAATGCAGCTTATATTGCACTCTGAACTCCGGCTTCAGCCGGTGATTCACTAAGAATTTTAGTTGTTTAAGTGCACCGATAGTTGCTGAGAATGCAACAGCTCACTTAAATACATCTATTACTCACCACTTTTTTGTTGATATATTCAAACGGTTTTCTCTCCCTCTACCTTGTCTGCGTTTAGTTGTTGCCCTTAATTGTTAACCTTGAGCATAACGCAAGGTTTCTACCAGTTTGTTTCGCGATTATCTTGAATTTAGCAAGCAAAAACAAACACAATTGTACTTAAGGATACTTTATTGACACTACTGAAGTATAAGCAGCTGGCAGCAACAATTAACAAAGCCGAACTATTTGTCCGCTTTAAACAAATAACAATCAACACTTACACTCACCGATTAACAAATTTGTTATAAGCTTGTAACATTTACCAACACTGCTATTAGAGATGAGTAATTTATTAATGGTTCACGCTCGTATGATTGATATAAAACAGCTTTGCGAGTAAACAACTGAAAGAACAGCGTTTACAATTGATTATTCTATATCTAATTGCAGTTATATTTACAGCTGCTGAGTTCTAATGCACGTGGGAGAATTATAATTACTATGTAATCATCAAATTGGCATGTACAATAACCAATGTACAAAGAAATGAAAAATGGTTATAAATTAAAATATTTCACTTTTGAATCACTATATCTTCTACAAAATAGGAAACATAAAACTCCGTTAATAATATAATGCTACTAATTAGGTAATGATAAAGTTATAAAAACTTCGAAGTCAATTTTGGTGTTTTGAAATATTTCCTTAATATTTGTATTGTTTTTAATATCGATAATTGTTGTGCACGTGTTTTCAGTGTGACCGCAAAGGCTCACAAATACTAGAAATACAAACAGCTGGTATATAGCATTAGGTGGCAGCACTGCCCCGCCGGTTTCAACCAATCAACGGCAACCACGATGCACACACACAAGCTTAGATAGTTTTTTTGATAAATTTGCCAGCCGTGTTGTTTTGACGAGCTGAAAATCATTTAAAAGATAAGGAAATAATGTTTAATTGAATAAAAACCACGCAGCGAGAATACTAACCACGTAGCCAAAAAAATATACAAAAGGACACATACATATAATGCAGCTAATAAAGGGCATGCTACTTGTGCAGCTGGCGCTGCTTCTACTAGACGAGGCGCTGGCGGGGCGAGACTTTTACGAAATTCTAAAAGTTAAACGGAATGCCAACACGAATGAAATAAAAAAAGCGTATCGGCGCCTCGCAAAAGAATTACACCCGGACAAAAACAAAGATGATCCGGATGCGTCCACCAAATTTCAAGATCTGGGCGCCGCCTATGAAGTCCTCTCGAATGCGGATAAACGCAAAACCTACGATCGCTGCGGCGAGGAGTGCTTAAAGAAAGAGGGCATGATGGATCATGGCGGCGATCCGTTCTCTAGTTTTTTTGGCGACTTTGGGTTCCATTTTGGCAATGGTGATCCCCACCAGCACGATACGCCCCGTGGCGCTGACATTGTGATGAACATGTATGTCTCCCTGGAGGAGCTCTACTCGGGCAACTTTGTGGAAATTGTGCGCAACAAGCCCGTAATGAAGCCAGCCTCTGGTACTCGCAAATGCAATTGTCGTCAGGAGATGGTGACGCGCAATCTGGGGCCCGGACGTTTCCAGATGATACAGCAAACCGTTTGTGATGAGTGCCCCAACGTGAAGCTGGTCAACGAGGAGCGCACCTTAGAGATTGAGGTAGAGCAAGGCATGGTCGATGGCCAGGAGACACGCTTTGTGGCCGAAGGCGAGCCGCACATTGATGGCGAGCCTGGAGACTTGATTGTGCGTGTGCAGCAGATGCCGCATGCACGATTCCTACGCAAGGCCGATGACTTGTACACAAATGTGACAATCAGTCTGCAGGATGCACTCATTGGTTTTACAATGGATATTAAGCATCTGGACGGACACAGCGTGAGCGTAACGCGTGAGAAGATTACCTGGCCGGGTGCACGCATACGCAAGAAGGGCGAGGGAATGCCCAACTTTGAGAACAACAATCTGACGGGCAATCTTTACATAACATTCGATGTGGAGTTCCCCAAGCAGGACTTGACGGAGGAGGACAAAGAAGGTGAGTTACGAAACTTCCAAAGTCAAATAGATATATATAAATCTACAATTTCTTATTTTAAAATTTTTGTATTTTTAGCTCTGAAGAAAATACTCCAACAGTCATCCATTAATCGCGTCTACAATGGACTGTGAATCTTTGGACATGCATCTGGGCTGTACATTAAGTAGTATTTATTGTAGATGTGAAGACTTTTGTTGCCAGAAGAAGTTGTGCGCAAAAAACATTAAGGTAGTCTAGTAATTGTAAAAATATAAATCAATTCGGGGTCGTTCCACATGCCACAAATGCGACTGTAGCAACAACATGAACAGAAAGAAATAAAAATTAAGTTTAATTGCAAAAAAATTGAATTTGATGGGTGCTGCCTAAGAGTATGCAATGAATATATTTTTGCAGGGAATACACAACGCGCTGTCTGGCAACGCTGCCAAACAGCTGTCATGTGGCGCAGGACAATAAGGCGAAAGTCCAATAGAGAGAGAGAGAGAGCGAGCGCCGTTTGCGGGTTAAAGAGTGCAGAAACTTTCAGCAGTGCGAACGTGCAGCAACGGGGCTGCAGCTTTTATTTATAACAATACGAAAAAAAACGCTATCTATTTGCTAATTTAATTCTTTTGCACATTTAACGCACTTTAAGCTCATTCATAACGACCACGCAATAAAAACCGTTACAAGCACACCTAACCTTAAAATTTGTCATTAAAAATTCAAGAGCAACATTTTTCAGCGACCAAAAAAGGTGCCGAAAAATAATGAATGTCGTCTGATTATCCATCAATTCGAGGTGAGTGCAAGTACGTTTTGCTGCCAATTTTTAGATACTGTCAGGACGAGCCAAGTAACTGCCAATAACCCTGCACCCTCCCCACACACCTTGGCAACCCGCTCGACCGCATTCCTTTATCGATTTTCTGTGCGCGCTGCCCTTTTTTTTATTACTTGAAGTGACCCAAAAAAAGGCATAACTAAGAAACAGGCACGCAGCCAGGGGTTGCGTGCTCAGGGCTTGCCTTGTGGGCGGCATTCGTAATTAACTGGCCAGTCGGTCAGTAGGTCCGATTGCATCGCATTACTATACTATACAACTATATATATATATATATATGTATATATCTGTATCCGTTACAGATTGCATTCACTCACGCTCTGCTTGATGACATCCAGGCAATTTCTAATCTTCATTTTATTGCTAATACCATGGCCACCATCCAACGTTATCAAGATACTCTGCTCGCGAGATAACAGCCGACTGGTGCGCAAGATAGTGCGCTCCAAGTGGACGCCTATTTTGGATAAGCATCAGGTGAGTGCACGATTAAAGAGGATTAAGATGACTCACTATAGCTGGCATTTGGTTCTTTCCAGGTGAAGCTGCCCTTGGAGTGTCCGCTGCATCCGCTGAGAGATGTGTTTGCACCTCGCCAGGATGAGAAGCAGCGGGATCGACCCACGCAGTGGACCTGCCGGCGTTGTGGCAAGAGTTTCTATCAGGAAAAGTATCTTGACTTGCACTTCGATACGCGACACAAGCACATCATCAATGAGGTAAGCCCGTGCAGAGCTGTAAATGGACAAGTTTCGATAACACTTTTGATGCAGGCAGAGGACTCCGTTTGCTTGGCCGACTTTTGCGATATAATGCGTTGCGAGGTATTCCAAACGGAGGACGCTTCTAGCCTTAAGTTTGGCGATCAGCACATCGTCACCGATATCGAAGTTTGGGGCGACTCTCTGGGTCAGAACTCCGCCCTGGCCAAAGCGAATGCCGCATACTTGAGTTTAATACCAAGGCAAGTTGAAGGCTCTGTCACAAATCTCGATTGCAATTCACCAATCCCTTGCAGAACTTCCACATTGAGTGCCACTCGTGCAGTCAAAGTACAAAATCGTCAATTACTCCAAGAGAAGCCAAGCCCTACTAAGAAACAATCGCCGGCAGAGGCCAGCAATGCCGGCGATGGTTCAGCGGCCAAGCCCAAGTCGGCGGGCGAGAAGCTGCTGATGAAGCTGAAGGAGCTCAGTCAGACGCATCTGAAACGCACAGAGACAGATGCATCTAATTCAGCGGAGTCCAAGCAAAACGAAACGGACGAAGCTGAACACAGTGGCGATGCAGAGGGCAGCGGCCAGCCAGATCCCAGCACGACTGTGGACGGCGCCAACGGGCAGGCCAAGGTGCGCGCCAATTGCAAGCCGGAGGAGTTGAGCAAGCTGAAGGCACGCTGCGAGCTGCTGCTACGCAGCTGCATTGGCAGCTTGCTGCTGGCCATGTCCGATCAGGCGTTCAAGGAGATGGAGGAGGAGATGAACAAGGCGGTCTGCTGGTACCTGACCTGTGATCGGTACTGGGAGGATGGGCCGCTAGAGCCACGTGCCTTTCCCTGGGGTCTCATTGTCATACTGATATTTGTGCTGTCGACGGGCATCTGCTTCTGCTACTACATCATTTGGATACTGTTTGAGTAAGTGTGGCTGTGTGGCCGCAGCAGCAAAAGCTACTGTCCGTCAATGTGAGATTGAGCAAACCCAAGTCATTTGTTTCAGCTCCGAAGAAACGACAATCAATGCCAACCATTATGCAGGCGTCGGAGCCGGCGGCAGCATCTACATGCCGGCGCCGCACCACTACCATCTCGACTATGCCACACAGCAGGAGCTGCAGCTGGACGCCGGCGGGATACCTGGTCGGACTGCCGATCCCTATCAACAGCAACAACAGCAGCAGCAGCAGCAGCAACAATTATACTACCAGCAACAGCAACAGCAACAACAGCAGCAGCAACAGCAGCAGGCACGCGACTTGTATCCCGAACCGGTTCAATATCATCGGCACAGCCCGCGTCACTACATCGCCGATCAGCGTCCAGCGGCACCGGCAGCGGGACAGGGTACCCCAACCGGCTCGTCAGCCGGCGTCCGGCAAGTGGGGGGGTCCTCGTCCAACGCCAATACGCCGCTGCATCGTCACTCGACGAGCCTGGTTTACCCACAGGACATTTTAGACCGACGCGACTATACAAGTAGCTCCGGCCGGCCAATTGCCACGAGCGTGGTGAGCAACATGAGCAGCTCTGGTGGTGCAGCTAGTGCTGGCATTGGTGGTGTTCACTACAACACACATCCACGGCCGCTGGAGACGCGGCATCGTCATGTGGGCGCCTCGCAGCAATCGCTGCGCGCCTCCTCCTCCACGCACGAGATCGTGCAGAGCGAGGTGGGTGGACAGAACGAGCACTACATATATGTTACGTATCCGCCGGATCTGAAGAAGCGCTACTTCGACAAGTACGAGTAGGACCAAAGAGAGAGCGAGAGAGGGAGGGCGAGTGAGGAATAGCGCAACGAAACGCAAGCAAATACTATTCGAGTCCTTGGTGCGCAGGACAATGAAGCAACCTAAACCCAGTTGGTTTTTTACTTTAGCCTGCAAATTCTAGATTTGTGAACTGTGCTGTATTTTTGAATTCTACAGAAAAGCAAACGAATAAAATCGCAATATATATTGCTGTATTATAAAGAAAATTAATTTAGAATTTATTAAGGCAGATTTATTTTCACTATGTCTCAAAACTATATAGAATTGCTTTACTTTTGATGTGATCCAATATCAATGCAGATTCTCTAACTAGTTATTGCTGATATCTTGAAATAGTTCAATTCAATTTCTTTTGCAAAGAACAAATATTTAAATGTATATGTATAAATAACCCAGTTCTATTCTCAAAGCTTAGCGAATTTTGTGTTTTTTTAGAAATTTTTTATTTATCCACTAATTATTTATTGCCTGTTCGCTTTAATGGTATCCCCATCAGATATTTTCTTACACCTGCGTCAATGTGTTTTCTAATACTCAAATATCATCGAACAATCTTTTTTTAATTTGAGTAGGTTCTTCTTCGATGTCTTCTTTCTTGAGCCTTTAGTTTTTGAGCAGACCTTGCTTGATATATATTATAACACATCTTGTGGTCAGTTCTTTTCAGGTATTCCTTAGGTTTAAAATTCTTTGCAATGCATAACCCCACTTGCTAGATTATTAACTATATAATTAGCTATATTATTAACTATATATGCAATATTATTACGCCAATACAATAAGAAAGGACTATACTAAAACTTCAAATGGCTAGCTGCACTTAGAGCTTAGTTCACATAGATTTCTAGTAAGAAAAGACTTATTTTTTTATATTGCAATAACATGTACATAAAACATTTATTTCAATCAATACAATTTATTTGTTGTTGTTGCTGGTGTTGATTTTTCATCTATATAATATTGAATTTTCATTTTAATATATGCTCAAAAGACACTCACATTCACTTATATATATATATGTATATATATATATATATATATATATATATATTAGTCACAATCTGGACATATCGTATAATGCTTAGGGACTAAAAAACTCGAGTTGTACACGGCATATAAATATTTAGTTATACTTTAAAATTTATACATAGATAGAGAAGGTGTGTGTGTGTGTGTGTAGGACATTTAGATGATATAGTTTATATAGATATAGAGCGAATATATAATAAATATTACATTAAGTGGGCATTTTTTTGCATTTGATTTTTGCTTTTGTACTAAAATTAAGCGTATTATATTAAACTAAATATGATTTGCCTGCCACATTTAAAAATATTGCACAAACGAAACAAAACACAACAACAATATGTGTTTTTTGTTTACTTTTACTTTTACTCACATATATATATATTACATTTATAAATAACAATTATTTAGTGTTTCTTTTTTGGTCCTTTAAAATGTGTGTTTTGCTAGAAGAAATGATGTTGCAAGTAATTGCAGTTTAGCTATAGGTGGTTGGTCTCACATGATTAGATTTGTTTTTTGTTTCCTTCTGTTTTTTGGTTTTTAGTTATAGTTAAAACGTGCTACGTCTGCTATTCCTGCTGTAGCAAATCCAATTTCAACTGCATTGCGAATTTCTACAGGGGGTTTATCTACAGTTCCGGATCTATATACTATATTTCGTCAAAGTTGTGTAAATTCCCTTTGAAAAAACAAGGCCATTTAAGAGTTCTACACCAAAAGTCTTCCAGACATACTATACTATATATATATATATTTATGTATATGTGTGTGTATATGAAAATGTCTGTATAGCTAAAAATATATACATATATATATATATAAATTTCGCTATGTTTAACAATTTTCCAATCTTAACGTAAATTGTACTAAAAACAAAAACAAGTCTTGCACTAACTGAACCAACAGCTTTTCTCTAACAATCTTAAGCTAACAGTATTTCTTGCTATATATATATATATATATATATATATATATATGTATTTGTATATATATTACTCTTCTTCTTATTCTGTTTTTGTTGTATTTTTTGGTCTAGGCTGCATTTTGGTGGCCTTCATTGAACAAAGGCAGTTGGCAAAATCTTAACTAAAACTCAACGAAGCTATGTAAAAACGATGATAAACCAAATAAGAGTTTGATAAACGACAAGTAACGACTGCTAGATGCTCTAGACTGCAATAGGCTTCCTACTCTGTGGCGATCTCCCAGAGAGTTTTATAGAAAGACTTGGAGAAAGCTCAATGGTTTATGGATATATATATATATATATATATAGATCTAAACAGGCAGGCGCACAATTATTTTTATTAGTTTACAAACAGCGTATGCAAAGAGCATGAGCAACAAGGTGTTTTGGGCGTTTCTTTGGGGGATGTGTCATGTCCATTTAACCGCTTTTTTTAAAACCATATGGCCATCAACTTGAAATAAAAGGGCTTTACTTGGCCATAATTATACACACAGCCAAGTTAACAATTTGTGTGTTAGCACGCAAGATACATGCCACAGATTTTGATATACATATATACATATATACATATATATATATATATATATATATATGTCCATATCTGTAACTATATATCTTTCGCTATCTGCTGTTTGACCTCTGATGAGCGACGGCTTTAAATTGTCCCGCACCGACTAAAATGCTGATACACTTAACTGATAAAAATAAAAACAAAAACAAATACATAAAAAAAAATGGAAATATGAATGTTATTTAGCTATCTCTGTCGCACTCGCACTCATAGTGTAGCATATTAATTTATAAGTATATATAGATAAGTATTAATATGGCTGAAATGACATATGTGCTCGATTTTTGTTTAGTTTTTTTTTTTTAGAAAGCTAATTGCACGCGAGCTTGAGTCACACGCATACACAGATGCATGTCTCTAATCGCGTATACGCCAGGTGTACGCACCCTGACACGCTGCCTCGTCGCAAGCTGGCCTCACTTTGCACGAGATTCGAATTTGAAAAATGTTTGTTATTTAGAAATTAGCTTAAAACACATTAATTGCACATTTAAAAAAAATATTGCACGACTTGATAAATATACGTATATCCATATATATATATATACTATATATGATTAATATGTATATAAATAAATATATATATATTTAGATATTTTATTTAGTCATATGGACATTTGCAGGCTGAACCAATTTTATATGACTTTCTTTAAATAGAGAAAAAAATTCTAAAAAATTGCACAAAATATGAAAAATTTCGAAATATTTAAACAACAATTTTTTATGCTTGAAAATTGCTTTTTGACATATTAGGTAAACATTAATAATAATTATTGATATATTATATATATATATATATATATATATTTTTTTTATAAATCAGAAGTCATTCTTAAATTTGAATTTTTGGAATATTTTTGAATGCTCAAAGCTTCACAGTTTATACTGAAACTTTCACATGAAACAAAGGCAAATATAATTTATATTATTTATTATTTATATTATTACCAAATTGCTGTTTGAAAAAATAATTTTTAAGAATTGCTAACATTCTTGAACTTTCTAACTTGTGTTAACGACATCAAGCACACATAGAACGCCTTTAAGAATTTATATTTCTTTTGTCACACTGAAAAACTTTTGAGCCTGCAAATGTCACTTTTTGTCTTAGAAAAGTAAGTCTTTGCTATGCTTTAACTATATACAATTGCGTCTAGTGAAAAAAAGAAAACTATGTATATTGATTAGATTTAGTATATGTACTACAGTATGCACTAAACAAATGCCAAAAAAATTGATTTTATATAAACAAGTCTTTTGAGATTCACGAAATGTGTGTGTGTGTGTAGGTGTAAATCTGTCTCTGTGTGTGTGTGTGTGTGGATAATTTGAATTTAAATTTCTAATCCATTAGGCACGTCAAGTTGATTTTTCACGCTCGAACGACAACGACTACCACCCCCTGCCAGCAACTGAGCTGGAAAGCCTTCACACTGTTTGTTGCAGCTATCTTTGGTTAACGCCTACGCGCTGTGGGCGTGGCACGCGTCGACTGCCGCTGCTGCTGGAGCAGTAGACGCCGCTTGTACTTGCGCAGCACACGCTGGGCATGATCGTAGCGACTGACGTTGTTCTGAACGTATTTGCCGTGCAGATACTTGAGGAACTGGCGGCGTGCGCAGATCTTGTTGCTGCCATCGGGCACCACCTCCTCGTGATGAATGAGGGGCGTGGCACCGAAGTGATCCGACTCCGGTTCGGCCAGCAGTTCGATCAGTTGTTGGGTATTGGCCTGCTCTGTAGCTGCTGTAGCTGCCGGCGGCTGTTGCTCGAGATCATCCGGCTCGACCACGCCCAGTATGTTCTCGTTCATGTCGCATTGCACCACGTAGAGGTCGCTGCTGGTGTTGTCGAAAATCTCGGCTAGATTGATCAACAGCACGTCCTGGCCAGAGTCGGCGGCGGCGCCAATCAGCTGCTTGGCATCTGCTACCGCTTCCTCCTCGTTGTCCTCGACATCGGAGGCCACGCCTATCTGCTGATACATCTCAGCCAGCGCCTCCTCGACGCTGAGCTCGCGGTGCTGCTGAGGCTGTTCTTGCGGCAGCTCAGTGGCTGCCTCTCGGGCATCTTTGACTATGTCACTAGATTTTAAGGAACTATTTAAGGCAATTTTACTAAGGTCACTTAGCTTTGGTACGTTGTTGGCCAGCTGCTGCTGCTCCTCATCGTCGCCATCGCTCTCCAGGATTTGCTTGAGCTTCGCTATGTCATTGTTGGACGCTTGCATCAAGCTCTCGCTGCTGTGCAGATCCGTCATAGGCTTTGGCAAATCGGTTAGCGAGAGCTCCTTCTCCAGTGCGGCCATCTCATTGAAGTCACTCTCCGCGCCGGAGCAGCTGTTGCTCGAACTGGAGTCGTTTTTGTCGCTCTCCTCGCTGGAACTGCTTGAGCTTGAGCTGGACGAAGAGCTAGTTGAGCTGGCCGAGGATGATGTTGAAGAGGACGAGGAGGAGGACGAGGCGGAGGATGAGCTCAAGCAGATGACTGTGGCTGCAGTTTCAGTTGACTGAATTGCAGCCGGGTGCTCCTCCATGCTGTGGTCCAGCCAGCGCTGTATTTCCAGCTGCTTAGCCTCAACACTCGTGGACGCTGCTTCAACAGGTTTGCTTGTGTCCTGTTGCACTTCCGTTTCGGAATGCAGTTTGGCCTTCGGCGACAGATTTGTATTCTCCACATCATCGAAGCCCTTGAAGCTGCCCAGCAGCTCTACGGACTGCACCGTATGATTGGAGTCTCCATTCCCATGCTCCAGCTCACGCTGAGCCTGTGTCTCTCGCAGCGCGTAGCCACTCTTGATGACTGTTTCCCGATCCGAGCTGGCCTCCGTAGTGCCCAAGCCCTTATATTGCTTCGCAGACTCGCGCTTGATCAGAGGCAGGCGACGCTCCTTGCTGAGTGCCAAATGGCGACGGATGCGTTCGACACGCTGCTGCCGCAGGCGGGTCAACGCGAATCGACGGCGCAGCAGCTTGAGCGTACGGAAATAGAAGCGATGCTTGATCTTGGGACTTTCAAATTCGAGAATCTTCAACATCTTGATGCGATTGCGACGTCGGCGCGCCAATCGAATTCGACTGGCGCGTGCCGCTGCTTTGGGCGCCAGTGGAGCAGGAGCCATGTCTGAGGGAGCAGCAGCAGGGACAGGAGAGAGAACTGGAGCTGGAGTAGCAGCAGCAGCAACTGCAGCAACATCCAAGGTAGCTTCTGCAGCAGCGGGCGTAGGTGCGCTATCCATGACTGCTGGCTCCGCTGCAGCCTCGTCTGCCGGCTCCGTTGTCTTTCGCTTGCGCTTGTAGAACTTGAAGCGATTCGCATGATCCGGACACTCGCTGTCAGGCTGAGCATTCGGATCCGGATCGCTGTCGCTGCCCTCGTTTTTGTTTATGAATGTCTCATACTCCTTCTCGAATGTGGACTCATTTGAGTTGCTGTTGCTCTGATCGAACTCAATGGCCGTCGGGTCCGGCAGCAGTTGGCTGGACAGCGGCAGGGGCAGGGGCAGCACGAGTGATTCCTCTGGTTGCGACACCACCGGCTCTCGGAGTATCTCAGCCAAGGCATCTGTATCGCCTGGCGGCGACTCGTTGGCTTCTGCGCCGCACTTCTTGAGACGCAGCTCATCCAGCTCCTTTTCCACATCGAAGCTGCCAAACGAATCCTCCACGGGCGCCAACGCTGACTTCTCGTGATGATGATCGATGATGATGTCGGGCAAGTTCATCGAGGGGCACTGCGGCAGCTCGTTCATGACGGCCGTGGCCACCGGACCTGTTGGCGGCAGCGTTTCGTAGATGAAGCTCGACTGGCTCGGTGGTGCAACTGGCGCAACCACAGCCACCGTCGGCAGCAGGGACTCAGCTTCCAAACGTGCTGGTTGTGGCGCTGGCTGCTCCTCCTCATCGTCGTTCCAGCTGGACAGAAAGTCGCGTATATTGGAGCTATTCGAGCTGGGCTGTGCCAGTGGCGGCGCCAGGGACTGCGACTGCAACTTCTGATGTTGCGCTTGATAGTGCGAAGGCGCAGCTGCATGCAGGTCGTAGCCCACAAAGCTGTCCACATGAGCCTCCAGGTTGCCCAGAGGCGGCGGCGCACCACCTGCCGACAGATAGCAACCGCTGGTCGTTGGTGGTGCGCGCTTCCTGTAGGCGTACTCCAAGGAGCTGGCGCTTTGGTATGGCTGAGAGCGATGCGTTTGCTGTGCGGGCACTGGCACCTGCACAGGTACCGGCCCATAGCTGTCCAGACTGCTGAGATCATTGTAGTAGGCGCTGTTTACATTAGCCTCCATGCCGACTCCCACGCCCACGCCCACGCCCACGCCCATGCTGAGGCCCATGTTGAGGCCCAGCTGGGGCACATAGCGCTGACTGTTGCTGGCGGCCGTCGCTGGGTTGGGCGGTGCGCCCGCAGCGCCTGGCTGAGCGTAGCCATAGCCCAGCTGTGCGGGCGGGAGTGGCTCATAGGAGGCATAGAGATCAGTCGGATGCTTGAGCTTGTGGCTGCCGCCGGTCTGGGCGCCGGCATATTGCGACGGCTGCGAGCCATAGCCATTGCTGCGAGGATAGTAGCAGGTCTGCTGTGGATAGGCCTGAGTGCAGCAGTTTTGCCTGGCATTGGGCAGCGCATTCTCCACAGGATTCGGTGGCCAAATGCCGCGTGTGGCATACGGCTGTGTGATGTTCGCCTGATAGGGATTGCTGGCATACGTAGCCGTCGCCTGAGGCGATGCGTACTTGTCGTATTTGTAGTACAAATCGCTGCTGCTGGCATTGGGCGGAGGTGGAGGTGGAGCATTCGCCACTGCATGATGATAGGCGCTGCTGTTGCCCACTGGGCGACAGTTGGCCGCATTGTAGTCAACGTTCCAGTGGCTAGACTTGCGATAGGCCGTCTCAGCGCTCAGCTCCGGCGGACTGTAGAGCGGCGCAGGTGCGCCAAAGCTCAGCCCGCCATTGGGCGAGTAGAGCGACATGGCATACTTGTCATAGTAGGAGCCGGGCAGCTGTGCGGCAGCCGGAGCTGCACCCGAGCCAGCTGCGCCCGGACTGCCATACAGAGCAGGCGGCATGTTCTGGTAGCGACTGCTTGGCTTGATTGCAGCATAGTTTGGCTCGAGCGGCGGCAGCTGTTGCTGTTGCTGCAGCTGCTGCTGTGCGGGCAGCTGTTGCTGCTGTGACTGCAATTGCTGTTGCTGCTGTTGGCTTTGCTTTTGAGCCATGCTCAAGTTGTGATACTGCTGCGTTGACTGCAGTTGCAGCTGCTGCTGCTGCTGCTGTTGCTGCTGCTGCTGCTGTTGCTGCTGCTGCAGCTGTGTCGGCATCTTGTACTTGTAAGCATCATAGGGATTCGCTTGGCTCATATAGTTGCCTGCTGTCATGGGCATCGACATGGACATCGACATCGACATGCTTTGGGGCTGTGCATAAAAGGGCGTGGCTGCCGCCTGCGGCTTGCTGCTGCTCATAATATTGCTGCTGCTGCTGCTGCTGTTGCTGCTGTTGTTTATGTTGCTAAGGTTGTTATTGCTGCTGATGCTGCTGCTGCTTGTGTTGCTGCTGCCAATATTGCTGCTGCTGCTGCTGTTGTATTTGACAGCCGCCAGCTTCTGGTAGCCACTGGGCGGCACCACTGGCGCACTATAGTTGTACGCACTGTAGTTGTACGCCTCCATTCCACCATAGTTATAATTCTGATGATAAAAGTGCGTTTGCTGCTGCTGCTGCTGGTGCTGCTGCTGCTGCTGTCGCTGCTGCGCATCCAAGCTGGTCAGCGCTTCGCTGTAGAAGGGCGCCACCGTCGCAATGGTTGCCATTGGCGTTGGCGTTCCCTCGTAATGGCCGCTGGAGCTTAGCGGTGTTGTGGGCGTGGTCGTGGCACTGCCATAGCCGCTGCTGGCGCTGCTGCTGCTACCGGGGCCCGAGTTGCTGCCCACAGCAATGGCCATGGCGGCCGAGTCCATGCTGCCAGCTGCAATAACAACAACAAGAACAAAAGGTAAGCAAAACTTGACCAAGGACATGAAACAAGGTGGCAAAGCTAGATAGCCTAAGTACCCTACAAGCCAAAGGGAATGTTCAGAATAAAGAGAATACTTGATTAATGTATTCAAGAACATGAAAAGCTATGAAATTCAATACATCAAATATTTAACAACTTATTAGAAGACTAGCTTCGACTTTATACTATATATTTCTATCTGCAGCTGGGCGGAATGTGGAGAGATTACTGAAACCATTTCCAGAGAGCTATACGAACTCATCTCCTACAGCATCTCTGTGCAACTGCTCCATATACTGACTATGCATATGATCTCTGGCAAATTAGAGTGAATAAATTTCTTTTAAATTTGGTTTCTTCTCGCATATATCCCTCATATATCTTTTTTCTATATACCTGTACCAAAGTTCATAAAACATCGACTAAGCCTAAGCTGACATAATGAAACATTGTTATTTATGCTATTTTTGAAGGGCATTAGAACAAAAGTGGACAGTTTACTCAAACACATGCACATATGTGTATGTGTGTATGTGTATGCATGTATGTAATGCCCGCTTTGTTTACAGTGTACCTAATTTGCCCCTTCCTCTACCCCTCCTACATGCACACACACACACACACGCAGGCAACACATGTGCGCTGCACTACAGGAAAAAGCAATTATTCCATGGCATTTAAATGAAAAATGGAAAAGCCCCAAACCAAACCTCCCCAAGCCCCTGGCCACTAACCCCCCTAACCCCTCCACCTTTGCTTTTGTTGTAGCTGCTTCTGCTGGCGACTTTAATGGTCATAAATGTCGCATTTCGCGGCACTACGAGCCACGCGAAGGTCCTCATTCAAGTGTGTCAATGGGGTTGATGTCTAAATGCTGGCTATCTGTACGGGAATACCCCAGGCCCCTTCGTTCCCTGCATTCGACACACTCCAACCCGTTCAGGTCAGAAAACTGAAACGTACTCGCGTCAACTTTGTGAAATGCGATTGTTCATTAAATATTAACGATTGCTGCCATCAAACGCAGGGCCAACATGGCGGATGAACAATGCACAGTGGATTCAATTAACACTCAATAGCTCAACAAAAAAATAGCTCACACTGAGTAGTCTAGTAGGTAATATACGACTACAAAACTGGAGTATTTAAGTGGAAGTGTCTAGAAGAGAACATGTTCAGTAATATATAAAATTTCCAAGAAATTAAGTTTGTAAAATTTGTATACCCAAAATAGATGTTAGTCTGTATATAGTAAATTAAGAAAAGTTAAAAAAAATCATGGTCTACTCTGCAAAATATATGCGAGAATACATATCTTAAATTTCATTAAGTTAGTTTTTATAGTTTTCGAGTTGGACGCATTTAAACAGACGAACAGATTGGAAAACTTTGTTCTTTCTATGAAGAATAAGTATTCCTGATATTCTAATTTTTGCGTAAAAATTGTACAGCCTTCGCTTAAGCTTGAGTATGCCTTTAATGAAAAAAAAGGCAGTTTTTTATTGTCGCACTTGAACTTTTGATCCACTGTGCCAAGGGACAGTTGGCCGACGACAGCACGTCTGGACTACACGATTGGGCGTGTCGCCGGACGACTCTCAATGTCAACGCCCACAACAAAGTGTGCCACACACACGCACACACACACATACACGCACACACATGTGCTTCAAAGTAGAGATATTAATTGCGGTCTCCCACCGCCTCCTCTCTGCCTGGCCCTCTGCCTGCATAAATAATGAACTGCGTTTAAGTCTATCCCACTGACACACAATCCGACGACGATAATGATGATGATGATGGCGACGACGACGCTGACCACCTGTGACCAGCAGACGCAGCAGGCAGCGGTCAGCGAAAGCGCAAGTGGCAGCTGCTGTTGCTGCCGCCGCCGCCGCCGCTGTTGCAGCCGACGTTCCCTCAGTTGCTGCAGCACGTATACGCCCCCCTCTCGCCCGCCTGCGCTGGCAATTTGTATGATAAATGCAAGGCGGCCCTGCAGCACTGTAGTACACGGAATCCATTATGTTAATTCACTTTCGTTTGTTCGCGAATACACGTCTGCTATACGGCCATATGTGGCTATATATGACCCGAGGAGCTGGTTAGCTTGTTGATGGCTAACAGATTGGATTGGATGCCCTGCACTAATCACCTAATGGTCAACTACGCAGCACACACACAATTATTGATGGGCTTTTAAGCTAATTGAGCGTAGCCAATTGGCCAAATCATCATCATTATATGCCAATCGATAAATGAGATCGCGATCAAAATCGTAATGCCATTGACATTAAGCTGCAGAATTTAAAATACTCTTAGCAATTTTAGATGATACCATGCAATATGTATTATAGACACTGAAGAGTTGTTGTATGGCGATTGAGACACAGAAGACACAAAACACTTTAAGATCTTTGCTGGTAGCATAAAATTTGATATTCTATAGGTTTTGTATAGTTTGCCGTGGCTAACTAGCCTGTTTGAGTCTCTTACCTAATATTCTATAACGGTATTAAGGACTTAACAACTTAAGCATCAAAGCTATCAATTTTTCAACAGCTGATATTACATAGTATATAAAGTCTTGTCATTAAGCTTTTATTGTCCAGACAATTCACTGAAAAAAAACTAATTTTATTTTATGACGAATCTATTTATAAAGCAGCTATATGATATAGTTAATCTATGCTACTCGATTCCACTGCATACACTGAGCACATTCCCAAAAAAAGAGCATCTGTACCAAGTGCCATTAGTATAGCTTCGCTCAAACGTTAGTTCACATAGATAAATATAAAAACTTTTTACTACAATTTCATATTTTCCTTCATTTAAAACAATAAATTTCTTCACACAACATTTATAAACTTTTCAAAGTATTTTGAGTAACTTTAAATGGAACTTTAAAACCAAAAAGCACTGCTTGTTTTCTTCCTTTACATATGTATGTATATAACGTTAACCAGGCCAGATGTTAGATTAAATTGAGTTATTCCATAAACAAACTGTTGAATAAAACAACAAAACTGCACCGTAAACAACACAATTTATGCACAAATTGAATGCGACTTCAGAAACGAGACAATTATGTTGCCATATGTTGATGTTCAAGGCGACAGAGCAAGAAAAAACGCGCGCAACAGCCTCACGCACACACAAAGGGAAACACCAAGAGAGACAGAGAGAGAGAGAGAGAGAGAGGTTACATTTTACTGTAGTTGATGGACCGTGCACGTTTTTTGACCGCACTCGATTGTGTAGTCTATTTACAGGCTGATAATCTGCGAGCGCTGCGTATGCGTAATTTGTAAATTAAATAACTCGATATAAAAACCAATAACAAACGCAACAAAAACAACAACGAAATTCTATTTAAAGTTTTCGCAGCGTTTTTGTGGTTTTCGAATGCTTGCGCGCGAGAAACTTTTTCATCTGTTGCCGCGACGTAAGAGACGCAACGGAATGTGTGAATTGTGCGGCTGCGGCTGGCGTCGACGCAGATGCTGACGTTAACTGTGACGCTGGCGCCGCTGTCAACGCAGACGACACATACAAACAGAGCGGAAAGTCCTGCTTAAAGCAGGGCGGGTTTATGTGTGCGAGAGAGTGAATGAGTGAGCGCTTTTTCTGAGCATGTGTGTGTGTGTCTGTTTGTGTGTGTTGTTTTGCTTGGGAAAACAAGTGGTTGCCGTGGTGAGAAAACGTGGCGCACACAACTAAAGCGCCGGCTGGATAGCCCCAAAGGGTTTGGCTCACGGGGTGGGTAGTGGGAAGGAATAGCTGGTACCTGACGTCTCTGCACATTTGACAGCGCCGGCGGAAATGAAAGGCGTACACATGTACACACATGCAATACGTATACTCATAAGCAAACATGACAGTTGCATGGATGCACAGTGGAGCAGCGTTGACAAACATTGGAATTAAGAAAAAAACGTTCTTAAACTCTCATTTAATAATAAAATCAAGGGATATCGAAATCATATTTTTTGTAAAGATTTAACTTAAAATAGGTGAATTTTAATCTTCCTTTTTCAAATGAATGATTAATAAATTAAGTTGAACAATAAATATTGTTAAATAGTTCAACATTAATGGATAGCTATAATTAAGTAAATATCATAAAAAATATGTCTATTATTTCACTCCTCGATAAAACAAAAAGCAAACATAACCCAGTTTATGTCCTGGCTTTCCATGCGTGAGCTACACTGTGCGACGGCTCAAATGCAGTACACGCTCCCATTAACGGTAGGCGACGTTGCCTAACGGTTCGATGGTGAAGCGTGACAAACAAGCGACAGGCGAACGGCGCTACAACAACAAACAAGACAAGTAGCAGACAAACAAACAAGCAAAACAAAATACAAATTAAGAAAATGTACGGCAAATGATTTGAGCCAATGGCGTTGACAGCCCAGGTGAAAATATAGGACCAAACGTGGCCACGCAGCAAATTAAATAAGTACAAAGCCAAAAAAGAAAATTAAATAAATAAAGTAATGCAGCAACAGCAACAGAAACTAATTGATATAAAAACAAAGCCAAAAACGGTCTTGCGGTTGCGTTGCAAAAAGGGAATTGACAAAAAAATGAAGCACACACACAAATAGGCGACAAAAGAGCAAGAAAAATGAAAAACAACGGCAACCATAAAAGCAGCGCAATCAAATGATAATAAAAAGCCGCGATTACAGTGACAGCAACAACAATAGCAAAAGCAAAAGCAGCAAAGTTGGCAGCGCAGTCGCACTGACACACACACAGAAATAATACAGTTGTTGATTATGCATGCGTGAGTGAGTCTCGCGTCGCCCAAAGGTGAAACCAGAATAGAGCAAAAAGAAGCAGCAACAAAACGGCAACAGCGGCGTTGGCGCCGAAGCCACAGAAGAAGCAATAGCAATTCAAATGCAAGACAGTATTCAAAAATCGAACAGTAAAGCGTACGACAAGAAAAAAACAACAACAAAAGCTAAAAAGACCGAAGCAGAAAGAAAAAGACACATTTGCCACGAGCGGAAGCGCAGGGTGAGGGAAGCCACCATAAATATTGATTGAAAATCAATAGGTTGCGTTCTCTCCACCGTCTGTTTGTCTTTTTGTCATTTGTAGTCGTGAATTGAAGCCCTTTGCGCACTACCAGTCCAAGTTCCAGCCCACCGGCACAGTTACAAACGAATATTTATATATACACACATATGTACATACTTATACACATGTATACACGTGTACACACTGCTATACAGCTGTATTTCCATATATATACATATGTACGTATGTATGTGCATGCGTGCTGCTAGCGCTGACAAGCTCAGCTTGATAATTTAAACACATACACTACCCTTGCCAGGCGGCAGAGATACTTACACACGCAGCTACACATACATACATATAGAGCAAAACAGACGGAAAAACACAACAAAAGCAACAACAACAAAAATGTCAACACACTTTTGCTGTTGGCGCTGCCATTGTTATGGCTTGTCTGAATTCGTGTGATTGTGTGTGTGTGTGTGCGCGCGCGTCCGTGTGCGTGTGTGTTGGGGCATTTTGGGCTGTAGGCCGTAATCAACATCGTCGCTATTGGGGCGCAAAAAAAATGCCAAAAGAACAGAATAAGTAGAGCACCCCAAGACTGCGTCGACTGCGGCGCTGGCAGCATAAGCCACACTCTACAGCAGAGACAGAAGGAGAAGAGCACGAGAGACAGAGAAAGAGAGAGTGAATGTGCAAGAGAACGCAGAGGGGGCATGAAGCCAGCGTATGCACTGAAGCAGCAAATAAACCACGTATTCACATACAAACACATACAAATACACATACACATATATATAGTAGAGTGCACGGCATTCATAAAGCATACACAAAGTTAATGTTACAGACTCACACATACAAATACAAACCTCAACAGTTTTTCGACATTTTGTTGCTATTTCGCTGTCGCTGCCTACGTCGCGACGATGCGTCGCTGCTGCTGTCGCTGCTGCTCACTTAAACGTTCTGCCGTTTGTTATTTGTTATTGTTGTTGTGTGTGTTTGTTTTGTATCTGTCGTTTCGCTTGATTATATTGTTGTGCTCCGTTGTGTGCACTATTAGTTATGATATAATTTGATATTATTCTTGTTGTTGTTGTTATTGTTGTTGCAGGGAATTTTTATTTATTGCATTCAATTATCATTTTTCTACGCACCACACATGTAAACGCAGAACGTCGACGGTAACGGCGACGCCGCTGTTCTGCTGCTGCTTGGCACAAATTTTCATTCGCCAAGGTAACTGATAATACACTCTATTTTACTTGTTTTGGTTACTGCTGCTGTTGTTGTTTTGTAAAAAGATACGTTTATGAAACAATTTTTGTGTAATTTGGTGGCCTCAGCTGCTGCTGCTGCTGCTGCTGCTTCTGCTGTCGACGACGCTTTTTGCACGAATTCAAGTTAGAGATACAAATACACGTACACAAATCGCGACTTTGAATGCAGCCGGCATTGACAGCGTTTCCAATTATTATGATTGTTGTTGCTATTCTTGTTGTTGTTGGAGAGGGGCCAGCGGCAGAAGACACTAAACGAACGCTGTACAGGTGGCAGCAGCGTGGCGAATTGAAATATCAGCGCGTAAATTGTAGAGAACTAAATATAACCGACACATACAATACATATATGTATATACGAGGAACGTAGACGTAGTAAATATAAAAGTTAATAACAACGCAAAGAAATAAACACACACTCACGAACGAACTAACTGCCGAACGAGCGAGCAAACGGACGTGCACTCTGTCTGAAAGTCAAGATACGAATGAGCAACGGTAAAAAAACGGTGAGCCGGAGCAGAAGCACGCGCCAAAACGAAAGCTAGTAAAAGTTTAGAGCGCGCGAGCTGTTCTCAGTGTTTTACGTATGTATGTGTGCATGTGTGAATGTTTGTATGTACTTGGTGTGTCGCAGAGAACTTCATACAGGTGTTTTAGTCAGGTAATTGACTGACAGCTATGGCATACATAAGCTTGAGTTGGTGCTAATTGAACATGTCGTTCTGTATTTACAGTTAACAAAACACAAGAGCACTGGCTCATAATTAGTTAGTAAATGTTTATTTCTTATTTTCTTTTGTCCCGAATTTGCGCGCCACAAATTAGTGAGTAGGGCAAGCCTGCCAGACTGATATAAAACAAATGTAGTGTTGCCACGTCAGCGGAACGAATTGTTTCAAAATGTAAACAAACGCCGAGCGCTGCCACTTGGCGATAGCAAATTTCTTCGATATGCATTATCGATAACGCTGGAAAGCCGAAGCATAAATTACAGTGATTGAGTGAATTGTTAATTCAATTTTCATTTATTTATTTAAAAGACAATTGATTAATTTAAATATGGCTGAAGAGTGGCAGAGTCAAAATTTTCGGCAAAATGTCATTTCTAAAATGTAAGTATTTGATTTGTCTGCGCATAAGGAACTTAATTAACATTTTCTGATGTGTTTGGCAGCCATGATATGTTGCCACAGAATGGGCCGGAGCCCAATAAAAATGCTAGCATGATGGAAAATCACATATTTCGCAAGTCACGCACCAAGGATGAGTATTTGGGGCTGGTGGCCAAGTTGTTTATGCACTACAAGGACATGTCGCAGCGCAAGTCCCAGGCACAACAGCAGCAACAACAACAACAGCAGCAGCAGCAGCTGCAACAACAGCAACAGCCACCGCCCAATGCAGAGATGGGACAGCAAAATATAATGCAAGATCCACTGAATGCATTACAAAATCTGGCCAGCCAGGGCAATCGGAATCCTCAATTGATGCCAATGGGCGGTGCACCTGGTCCAAATCAAATGGCTGGTCCTGGTGGACCAGGGACTGCCTCCAATTTGTTGCAGACGCTGAATCAGCAAAGGCCCGGGCAACAGCAAATGCAACCGATGCCGAATATACGCGGACAGTTGCCAATGGGCGCTGGCGCTGGAGGCCAGCAAATGGTTCAAGTACAGCAAATGGCTGGGGGTAATGGACCTGGTGGCGCAGGAGGCATGCAGCTAAATGCCATGGGACCCGCTGTGGCGCAAGGCCAGGGACAGATTGTAGGCAATGCAGGCGGCATGCCCAATCAAATGGTGGGCCCGGGACCGAATAGTGGACCTACGGGCGGTGCAGTTGGCGGTATGCCCAATCAAATGTCGCCGATGGTGGTAAGTAGATACTATTCTGTAGTGATCAGATACTAATATATGTTGGTCATTTAGATGGGCATGGGCAATCCGATGATGCGTCTAAATCAAGGCATGCAGGGCATGCCGTCTAATATGCAACAGCAGCACAATGTCGTAGGTGGCCCGGCTGGGCAGCAACAGGTGGGCGGGCCCGGTGGCTTGCCACCAAATGCAGTGCAACAGGGCGGGGCTATGAATCCCATGGGCGGCATGAATGTAAATATGCCACCAAACATGCAGCAGAAGCCGAATATGACAATGGGGCAGGCAGGCCAAATGTTTCCGGGCAATCGGGGTGGAGTTGTAGGTGGCCAACAGCAGCCGCAGCAGCCCTTTATGCGCTCCAGTCCCTCGCCGGCGGACGCACAGCAATTGCAACAACAGCAACAATTGCAGCAGCTACAACAGCAGCAGCAACAACAGCAGCAGCAGCAGCAACAGCAGCAGCAGCAGCAGCAACAACAACAGCAGCAACAACAACAATTGGTGGGTAATCAGACGCCTACACAACAGCCACCCACCCCACAGATGCCCACACCACAAATGATACCCAGCCCTGCATTGGTGCCCCAGTCTAGCCCGCAAATGATGATGCAGAACACACAGCGCAACATACGGCAGCAGTCGCCAAGTGCATCGATCAATACGCCCGGTCAAGTGACGGGCAACAGTCCATTTAATCCACAAGAGGAAGCGCTGTATAGAGAAAAGTACAAGCAGCTAACCAAATACATTGAGCCACTAAAGCGCATGCTGGGCAAGATTAGCAATGATGGAACCAGTGAGTTCATTTCATAATGTTCACATACAATTTTTTATAATTGTATTTTCCGTTTGCAGATGTTGAAAAGATGACAAAGATGAGCAAGCTACTGGAAATTCTCTGCAATCCGACGCAGCGGGTACAGCTGGATACGTTGCTCAAGTGTGAGAAGGCACTGGAGAAGATGGATCTAGTGTCCTACTCGGGTCAGCAGTTTGGCGTAAGTCAACCTTTTGATGAAAAACTCATTGGCTAATGCTTTGTAATCAATTCACAGAAATCATCTAACCCGCTGCTAGAGGTCATCAATACTACGCTGCAAAGTCCGCTGGCTAATCATACATTGCATCGCACTTTCCGTCCCAGCTTAGAGCTGCTTTTTGGCACAGACATTTGTGCGCCTGTGCCGGCCAAGAAACCGCACCTGGAGGAGAAGTCATCGCCGTTCGATCAAGATGTGCCACATGTATTGCAGGGCGAGATTGCGCGTTTAGATACGAAATTCAAGGTCAAGCTAGATACGACTGCTCAAAACAATAATAAGACAATACGTTTGATCTGTTGCCTGGACGATAAGTGTTTGCCCAGCGTTCCGCCGGTAAGCGTGAGCGTTCCAGAGGAGTATCCATGGCAATCGCCCGATTGCTCGCTCACCGAACAGGAATACTCGGCTACTCCGTTTCTGCAGACCGTGCAACAAGCGCTGATCGCCCGCATGTCCAAGCTGCCTAAAAATTATTCACTGTCGCACCTACTGGACACCTGGGAAATGGCCGTGCGCCAGGCCTGTTCGCCCCAATCCAAGCCACGAGTCATATGTGAGCTGAGCACTCTACTGGGTGTATAACTCGAATCTCATTTGATTGGAATGCATAGTTATATTCAGTATATACGAGTACTAACTACAATAGCAGACATTTTATAGATGTGCTAAATTAGGTTAATGATAAAGCTGATATGATATTGTAATCCGCTGAAGATAAGATATAGTCCATATGAAGCCTGAACGGTTATAATAGCTGAGTTATAAATCGTTTAGAGATTTAGATTACTTTAGGAAAGCTTCGCTGTGCGTTTAGGAAGCGACTTGACTCTCCGCTATAGAATAAGAAACATTTTGAACCCATTCGAAAGACTTGGTTTAAATTATTATATGGAAAATATATTTTCGCATTGTATTTGTTTTTTTTTTAAATGTTTTTTTATGTTTTCTTGAGATTTAGACCTTGGAGACTATTTAAGTATGCCAGGTATCTTTTCTTCGCATGTAGCAATAAATACAATTTTGTTCAGAATAAAAATTTTAGCAGCGATAATTATTGTACAATAGAAAAAGTGTTAAGAAAACTTAAGTATCACAGATTTTGTAGCTATATATGTATATAGAGTGTATGCACTAGGTATAATCAGAAGAGCTCTAAACTAAAATGTGTGTGTGGATGAAAACGTGTGAGTGTGAATGTGTGTGAGGCATATCCATTTGCTAATATGGGTATAACTTGTGTGTGACTCCTAACATAACGATGACAAGAAGTAGCTCCTAACTAGACTTAAGACTACGCCAGCTGGCCCGCATGTGGATCTGCTCCAGAGTTAGCTTGATTGAGCTGGTCATACTGTGTCGAGATGAGATTGTGGTTGGATTGCCTATCGGCAGGCAAAGGTACCCACGAATGTGGACGCTTGCTGCTGCAGTCGCAGCAAATCCTGCGCGCTGTAGATGTGCAAACTGTTGGATGAGTGGCTGGATGTGGCGGGCGTTTGTACTGAACTTGAGGCGGAGCTGGAGCTGGAGCTGGCGGTGGCTGGTGCGATGGCCCGCAGCTGCAGCGTGGGCTCACACATGACTGCCGCAGCGGCTGCTACCTCGGCGGCTGTTGAGGCGAAGGTCACATTGCGATTAACACCGTTCGCCTTGTCCTTGTTGTGGCGTTTCACGTGCTTGGACAGATGATCGCTGCGCATGAACTTCTTGGAGCAGACGCCGCACTGGAACTTCTTTTCGCCGGTGTGTGTTCGCTTGTGCCGTGAGAGCTCATCGGAGCGGGAGAAGCGCTTGTCGCAGTTGTCCCACTTGCAGATAAATGGACGCTCACCCGTATGGACGCGCTGATGGGCTTTCAGATGGCTGCTCTTGAAGTAGTTCTTGCCGCAATCCGGAAAGCTGCACTCGTAGATGCGGCTGCGTGTAGCTGCTGCCTGGGCGGCCGTAATGCGTTTGCCTGCCGAAGAGCAGGATGAGGAAGAGGAGCATGTAGATGAGGAACTCGAGGATGAAGACTGACAATGCGCTGGCACAATAGCGGCGGCTGCAGCGGCTGCCACGTTGCTCAGGATCAGCAGCTGTGAATCAGGAGCAGGCGCTGCTGTGTAGGCAGGACAAGCTGTTGTAGCATATGTGGCCAAGGGCAGCTGTTCTGTAGCTGTAGCTGTTGCTGTTGCTGTTGAAGCGGGTGTGGGCAATGCCACCTCGGCGGCACGTTTGCGATTCATTTTGTATTTGAGATTACGCCAAACGTTCTCCTCGGGGTAGTCATCGGAAATAGGAGTGGCGAGTGCGGCATTCATATCGCTAACAGCCGAACAGCTGGAGCTGGAACTGTTCTCATTGGATGAGCTGACGGTGCCCAGGCTATTCACACGCATTATAACGCTCACACGTTGAGCCAGTGCATCTGCATCCTGTTCGTGCTCCGACTTAAGCTGTTGCTGCTGATCTGGCGGAGGCGTCAATGTTACCGCTGGCTGTTCTAGGCGCGCCTTCTTGCATGGCCGCACGTCGGCGGTATCGTCCTCGGTGTCCGAGGGATTGGGCGTAATGATGCCATTCTTTTGGCTTTGCTGATTTGCGACCAACTTTAGCTTGGCCTTTAGCAGATTCTCCTTGACCAGTTGTTTGTCCTTAGCGGCCTGGAATAAGAAAGATCAGAGAGAAGAGTTCGATTAGTAACTGAGTTCAATAGACATGGGCGGGCGGGTTCACTGCCTCTGGCCCCAAAAATACATTCGCATTCCCATTCACTTTTTCCCTGTCTGACGTTGACCTACAATAACTTTTTGGCGAGTGCAAAAAACCCCAGAGAAAAATTCGCTAATTATGTGCGCGGGCGTCGACGTCAACGTCGACGCTGGCGTTGGTTAAGAGCGACAAGGCCGTTCACTTTTAACCTTAACCCGCAACAGCGGCCCCCACGCAAATTTGCTGCGCCTCACGTGGGGTTAATGCCATCGCAACATTACGACTTATTGATATACCCTGTAAGCATTGAAATCGGGTGGCATACGAAACGAGTCATTTTATGAATTAATCGCGGGACTCTATCAATAAATATAATTCGATTGTTTTTAGCGAGCAGTTAAGTGAAGTCGAATTGATTACAGGGTAGCAACTAGTCAGTATGATTATCTTTTTTCGCTGCTCGTCTAACTTGCGAAAGTCACGACGGCGCCCTTCGAATTATAGACGCAGCCCAAAAGCATGCACTAAAAATTTCTGCAGCATGCGTCGCAGCTGGCAGCAACGCTCAACGCTGTTTTTTTTATGGGCTCGGCACGTTGCCTTCGCTTGGTGTGCGTGTGTCTGTTTTGTTTGTTTGTTTGCTTGCTTGTGCGCCCGATAACCAGAAAGCAAAAAAATGTGACATATTTTATATGAAGCGTCGCTGTTCACGTCGCTGCCTGTCTGGGGCTTGGTTTTGTTTGTTTTTCTACCGCTTGCTGTTTCTAATTGGCAACGCACCTTCGCACCGTTTTTGCTCACACACGCACACACTCATGCAGGCAAATGCTCTCAAACAAATGCGCTCTGACTACGTCAGCAGGCGGCTCTCTTTAAGACGCTCTCAGCAAAAAGCCACACACACACACACACATACACATATGGCAAGCAAGGCGCGCAAATAACTACGACAATTCCACATTGCCGTGGAGTCCAATGTTCGCCCTGTGTGTGTGCATGTGGTCTATATATGTGTGTGTGTATGTACTGTATCACTCGCTGTGCATGCGGTGTTCACGTGAAAGCGTGCCCGCTGCGTGATCGCATAGCGTTACTGCGGTGCGAGCGAGATGCGAGACTTTTGTTTTTAGAAACACGGCGAGTGCAAGCAAGCAAGCACTACACTTAATGGTTTGCCTTGCCATGTATTTTTTTTGTTGCGTGATTTGTCAAAAGCGAAGGCGTCTTGTCTGGGGGCACGAATAAAATGCGGGAATTCTATGTAACTGTATATACGAGTGCATTTGTGTGTGTGTGTGGGGGCTGCATTTTTTCGCATTTAATTTTAATTAGTTTGCACTGCACTCAGTTACACTCATTTATACGCCCCACATTGTAGGTCAGTCTCTTTCGAGCTCTGAGTCACTTAGACTTACATTTTCTACTTTGTTATCCCGTAGCGGGGGCGTTGCAGGCGGCGATGGCAGCAGCAACGTATCCATGTCCATTGTGTGTTTGTGTGGGTGGCAAATTATTTTTCTTTTTTGTACTTAGATGCACTTTGCACTTGCTCACACTATCTTTGGCACCTGCACAAACAGTTGTTGCAGGGGCACTGGAGTCTTTTTTTTTTAAATTTTTAATTTCTCTTTCAGTTGATGTCCGCCTTATCACTTATCTAAATCGGTGTTAGCACTTTTGATTTACACAAGCTATAGGGGCTTCTTATAAAGTTTTTTCTTTCTCTTTTATTTCACTTGATGCGGCTGCTAGAGGAGCCCGAGTGAGCGAACCGTAGCGTTCAGAATTCAACAGACGAATGAACAAAACACAGACTGCGAACTTCCACCAGACCATCGCAGTCGCAGTCGCAGTCGCAGCGCACAAACACAGACGCACACGGTGCGAGAGTGTGAGAGTGGGAGCGCATGTTGCCGACGTAATCAGTTGTAAGTGGGCTGCTCTTCAACGTGCGCGGGTGTGCTGGGAGTCTCTCTTCAAAAATCGTCATCGAATGGGTCGGCAAAGCAACCAGTGCAATGGGAGGACACAATTGTAACTGCTTTTCGGGCAGGCGTTGGCAACGTGGGCAGTGCTAACTAGAGACGTGCGTGTGTCACGAACCAAGCACGAGGTAATTCGAAAACCCACGGTTTCATATATGACGAGCACGAGACGCCACCTTTTTTATTTGAATTTATTTTTTAAATTTATTAAACTTGATTTGCAGCTAATGTATACATTTTGTGTTAAGGTAATTTGTTCTTAAGATTTGCTTAACTTTCAGTTAAGGATCGTGGCACGCTGTCGAATCTAGCTAAGAATTTGACAGTACGCCTCCGCAGCGGGCTGACATTTAGCTGAAACATGGAGCTCGCGTTGGCGGCAAAAGGTCAGGTCTGTGCCCACGCACGGTGGGCTTAATAAGAAAGAGAGGAAGCGGGATAGAGAGAGAGCACGTAACGAGCGCATGTACGTCATCAGCTGTTTACCTCTGGGCAATGGGCCGCGGGGCGTTTGAGGGAAAGCACAAAATTCCATGGAGCTATCTATTCATAGCTGCTGTTCATGCACATAAAGCGTGAAAAGTAAAGGCAGCTCTCGCGCACATACACATGCATAGATGTACATATATGTATGCAGCATGTTGGCAGTGGCGAGAGGCCTACACAGACACACCCCGGAGCCATGGCTGAGTCTAAGGCCCGGCCATTCCATTGACGACGCGGCCAAAGCTGAAGCTGCGGCTGACGCATTTGTTGCTACGGAAGTTCGTGATTAAGCGCTTCGAGCAGAAGATAAAAACGTCGAAGAAACAGGCTAGAGCTGAGACTGGTCAGTGGCTTTGGCCAGACAGACGACACATTGGATCAGCAATATCTGAGCCCGACTGCATATATTTGCATGTACATTAGCCGCATTGTTCGACAAGGGGCGGGTAACACAAAATAAGTCGTGCAAAACTCCAGACACAGACAGATTTCATTGATGGACGAAACCTGATTGTTGGTTCGAGAGAGGGGGGCCGAGTCTATGGTTACGCTCACCAGTTGAGCGCACGCAGCGTTGCCAGCTGTGAGGAAAATTGAGCACAGCTTGAGTCAAATAATTTGGCTTGTCGCGATTAATATGATAAATTAATGCGCACGTTTATCAGCCTGTTACACTTAATTCGTAAGGAGTTAGTCAAACGCAGTTGAGTCTGGCAACGCTGGCTATATTCGTAACAGTTTCACAAGCAAAAAGGGGCTCGTGCCACTTATAGCCAATCGGCAGAGCGCCATACAACAAACGAGACAGAGGGAGAGCAAAAAGAGAGCCACCATCAAACAGCTGTGACTATTTCATACTATGGTGGCGCTCTTGCGCAACAAAAACAACGGAGCGGGAGCGGGAGCGAAACTGAAACTAGCACGCCATACAAAACACGCGCGAGAGAGTGTGCCTGTGTGTGTGTGTGTCTGTGAATTATCATACTGTGTATCACGCGTTGACCTCATGATGTTCACGTGAACATTTGTTGATACTTGCCAGCGCAGCCAGTAGCTACTGTAGGCCAATGCGGACGGTCGGGCTGGGGCGAAGCAGAAGGCGGCGTGCTTGTTTCACTATTTATGGCTGGCTGTGTGCGTGCGTGTGTGTGTGCGTGAGTGTCTATGTGTGTGTACGTGAGCGTGTTTGAGTGTTTACGGGAGTGGGTATTTGTTGTTGCGTGTTTTGTTTGTTATTGGAAACGGAATTAAATTTTGTACGGAACTCAAGTGCAATAATAATGTTGCGTGGGTGTGTAAATGGGCTGCCTCTGCTGCTTCTTTTTGCTGCAGTGGAAATATTTTTTTATTTATATTTTTATCTTTTTTGAATGCACAGAGCACAACACAATTGAAAGCCTACCCCATCATTGAGAGGTGCGGCCCACCCATACAAATTAAGTACAAACACAAGCATAGTTATGATATGTTTCTGCGTTTGTTTATTGAGCTATGTACGTTTCAATGTAATCAGCATTGCGAAGGGCATCTAAAATTAGCAAGAATTCCGGTTCCAGGCGACAGTTCAAGTTCAGTGCGGGACTTGTACGCCTTTTGCCTTGACACGCATTTGGAGGCCACCTACGTACCAACTGCAAGCCCACAAGCTACAAGGGGCGGACGAACGACCACCCAAAGTCCACGTGCCCACGCACCTTCTCAAGTGCACGTAGGCCGCTGTTTCCACCGACGCACAGGGTTGCCAGATGCAGAGAATGGGCGAGAGAGAGCATAAGAACGATAGCTAGAGAGAGCGCAAGAGCTTGCGCATTGACGTAACCTGATGTAATTGTTACGTAGCAGCAGCAGGCTCTCAATGACGTCACACGCTATTTCTCCTGTTGCGCTCCAAAGGTCATACAGAGAAGCAGCGTTGCCAATGACGTCGCAGGGCCAACGGATGATGGTTCAAGGCCTCTACCATATGCCTTATTAATGAACTCGAGCTTTCTGGCTAACATTTTGTGTTTTTTCCCTCCATTGCCCCAAGCAGCGCTAAATGTTATGTGTGCTGGCTGTTTGTGTGTCTTTTAGCAGCGGACGTCAATCACAGGTGAGCGTGACGTCAGCTGCTAAACGGAACATGTACACAACGAGTGTTCAATGTTACTATTGGGCATGTCATTAGTATTCTGCTTGAATTGAATCTAAAATTCGCCACGGCAACGGCAATCCAACATAAAATTTCCAAATTTTCATTTTCACCAAACTTCAAGTCATTCACATTTCGCTTTTTGAATAGATGTACATATATTTTGTATTTTTTCTTCTTTTACTGTTGAGTTTTCTTGGCATACGAATGCGAATGCGAATGCGAATGGGTAAAACCCCCGAACTTGTCTTTTGCCGCGTTTTTATTTCACACGCGCCACACAAAATGCTCATCACAATTTGGCTCCATGACGTCATGCCCAGCAGCAGCAGCAGCAGCAGCAACAGGGGCAGCTCCAAACAGCTCGTGACAATGCAGCGCGTTACCCTCGTTGCCTCACCTACGGATACAATCAATGAAATTTCGTTTAGCGCAATTATAAATTAACTAAATCAATTTGTTGATCAACTAAACAAATAGTTGGCCCTGTTCCAATGTTGAGTTATTTTGGCCTATTCGAGTTGAAAATTCATCAGCAGCTGATTCTAAACTTTTCAATTCGTAAAATTGTTTTTCAATTTCTCTAAAGCTGCGACTAAATTTATGCACTGATTCACAAAGACGAAAATTTATTAGCTTTTCAAATCTGATCAAATATTTTATTGTTTATTGGTTTTGAGATGTTTTAGGGGCTTTTTCTGTGATATACTATGAGGCTAAGTCTAAAAAAAGATTTCGGCCTGGCCTTCGCCAGTTTTCAGTTAGTTAACTTTTGTATTCTTTCAACTGCAATTATTATTATTTTTAGTTTTTCATAATAACTATCCCGTGACATATCATTTGCTTGGTGTACCGCCTAATCCCTCTTCTAGCGGCGGCCTACGTGCTGGCTGACGCGTTGCGATGCGTTGCGCTTAGCCAATGCTCACGTCTCTATCGCGCTTCATAGCTTTGCGCTGAGAACTTTTTACTTCAATTTGGGGTCGATCGGATGTACATAGGTCTCTAGCCGAAGGCCAGTGGAAATTTACGTACAAAGCGGCGTCAAGGTTTTACCCAGCTGCCAGAACAACATGATGAAGATGCCGCTGGCGATGATAATGTTGGGAATGAATCGGCTTGCCTTGGCTTGGCATTCCCCTTTTACCTGCTATTCTGTTTGCCGCATTATTCTGGCCACTTGGCCGACCTTGGCCCAGTTCCTGCCCTTGCCAAATGTTCCAACTGAACTTGAAAGTCGTTGTCCGTGGCAGGAAGGCAGGCGACGAAGACGACGGAGCAAACAACGACGACGCCGACGACTCAGTCGATTGACCCTGAACCGGTTCATCTGAACGCCTTTAATGGGGCAATGGCAGATCTCTTTGTTTTTTTCTTTCATATTATTTTTTATATATTTTATGTTTTATTTAGTATTTTTGCCTATGTCGACGTAGTTGCCATCATCGTGATCATCTACATTATCGTGCATATTATAAGCCGATCGCGAATCGTGAGTATTCAAAATGGGAAACCAACAAACAACATCATTAATAAGATCAAAAAAAAAATTATTAAATAAGTGACCTGAGTGTTCGGCTAGCAGATACCCTAGGCTGCTGACTAACAGCAATATGAACTAATATGCAAGTAGAAATCTAAGAAATCTAATTGTCTTCAGTTTTGTATCCTTTCCGTGAACCTACATAACAAATCTGCTGTCTGTAACTCTTAAAGTTTTCGAGTTATCTAAAAATAACTGGAAAGCCCAAAATGAATATTTGTGGCTATGCGAAAAGCTATCGATAAAAATACTGTTCCTACTGCGGAAATGTAATTACGGACCTATAAATAATACGGTCATTGCAAAAACTAATAAACTGTTTATATTTGTGAATCGAGTATAAAAGTATATATATATATATATGTATTTGTATGGTAGAAACTGAAACAGAAATAAATGTGAGCATATAGAGCTTAAGGTATACGGGGTAGTTAGCCCCATACGCCGGATAGAGCGTTTGTATATATGATGACGAGGTCGCTTATTCTGCGGCTGATTGGCACGTGAAGTCAACGTGAACAGCGCGAAGGAAGAGAGAGAGAGAGAGAGAGAGAGAGAGAGTGAATGCAAATAGATTAACAGCTAGAGAGAGAGAGTGAGAGCGGGAGTGTCTCAGCAATAGCGAGAGAGAGGAAGTAAGTGAGCGAGCTATCTTATTGCGTTATTC